TGATTTTATCATCATTTGAGTTGAAATCAGGGAAGTGTAGTGGGAAGCATGCTGAGGCATGGAATATCAAGCCCTCATCAATTTCACTAATGGGCAAAGGTGTCACATCTTGGATAATTATCATCAGGTCCTGGTCCTGGAGGAATTTATGGTTAACTAATGTAGGATTGCAGCCTGAGTCAAGGCAACAGGTTGCTAGATTGGTGGTGTTCTTGATGTAATCTTGTGCTGTGGCATGTTTTCAGTGATGGAAGTTCCATTGTGTGTCTGGAACAAGCTCAATGCATTGCAATGCAACAATATTCTGTTCAGAACTAGTGAGATAAGCTGATGGCTCACATGTATGAAGATGTTGAAAAAGCTGATTTCATGAAGGAAAGGCTTCTTCACAATGGTAGCAGATAGTGTGAGAATCAGCATCCATTTCTTCCATGTCAGATTCTGAAGATGTGTTGTCTTCAGAGGCAATTGAGTTTTCTTCTGATTCATATGAATAATCTTCATCAACATTTGTTGGGTCTGGATCTGTTATATATGCTCATTGTGATCCTACTGTATTATGGGATGGAGGTGGTGGACTTTGTTCAGTTGACTTGGGCTGAAATTTTTGGGGCCAGTTGTTTGACTGCATCCTTCATGGTTGATTATTCTGTGGACAACTGAACTGTCCATAGAATTGATCTGCAGTATACTGATGTCTTGTATTTGGTGTCTGAAATGTGACAGCTCTGTATGGAGAGTGGTATGTGGGTGTTATGTTATATTGATCAAATCAATTGACTTCTTTGCAAGTCAGCAGTTCATGAAAGATGTCCATTGTTGTGTCTTCTAGTGATTCATCTATTGTGACTCATAGAGAAGTTTCAAGATGACACCATGCATGCAGTACAACTGCAAATTCTGAAGTGGCTAGTCCACATTGATGAGCTGCTGCCATGATATTGATGAGATAGGATGCTGTTGACTTGCTGTTGCAGGCATCTGCAACTGTATAGTGAATGCTATTGAATTTAGATTGTGCTTGTGCTGATGATATCCAGAAACATTTTTCAAGAGCAAAGCATCAATTCTGAATGCCAACTGAATCATGGGCAAGAGCTTTGTGTGCTAGATCATTTAATTCAACTGTCCACCAGATCATGACATTTTCATGAAGACATGAGTGCAATTCAGCATCTATCTGCAGTGGGTCTTTAATGGCAGCTGCAGTCTTAATTCTGATGATAAAAAGATATACATCTTTAATCCAGATCTTTCCTTCTTGGTCTGCAATGTCTCAGCCCCAATGGTGTGGCATATCCAGATAGAAATAGCCAATATCAGTGATTTTCCAGCTTTGCTGGGGTGCATGGTTGCTTGTAGTAGAATGTTGGACTGATAAAACTGCTGTTGGAACAGAAGTAGTTGGTTCTCTGTGTAAGGCTGCTAATTCTGAATGTATAATTGTATGCATATTTGCTGTAACTGCATCTATGATCTGTTGCATATTCATGTCATTTGTATGAGATGCACATTTCCTCAGGGCTTTAATTGATGGTTCTGAAGAGTTGTCAGTGTTTGGATCTTTGGAGGACATGATTGTAATAGATTGTTGGATGGTTATGGATTGTTGATTTACTGTAGTTGTCTGGTCTGGAGATGAATCTTCATATGTTGTTGGGGTGGGTAGTTCCTGCTGCATTTGGTTGGAAGTTGTTGATGGGATGTCATTTGAATTACCACTTTCAGATGGAAGGTCCATGATTAAGTTACTTGAGAGATTGCTTGAGGATCTGTCTGACATGGCTTGCTTGCTTGGTAGTGATGCTCTATAGAAAGTTAGCTTTGTAACTACCATTGTGTCCTGGATGAATTTGTGAATTGCTGTTCTGATTATAGATGGGTCCAGGTTTCAGTCTGCAGAATAAAATATGTCAGAGAGCTCTGATTCTGATTGAGTCAGCTGTGAACTGTTCAGTGAGAGCACTTTTGGGTTCTCTTTTGGTATACAAGATTGATAAATGTTAGAGGTTTGATTTTGTGGTAATGGTATCTCATTATTCTTGATGATGAATTCTGCTAAATGCTGGGTGCCAAGTGAAATTACTTGAGAGCTAGGGTTACTTCAGCTATAGTTAAGTATGTATTTAGCTATTTGCAATACAGACTTCAGAAGAGACTTAATAATCAATTTGGTTTCATTTGCTGGTTCCATTATTTCAGAGAATTTAGTTATTTAGTTGTTAAATATGTTTAGAGTTCATGCATAATTTAGCAAGGAATTTTAAAATTTTGGGCTGCCCTCAGAGTCCCTGATCAAGCAAGACATGCTACCAGTTTGTTATCTGGTCTATAAGAGCTACAGAATGTCTGTGCGATTTTGGTTGAGTAGTAGAAGATCTCTTGTTCTTGTTCCCTCAAGCTTTGATGATAAGCTCAAGGATGACTAATTACTAACTAATCTACTTCAGTAAGTATGTACAGAAGGTTCCATGTCAATAGACAATCTATTGACCTGGACAGATGATTGGTCCTCCGGACACCATTTTGGTGGAAAATGTGATTTTCAAAGGGGGGGGCCTTGGAACCCAAAGATTTGGCAGGAAAGGGTTATTCATGTATGGTTTCCCTAAACTCAGCCCAACAAACAATCATCTGATAATAACCCTGGACCAGATATATATCCTCAATGGCAAACCATTAGACCAATCATTCCCCCAACCCCCCCATCTAGCAAGTGTGTTCTTAGATGTCCAGACAATGTAGTTCACCCATTTATCTCTGACAACTGGGCCTGACATCTGGTTCATGTTATCAGAGCAGAGAGTGATATAAACACTAGCCACTGTCATTGAGAGCAGTTATAAACCTCCTGATTTGTTTTTCCACTGAGTACAATATAAAATCATACCCAACTGAGCAGACCTCTCTTTCTTCTTATATGATCTTGTCCACAAGCCACACCTGCTGGGCAAGATTCTGTTCAGAAACAACTGACTACTGTTGACATTTCTGGAACAACTTCAGATGTTCATATATCATTTTCATGTACTCTTTCATTTCCTTGACTTCTGATATAGTTCCAAGAGTCATCCTGAACAGCTGGTTCTTGGGTCAACAATTCTGTCCATATAGTAGACTGTAATTAAGGGTATCATGTTGTTTCATAGCACATATCAGTGTATATTTGCTTATCTCTGGCAAGCTGTCTGGCAACAGCCATATCTGGCAAAATCACCTGACCCACAACACATTCAATGTGTGTCAGATATCAACAACTTCAGCCCCTATCTCTTCTTCATTTCTTTCTACCCATCAGACCAATCATTCATGCTGCTCTGATGTTCTGCCTGCCCCCACCCTCTCTGTTTGTTCATTCATATATTGTAAATTAATATGTATGTTAATACACACATTTAATCCTTTCTTTTTTTGAAATCAATAATTCTTTCTTGTTTTTGAAATCAATAATTCTTTCTTTTTTTTGAAATCAATATCTAAACAATTAGCAATGTCTGCCCTCCCTCATCATGACATGTCTTCACTCTCAGACACAGAATCATTTGAATCTGGTGAAGTTTTGCCTTCTCATGATGTTTCAATGTCAGACTCTGACAAAAATCTTTGGGTTATGGCCACACCATCTGGCCATATCCCACTTCAAAATTGCAGGCCAACAGGAGGTTCATCCAACTTGCTGGTATCAAATAGTTATGATACCACTCATCACTCTCTTGATTATCTGGCCAGCTTAACCAGACACCCTGCATCTGATAATGGTATTGATCCAAGCCTGCTGATAAGATACCCAACTCAGGACACAAATAATTCTCATGGCATGTCTGAATCTGGTTGGAGTGATATGCTTGCTGCTTGATCTGAGTCTGAATCAAATATTTGGCCAAATGCTGGGGACAACAATCTGTTTTGTGAGGATTCTGCAATCTCTTCTGCTGGTACTGCTCAGGACCAACTCTTAGCCAATTATCTGACCAATGATGTTCCAGATATACTTGGTCATGACACTGCTCTTGCTTCTCCTGACGCGGATAAACAACACAGACCTGGTGTGGAACAGGCCAATACTTACAAAAGGCCCATTAATATGGAGCAAGCTGGTAAGTTATCTGCTCAGTATCAAAGAACACATGCACTAACAGTTGATCCATAGCTGATATACAGTCAACAACATCATTCTCTAATCAAATACTTTGTTTAAAATTCTCAAATCCAAAGGAAGGTGATCTGGTCAATGTGCCAGTTAAATGTTCAGCAACAAACCCCAAACTAACTTGGGATTAGATTATAAAGAATCAATGGTATACACCTCACAATGAAGCTGCTTGAAATGAAATACCTCTGAAAGTCATTGATACTTTATATCATATCAACAGGATTGAAGGTGCAGACAGTACTGAGCAGATATCAGCATGCAATTACTGCAACAAGCATGAGAGTTGGAAATGCTGGGTCTACAAACTGTCAGTGCACAAAAATGAAAAACATCTGAGCAGTACTTGTTTCCACTGCTGAATGAATGTCATCAAATGTGAGTTTACAGACAGCTCTGCTAACAAATGTGGTGTGTCTGAAAGTGAAGAGTCTTTGCCCAGAAAAAAGAGTCACCAGATTTATGGGCTGCAGATCCCAAAAAATGCCCACTCAGATCAGCAATAGAACCCCCCTGCAGCAGAGACTCATCATGAAAACAATAATCAAGACCAGCCCAACCTCACCCAATTTACAGAGGAGTTGGCTCAGATGTTTGACTTGATGCAACTGACCAAGAACAGAGATATGTTGGAGGTTAATGTGCACCTCACACAACTTGAGAACCAACTGACCACATTAACTGACATGGTCTCCACCTTAATTGATAACTTGTCTGATATATACTGTTTTGAATGATATTGCAACCTGATTACACTGTCACTGGGCCAGATGCCCAGCAAGGTCATGTATGTAAATAGAATATGTATGTAGAAATGAAAATGACTGATTTTACTACATATGAGCATAATCTATGTAGAAATACCCATACAGAAAATCTGATCAGATTCACTTCCCTAAACATCAAAATTGTTAGATTTTTAATCACAGAAGGTAATTAATCAGGTAACCAACCTCAATAGCATCTTCTCTACATGGATCAACTTCACTCAAATCTTTCTCATTCCCTTCAATAACACCCACCCCACCAGCCTCCAAAACCTTCGCGATATATGCATTGATGGTGGCTATGTGGGAGAATAGATTTTGAAAGGCATTGAACAGCTTCATATCAGGCAAGAATCCATGACTACTCTCTACACTAACATGCAACTGCTCTGATATTAGAGAGGCAAGACTGCAGATATCCCCACTGGCTGACTTTTTAATATGTTTCACATCAGTATACTTCCCAAAAGCATGCTCAACTGCCTGACAAAGCTGATGTGTATATTTTAAAGTATAGATAGACTTCCAAAAAAGCTTCTGAATTCCAAATGTTGATATTCTCTGAGATTGCAGCAATTTCTTCAGCTTCAGGTTGAGCAACTCATTGAGTTTATCAGTCTTCATGAAATGATCAGTGCTTCTGTGCACAGTGATGAGACTGTTAGTCAGAACAGCATCTTGAAGCAGCTGATCATGAACAGAGAAGTTTGTGAGTCATCAGAAATACAACATCTCAACTGCATAATTGAAGCAACATTGTCAGACAAAATGCAAAATAGACTGCTCAACTTCTCAAGACAGCAACCCAACATCTCCATGTTTAGTGCCAGTCTTGATCAGCTTATAAGTCTTGACAAAATGAAGAAACTGTACATGGACTGTCATTGTAACATCTGCATGATTCTCATCAGACAGCTGTGGCATATCAGAGCTCTGAGCATTGAATTGAGTCTTTGAGCTGACTTTGAGACAATGTGCATCACAATCTTTCATTCTCTCCATCAACTCATCAGATTGACATACTGACTTCAGTGCAAACACCATGGAATATAAATGACTGATCAGATCATCAAACTCATTAGCCTGCAGATCTGAAACTATCACTCATACTGCATCAGAATCTGCAATATTCAGTGCAGTGTGTGTGTCTCTGATCAACTGCAAAAACATTGCTGTTATACAGGCATCAAAACTATGAAGAACAAGTTCTTCAAGATGATGAAATGGTGTTTTCTCACTGAACAGATGCTGTCAGTGAAGATGATTAATGTGATTAAACAGTGAAGTTATCTGCTGAGAGAACTCAACTTCCCCATAGAAGATCTTCATCATCATATATAAGAAGTTGAGCTGAAGGTGCCACATTGCTGGCACTGACAATGCTCAACAGTGAGTATCATATATTCTCTGAACCTTACATCACTGATACTGACAGTCTCAGATGAACACTGACATTTTCTGATCACCATAAACTAGATACAGTGACTCATGAAAATTCTTATCCTCATCCATCTTGAACTGCTCAGCAAATACTGTATGGAAGATCTCATAAAGATCATCATAGATGCCCTCAGACATCAATATAGATTTCAAGAGCAATGTACATGTCAGCTCTGATGAGCACAGTTTATTGACCTCTGATAGAACAAGACAACTATACAAACCACTCTCTGTTTCAAACACATTGATCAGTTTGTTCAGATAGGCTGCAAACAGAGCCTCAGAAATGAAATAGCAACACAATTCAATCTCAATCTGATTCTGATTTTGCTGCAGAGAATGAATATAGTTGAGTTGGTTCAAAGAAGTCAGACCCAACATGCTCTGACAAAGCTCATCTGATGAAATCTGATCATGAACATGGAGATCAGTGGTATAAGAGTGAAATGAATTCTTGTCATTAATGATCTGATGCTGAACATTCTCTTGAAATTCAAAATTATCAATTATAACAACACTAGTTGACCTGAAGTCTTCTTGAAGCTGATGCTGTGACAACTGATCAGTTGCTGTCTACAATGCTGGCCAAACAACGTCTACAGCAATAAAAACAGGAACCTGAATGGCTTTGAATGAAGATGATGTTATAACAATGAAAGAAATTCAAGAATGGCTCAAACTAAGCACAGATGAAAAAAGAGACTTGTACATGAAATGTCAATTCATTTTAAACAATTTCATCAGATGCAAAGTTCTACAACTTTCTAATCATCAATGAGAAGCTCATTCAGCTTGTCTATGAGCACTAGAAGCAACAGCTGAAGATTATTCACATCTAACATAAATTGATGACACTGATGTGCTAGAACAGAATCCAAAAGACACTCTACAACTATGGAAAAACTTTGTGTTAGATGGAGAATGGTATTCCCAATGTCAAATTAAAATATATGCACTAATGTGACTGATCATGTCCACTCTGACTTGAAAAAAGTTTCTATATCCAATGATGCATACTAAATTGATCAACAAAGCTGTCATTGAGAAGATGTCATTCTTTTTTGACTTTCCCTACTATGATTATCAATTCTAACTAGCAACAGGGCACTGACTTTCAGTGAGAACACTGATCATTAAAAGATATTCTCTGGCAACTGACATGGAACCTCCTGTACATACTTACTGAAGTAGATTAGTTAGTAATTAGTCATCCTTGAGCTTATCATCAAAGCTCAAGAGAACAAGAACAAGACATCTTCTACTACTCAACCAAAATTGCACAGACATTCCATAGCTCTTATAGACCAGGTAACAATCTCTTTCAGCCTTTATAATCACTTTTTCCAGTGCTATTTTCTCTAGAGCATGATAGACTTGCCTATGCCTAGAGGTGGCATTGGCTCTCTTCAAATAGCCTAGTAGCCTGCCTACCCCCCAGCATGTAGTAGGTGTAGTAGGCTCTAGGGCAGCTCCCTGGGTGTCTGGGATCTTAGGCTGTATAGATTTGAGCACTCTATTAGAGTCTAATAGTCAGATACCAGCATCTGCAAACACAGATAATATATTTTCTGGTGTAAAAGCTGCTGTGTACATGGGTTTGAACAAGATGTAGAAATTTGATTTTGTCATTTTAACAAAGCTCATGCCTTGCTGGAGGAAGTTGTTTAGTTCCTTTGAATAATAGTGCTGTATTGGTTCAAAAAGTCTGATATCTAGAGGCTGTAAATGGTGTGTAGAGCTGGATGGAAGGACAAGCAGTAGGATCTTATTCTTGTCAGCAAAATCAATGAACTGCATATTAATATGAGAGACATGTCTGTTCAGTATAAGCAGGCATCTATTCTGCTTGCTGTCTGCAGGGCCAGCTTTGGCTCTAGTCTCTTTATTAAATAATTCCAGCCAGCAGATTCTGTATTCATCATTGGTTCATTCATTTTCTGATGCAGCAAAGTAAGTTTGATTCTTTTCACAGTCAAAATCAGTGAGTTAAGTATCTTGCATGTTCCTAGAATCCCCCTTGTAAATGAGAGCTGATGTAGTGAAGGATTCATCAGCACAGATGCATGCAAGTAGAGAGATGAACTTCTGGCTGCCATTCTGTACAGCACTCAATATTTCACCACACTTATAAACTTGTAAAGAGACTACTCTTTTAAATGTATTTGCTAGTTCTATAATAAAGCCTTTTTCATCAAAATTGTAAATATTTGCGGGTTCAAGGTTATATTTCTCAATTTTTTCTCAAAGCTTTAGAAATTTGTATAGTTAGCCTTAACCCAGTGAAAATCAACATCAAATCAATAAAATCAAGAGATATTACTAGGTCAAAAAACAAAGAATAGTACATAGAATTGTCAGCAGCTTTTCTCTTTTGATCAATATTCTGTAGAAAAACACTGGTGAGTCAATTTTCATGATGTTCAATAAAGTGAGAGATCTAGTTGAATCCTACATCACTTTGTAGAATCTCATTTGCTAGATTTCATAAAAGCTGAGGTGTAGCAGAAAATCTGCAGTTTGTAAGAGTGTCAATATGTCCTAGAAGAGCTTCTTTCTGTGCATCTGTAAGATTTCTTGAATATAGAGAGACAGCTTTGCACCTAGAGACTTGTATGCCTTTAAAGCAACACACCAACATAGTTATGTTGATTTTGTACTTTTTGGCAGTTTTGGCATAATTAGGAGCCTTCTGCGAGCGCAGATCTTCAATTGCCAATTTAATAGCAGCTTTGTTGGTCATTTTATTGAATTTTGAAAGTAGAGGTCTACAGTAGAAAAATCGGTCGCTTTGTGGGTTAGGTCGTTCAGTGATGAATTACGTTACTCCATAAATGTCCAGTTCAGTTCATGCATCGGAAGATTCATTAGGCCGAAGACGGCCTTAAGCGGAGATAGACGTTGCTTGGCGCCCTAGCTATAAGCGCGACTCAGCATCCCCACCACGCCCAGGGGCAAATCAGCACTGGCTGCTCCGGCTGTTGATGCAGGACCTCAGTTGGTGGAGAGTCGTCCGTGAGTACTGTTAGACCTGCATGCATTGTTTCGAAGTCTTCCTGGCCGCGCCAGCTTTCTTCCCCACCAAGACTCCGGTCATCAGCACTTGACACGGCAGTTATCGGCGACGAAGGCGATGGAAGCCTTCAGAAGCCCAACGAAGGCGAACGCACCTGAGGGGGTTGGCGCTAGCCGTATTGGGTAAGGCGGCTCTGTAACAATACGGTATTAGACTTGTCATAAATCGGGTAGAAAATGCATTTGGAAGAGAGAACAGACTTCCTACGCTTCATTCCAGAGTACTGTATCCGGATCTTGGAGCGTGAGCTTTGGTTGTAGATGACTGCTTCTCGATGTCATCGCTTGTGTCCACCGTATTCGCGCTTCGTACGGAGTAGAGCCGCTGAACCTAAGAAGTAAATCCACCGTTGACGTGTGGTAATGTTACGGTCATCTGGTTCCAAGGAAACGCAGTCCTGTCCGCAGAAAGAGGCTTTTTTTTCATTACCAACCAACGAAATACTTTTTTCCTGTCCAGACTTCGTTCACAGGTCATTCTCCTCCCTCAGCTCTGCTGATTCTCCCGTCCACCTCTGCGCCTTCACGCATACCTAATCGCAGCAAGAATTTCTGTTTTCTGTGGCCTTGGAAAAAAGTTTTTCTGATACAGAGATAAGATTTCAACCAAGCCCAGGTCTCGCTGCCTTGTCGCCTTCAAGAGATCTTTTCTCTTCGCAATCCCCTTTCCATCCCCCCCTTTTTTTTCCGCTGCCTTCTTCGATAACTATCAGTCAAGATGGTTAAAGAGACCAAATATTATGACGTTTTAGGGGTACGTCTGCTTTTCTCAGAACCGAACATTCAACGTACCTAACATTACACAGGTTGCACCCACTGCCAGTGAAGCAGAGTTAAAAACAGCTTACAAGAAGGGCGCTTTGAAACATCATCCTGGTAGGCACGCAACCTTTGTAGCTGACTTTGTCGGATTTAATCTCTAACCGCGAATTTTGCTACAGACAAAAATGCCCATAACCCCGACGCCGCCGAGAAGTTTAAGGACCTATCACACGCATACGAAGTTTTATCAGATCCACAGAAACGCCAGCTTTATGACCAGTTTGGCGAAGAAGGACTGGAGCAAGGGGGTGGCGGCGGTGGAATGAACGCCGAAGACCTCTTCGCTCAGTTCTTCGGCGGTGGTGGAGGATTCGGTGGTATGTTCGGCGGCGGCATGAGGGAGACGGGGCCAAAGAAAGCCAGAACCATTCACCACGTCCATAAAGTTTCGCTCGAAGACATCTACCGCGGCAAAGTCTCCAAACTGGCTCTGCAAAAGTCCGTCATTTGCCCGGGATGTGAAGGCCGTGGTGGAAAAGACGGTGCAGTCAAACAGTGCGTTGGCTGCAATGGAACTGGTATGAAGATCATGATGCGCCAGATGGGTCCGATGATTCAGCGCTTCCAGAGCGTCTGCCCGGACTGTAGTGGAGAAGGAGAGATTATCCGAGACAAAGACCGCTGCAAGCGTTGCTTGGGTAAGAAAACGACTGTTGAGAGGAAAGTTCTTCACGTCCACGTTGATAAGGGCGTGAAGAATGGTCACAGGATCGATTTTCGCGGTGAGGGTGATCAAGTCCCAGGGGCCTTGCCTGGCGACGTAGTGTTCGAAATCGAACAGAAGCCACACCCGCGGTTCCAGCGAAAAGAGGACGACTTGTTCTACCAAGCTGACATTGACCTTCTCACTGCTCTCGCCGGAGGAAGCATAAATGTTGAACACCTCGACGACCGGTGGCTTACAGTTAACATTGCCGCTGGCGAGCCTATCACACCTGGTATGTACTACGCGATAACACCGTTTTTGTTGGCAGCCCTGTGTGAAGCCGATTACTAACGCTGTAGTAGGTGCTATCAAAGTTATCAAAGGACAGGGAATGCCGTCTTATCGCCACCATGACTTCGGAAACCTCTACATCCAATTCAACGTGAAATTTCCGAAAGGCGAGGATCTCCGTAACTTGTCGCTCCTTGAAAATGTTCTGCCCCCACGTTTGGAGCAAAAGCAGCCCCCACCAGATTCGATGGTTGATGATTTCGAGTTGGAAGATGTCGACGAGGGCTCCCGTGCCCGTGCTCAAGGCGCAGGCAACTACGATGAAGATGAAGAAGATGGCATTCCACCTGGTGCGGAACGAATGCAATGCGCATCGCAATAAATTTCGTGTCACTAGGGGTAACCCTTGCATAGCGTGTGTTGCATGAAACGAGGAAAATGAGTTTCTTCTCGTATACTTTGGATGGTGGAAGATCGGCTAACGGTGTTGATACTGGATTTTCCTTATGTTCTCTTTTTTCCCTCTTCTTTTTTTGTGTTTTCCAGCTTTAAAAGGCATTCCATTATTTGTCACCTCTGGAAAAGAAAAATAACCAAGGCATGGGATACAGGTGTTGGCAGGATCGAAATTCCTCCTGACATCGGGTGTGGACACTTACAGCGATGGAGACTGTCTAGCGCCCCCCTTTCACTAAATAATATTCTTCACATGCGTTACGCTCCCGGTTTCTATCACTCGATGCTTGCTTGTTCCATTTCCTTGAGCCTGTTGTGTGCTTTTTACTTCAAGTTTTTCTTTTCCACTGCGCATTGCTTCTTCCCGCTGCCCTTTTTTGATGACACACGAGACCATGATGGGACCACCAAAACTAATCAAAAGAGGGGGGGTGGTTTGCTTGATCAGCATCCGGTTCATTATGGTTCATAGACGATGCCTATTACAATTCTACTATGCCGGAGTTTCGGTCAGTTCCCAATAGAGTTACACATGTTTATGCGTGTAATAAAATATTCTCAGGCCTCCCTACGCTGCTAGCAAGCTGTCCGGCAGCGCAATGATGGACCCAGTTACTCTTTGAGCTCAACCCAGAGGGTATTGAACATAGAGACGTATATTTGATTGCATTATTTCATTAGTATTATGGGCTTAGTAGCTGGCGTTGAGTACTTTCTGTGGCTAGGAAAGTATTTAGCTACCTATGTACTCCGTAGTTCTGTACTTATTTCCGACAGAATGGTACGCTGTACGTGATAAACCAAGTTGATAGGATGAGATGCTGTTGTTCCGCTGATGCTTTGGAGTCATTTGAATGTGGTATGAGGCCTAGTGTTCTTTAGTATGGAGCATACATACGAAAACAGTCTCTCACCCCACACTCCTATTACCCCATCTATTTTGACCATGGTGCAAAGGAGACTCCATGTCGCATCACCAACAGGCAGCCTGGTTTCTATCATTGACAATACCAAATCACAATGAACACCAGAGTATTCCCTTCGTCAGACTTCCGGCTCACTGGGCGGACATTGATGTTCCTTTCACCAGGACAACCACCTACCTACGTCTTAACAATGTTGCCTTCCTTAGGGACAGCCTTTCATGCTCCCCAGGATCTGCTGCGTATCAACGATTTTCTGCACTTAGAAACTCAATTCTAGCATTCTTTAGAGGTTCGACAGCAATGCCCTCAACTTTCATATGATCAGAGGCCCAGCTCGCTGGGAGGAGAGAACGGCTTGCAGAAACTAACCTTCTGCAGGGAGAGCTGCAATCAAGACCCATCAAACAGCTAGAAGCTCCACGGCGAGGTAACAGTGAAATTGCATGGTAAGTGGCCATGTTGATTAGGCAAGGAGGTATTATAATTCAACCCAGTGGGCCTTACTAACTGGCCTTGCGTTTACTAAAAGGTATTTGAGCTGTCAATATGATGATTCACCTACTTTCAATATTCCATAACCTACCACCGGACGATACACTGTTTTTGGTAGTATTCTGGCCATGTTGATGGTGGACTAACAGCTTAAATTATCAATATCTAGAAACTTTTAAGAGGGGTACACAGGTTCAATACAGGCAATATTAAAATTGAGGCTGGAAATGCTTACGGCAAAGTGTCCTACTGCAGGTAAATCTTCCTAGTGCTCCGCCCTCTGACTTGACTCTCAGAAGGCTGGATGCTCCAAAATTAAGACATCGAAAAACATAGTTATATGAATGTTTAGCCTGAGGAGACGAACGGTTGCGGCACACAAAGGTCGTTACTGGCACTTCACCTGGCGCCCAAATCAATACAACAGTCGGAGTAGAAAAGAAATAAAGACCGACCTGGCAAGTCGACTTTCTCTTTTGGGGCAGAAGATAACCGATCTGATTTCGGTAAAACCACTTCGCGAGTCCAACAAAAAGAATATGTTTGTGCTATTGCAAGGCATGTTGGACAATATCTATGCAGGGGGTGTGATTCACTAAAAACAGAATAGCGGTTTGGATCTGTGTCCTGTGCGATCATGAGGCAACCCTTTAAATTCTTTATTATGGAATTCGTGATCTGGAATTTTCCAGGTGTGGTGACAGCACATCAATGGGCACAAGATGGGGCCATCAGGGTGACAATTGCGCGATCTCCGATTTCTCTCTCTTGCATAATTGTACTCCGTACTCACACACAGACCTGATGGTTTGCATGTTTTCCAGACAGTACTCTGTGCAGACTAATTACAACGAAGTGTATCCTTTTGTAATCCTTCCAGGTAGCCGTCTGAGGATATGGGGCGTGTTTGAATGCTGGAATAATGCGATATCAAGTGGTATTTAAGGGGGCAACAAGAATAAAATTGGAATATGGATAAATGCCAGCGTCCTTCGAGATGAGTGAAGCTGGGATACTAAGGACCCCTGAAAAATGTTTGTATCCCATTAATTTTCACTTAATTTTTAATAATAACTGGAAAAAGCAAATTTAGAGCATGATGACCAGGGTTGCTGATGAAAGAGCTCCTCTTTGATTCAGTATGATTTCGCTTTGTTTCAGGACGGCTGGCGCAGAATTCAGACAGAACCGGCGTCTGGACCTAGTGCAGTACGACGGGCTTATGCTTTAGGGCATGCTGATCGCTCGAAAGAAGACTCATGCATGCGTCAATGCAGAGGGCATCCGTACATACATCCATCAATCTATAAAGAAACCGAAAACAAAAGCAAAGGAAAAAGAAAATTCGCGATCTTGATCCCACTAGCTAAATATTCCGTGTGGCTGGAATTTTGCATGTGGCAGATGGGGATATCAAAAGTTAACTGGCGTTATGCGCTCCGTGCATGTCAAGGTTGGGATGGAATACGACTGCCCAAGACCAGCCGTTCAACCCTCAAAAATTTTCATTCGGGCTGGAACTGATCAGCGATGACAGAATCAAGCATTTTCGTTTTGGCCTCATTGCACGTCCAACCACGTCTGCCTCTCACCAGAAGCTGTGGGTGTGTCCTTGGTTTGGTTCTGCCTGCAATGCAGAAAGGGAAGATGCCAGTTCGACAGCGTTCCATTTTTTAAGTGGTTGGTACCGGGAAAGGCGTCTCCCACCTAGTTAACCCCCCCAGCTCCCGTTCCACTTCATCCTTGATGGTACTCCGTAGACCATGTAGAAGGTGAGAGATGCTCCTGGCTGACAGAACAGGGCGGCCACCGAAGTCGGTGTTTCGGCAAGCAGCGGATTGCGCTGCTGTGCCATGAAATATAGTCTGATTGCACCTGTCGTATTTCCTTGCGGGTACGACGCCGTATCGGCGGCACAGTGGGAAAAGCGCATCAGTATTACTGCTTGGTACATGGGCGATGTGACTGAGCTGTTTGAAATTGCGATACTTAGTTTTCGTCAAGGTACGTAGCAGGACAGCTTGCCGTGGCCACCAGCCCACCCATGCTGCCGATGCATGGTGGCGATCGCCACACGATGCCGCCGGCTAGGCATTATGTGATTATTATTATCAATTCGATTAGCAATATAGTCGCTAGGACAAGTATTTAGATGGCACTAATCGCCCGCCTGCAGTGGGACAGCCGCGCCTAACGATCGGTTCGTCATTATTGTTGTTGTCAGCCACTCAATAACTGCATCCGTGCATAATACATAGATGAACCGAGACCCATGGTTGCTTGTGCCGTTAATCCAACTCAACCTTTTTTTTTTTGTTTTCTTTCTTTTCGAGATGCATCCATTAATATTATTATGTGCAGCACAGGTTGCGGGAGGCAGTATTGGCACATTTCACCAAGAAAAGCTTAGCCCTTCAGGTCCATAGAGTTTCGTTTCATTCACAACCTTTTTTTTTTTTTTTTGCTCGCCGAAGGGTCGCTTCCAAGCCGGTTCCAAGAGACGCCCCTTTTCTTAACTTGATGAAAAAGTGCCCCGCGGACGCAGGGCATCCTGGGGCTTAACAGCATTATTGCCCACGGCCTTCGGCGGCACGTCTGACAGGTCTTGCGCGAGCGCGGCCTTGACCCAGAATCAAATCTCCTGTGCGGCCGGCTAACCGGAACCAAAAGGTTCATGCTGGAAGAAGCTTGCCGTGCTGGGCGGTCGGGCTTGGTTGTCCCTTTTTTTTCTCCCCTTCTCTATGTGCCTGTGCAACGGCTACAGCTAATAACGGCCTCCCACTTTTCAACCCCGGATGAATACATAGCTGCAGGCTTTATTAGAAATGTTCTCATGTTGGGCTGCAGGCAGTCGATGTGCTTTCTGCACGACGTAGGACCAGGTTACTGTGGTCCAGGACGAGCAGTGGAGAGGCGGCGCAAACCGTTTGGCGAGGCGGCCCTGCGCTCTCCGGCATCGCGGCCGCAGAAGCGGTGTAATACAGCTTATCTAACGGGAATCATTTCCCAGGAGGCGATTCAGGGTTTTGGGATTTTTTTGTTTTTTGGGGTCGTTTCGGGGGGGGGTCGCAGACGCACAACAAACAACAACCGCAGGAGCCGGGACCGAAAAGGGAGATAACTAGTTAATATTCAGCCGGTAGATTGTTAGACGAGCACCCCGGACAGCGACCAGGGCGCGAGCAGGCTGGCAGGGATCAGGGGCAGGCAGAAAATGTCTGATCTCGCGCGGCCAAGACGACGGCGCAACGTGGTGGGCTTCCTCCATGCGGCTTGGGGCGGGGGGGAGAGGCGTTGTCTAGCGACGGGCTGCTGCGTCAGGGGATGTATATGTATGTATGTATGTATGTCGACGAGGGAGAGAGCAGGATGCATGTCAGACATACGCGGTGCAGGGGAGCGAGGGAGGGAGGGAGGGAGATGTGGGCGCGGAGAGTTTGGCGGGACGAGGCTGAGGCGGCGGGCATGGCGAGTGCTTGATCGGGGTTAAGAGTGCCGCGCCGCGTCTTGACGATTCTTGTCTGGTCGGTGCCGCGGGCCGGGCGATCGTCCACGGGCGGCGATGCGCGCGATCGAAGTAGATATCAGGGAGCTCACTAACTAACTAACTACACAGTGACTTGCTGCTCGATGCCGGCGGGCGAGGATCTGCAGCCCCCGGCTCAGGCACGTCTCAACACCAATGGACATGCCTGTTTACCCCAGACGGGCCTCAGCGCGGCTTTTTTTGGGGGCCTCGCGCTCGCCGCAACGCCGCCGTGCAGCTGCGCCCAACAGCGGCCGCCGGTGCTGCTGGCTGGTGCAGCGCGCTGCTGTGATTGGGGACGCCGCCAGCCCGTCTGTCTGTCAGTCAGTCGGTCGGTCTGCTGTCTGCTGCCTGCGCTGCGCTGCGCTGCGTCGCCGCCCGCTGGCTCAGCGCGCGCTGGGCCGTCGTTTCCCCTGCTCTCAGTTGCAATGGACCGTGACAGGATCGGCATGCCTGCACAGAGCAGATTGACCGCCCCCCGGCTCCCTCCCCCGTGTCGTCCCTCGCGCCGCCGCCGCCGCCGCCGCTGCTGCTGTTGTGCTGCTGCTGCTGCTGGCCGGTCGGCTGCGCGGGCTCTGTCCCAACTCTATTCGCAAATCTTGCCTTGCCCGCAGACTCGTTGACCGGGCGGCGCGATTGCGTGATCTTCAGCGCTGGCCCGCCCGCTGCAGACCTGCCGCCAACCCTGCCCCCCCAACCCTCTCGAGACCCTTTCGCCTCCTCCTCCCTCCCCGGCACCGTTAATAATAGTGACGTTGGTGAGCTATACGTGCGTCTGCGAGCTTATGATTCAGGATCGCCGTTTCGACAATGCCAGCAACACCTAATTTCCCTTCGGCGTCGTTTCGAGGCTCCTAACCGCTCGCCTGACCGCGTCTGCAGTTATTATATATTGCCGTCGTGCCTCGCTTGTCGCTCACCGTTTTTTTTTTTCCCTTCTGCTCTCCATCCTGCTGCTGCTGGGCTTTCGGTTCTCTCTCCTCTCTCCCTTCTGGTCTTCTTCTCCTCTCTCCGTTCCTTTTGTTCGCGCCTGGCTCCTGTGACCCCATCTGCACCTGATCACGCCGCTCCAATGATGGGGACCAGATAAGCACGCACACTCAGCCCCCCGCGGAGATTTGAGCTTGGGCCCATTGTGCTTCACCTGGCCTGGTGCTGGGTCTTACCTGTTGGTGACTCTTGAGCGTACGTTGTGCGAGGGCAGCCAGAGCCTCTGCAGGCAATCCACCAGCTAGCTGTGTCTCCTGTGTCCCGCCGCCTCCAGCCACCAGTCTCTCTCTCCCTCTCTCTCTTTCGGGCGGTCCGGCTGTGCCGCCATATAGTACGACTCTGCCACTTATTTAATCGGGTGGAAAGCGGCTGTCTAACCGTTCGAGAAAAAAAAGACAAAGACAAAAAAGAAAATAGAAATAGAGGCCCCCTCCGCGTCGTTCGTCAACTGTCTGATACTACACGCTGCACTTTTCAAACATGCCTTACACGCCGTCGCCCACGACGCGGAAGGTCGGCCTTGGACTTGCCAAAGTCCTTGGCATCAAGGTGGAGGAGAACGACCCCTCGGCCGCGGACTCCGTCACCCGCGGTGAATCGACCATGTCCACTGCTAGCAGGGAGATCTTTCTCGAGGAGGAGCCCAGCTCCGTCGATTTCCTCCTCGAATGCGTGCCAACCGGCCGACAGATGGTCTCGTATGCCGTCAACTTGTTCCCGGTCCTCCACTGGATCGGCAGATACAACGTCCAATGGTTCCTTGGCGATCTAGTTGCTGGTGAGACTACCCCTCTAGATCGGTCGGGAATAACGTTCTCGCCTGCTGACCAGAATGACCAGGTATTACCGTTGGCGCCGTTGTCGTTCCCCAGGGCATGGCCTATGCGAAACTCGCAGAATTGCCTGTCGAATATGGTTTGTATTCTTCGTTCATGGGTGTCTTGGTATACTGGTTTTTTGCAACTTCAAAGGATATTACAATCGGGGTATGTTTCTTCTTTCCGTCTTGGCATGCCTTTTTGAATATTCGCTAAAATCTAGCAAATAGCCCGTCGCCGTCGTATCAACGCTCATCGGTCATATCGTCACCAGAATCAGGGTAGACCACCCTGAACTGACGGTCAGCGTGCTTGCGTCTGCTTTTGGTGTGGTTTGCGGTGCAATCATCACTTTTATTGGCCTTATCCGATGCGGCTGGATAGTGGACTTCATTCCACTGACCGCAATCTCTGCTTTTATGACTGGCTCTGCACTCAGCATTGCATCTGGTCAAGTCCCATCGATGATGGGCATTTCCGGTTTCAATACTCGTGATTCCACCTGGAAGGTGATCATCAACACCCTGAAATACCTGGGCCGGACCAAGATCGATGCTGCCATGGGTCTTTCGGCCCTGTTCCTTCTCTATCTCATTCGATACACGTGCACATGGTGCGCTCGCAAATACCCAGCTCGCGCCAAGGTGTGGTTTTTCCTGGCCACCCTTCGCACGGTGCTTGTGATTCTGCTTTACACTGCAATCAGTGCTGCTGTCAATATCAATCGCCGGAAAAAGCCACTGTTCAATATTTTGGGAACCGTTCCTAGAGGTAATGTGCCACGTATCGATAGAGTTGAACAGATCAATACTGACTGAATTGTGTAGGATTCCAACATGCTTCGGTTCCGAAGCTCGACAAGAATATTCTCTCGACCTTTGCTGGCGACATTCCTGCTGGTGTGATCGTTCTGCTCATCGAGCATATTGCTATCTCGAAGTCGTTTGGGAGAATCAATAATTACAACATCGATCCCTCTCAGGAGATGATTGGCATTGGTGTCGCGAATCTCCTTGGCCCGTTTCTTGGCGGGTACCCTGTCACAGGATCCTTCTCCAGAACCGCAATTCAGTCCAAGGCTGGTGTGCGAACGCCACTTGGTGGTGTCGTCACGGCGATGGTAGTATTACTTGCCATCTATGCCCTTCCACCTGTCTTCTTTTTCATCCCGAACTCGTCTCTGTCTGCCGTTATTATTCACGCAGTCGGAGATCTCATCACCCACCCAAATACTGTGTACCAATTCTGGAAATGTTCGCCCCTGGAAGTTGTCGTCTTCTTTGCTGGTGTCATCGTCATGGTGTTCACCAACATCGAGAATGGAATTTACACCACAGTAGCAATGTCGCTTGCTATCCTCCTCTTCCGTCTTGTCAAAGCTAAGGGTCAGTTCCTCGGCAGAGTCAAGGTGCATTCGGTCGTCGGAGACCACCACCTGGTGGCTGGGCCGGAGAAGAGCGGCAAGGGTTCTGCTTGCCGGAATATCTTCCTTCCAGTAGACCATGAGGATGGATCTAACCCTGAGATTCAAGTTGCACAGCCATATCCTGGTGTTTTCATCTACCGACTAACTGAAGGATTTAACTATCCAAGTGCGAATCATTACCTTGATCATCTTGTTTCCTCAATCCACAAGCAAACAAGGAGAACGAATCCCAACAGCTATAGCCGGCCTGGTGACCGGCCGTGGAACATGCCCGGCCCTCGACGCGGCCAACAGGAAGAGGATCGCTCTCAATTACCCACATTGAAAGCGGTTGTTCTCGACTTCTCCTCTGTTAACAACGTTGATGTGACTTCAGTCCAGAACCTGATCGACGTCCGCAACCAGCTTGACATGTATGCTTCACCGCAGCCTGTAAATTGGCATTTTGCACACGTCAACAACCGATGGACCAGACGAGCACTCGCGTCTGGTGGATTCGGAAATCCTACCCCGGCTGTACACGATAAGTGGAAGCCAATCTTCAGCGTTACCAACCTCGAGGGCAACCAATCCGCTGAGGCCCATGCTGAGTTCCTGGACCATGAACACGGAATACAGGCAGCTCGCACTGATATTGAGTCGCCGGGTGTGGATAGTGCCAGCTCGACTATCAAACGTGCTGAAGGCGCGGATTCGAACAGTTCCATGTCGGTATTGGACAAGGAACTGGTTACTACCGCTGAGTACGCCAAACCGAGAATGACTGTTGTTCATGGATTGAATAGACCATTGTTCCATGTTGATTTGACCAGTGCTTTGCAATGTGCTATTGCTAATGCTGCCTCGGAGCACTGATGTTTTGTACGGTATTCATTTTTAGGATCATTTGTTGAACAATGGCGTTGGTGGGAACTTTGTGATTTTTATTTTGTTACTCTATCTTTATTCTTGTTTACTTGGTTGAAGCCAGGGTGTGAAGCGATTTTTTTGATTTTGCTCAATGCATACCACTTTCTTTCTTTTTGGCTTTTATTTTCAATTGCTAGATGCATTGGCTGTTTCTGTTTTGGATTGGGGCATCTGCTACTGTAAATTTTCAAGATCTGATTGTGCATTGACTGCTAAGGGAAATTAACATCTACCTACCCCAGAACACAACCTGTCTCGGTTCTGTTCGGCTTGTTATCATAGAATTCAATAGAAAGCAAATGACCAACTACTCCTTTATTCACCACGGAATGGCTCCCTTCAGCATTACGTGCGTTGCGTGTTGTTGTCCAATTGGGGATGCACAGCCCTGGAAAGCCTAGTTTATGCCCAGGGAATCAAGCTGACATTTGCCCCCCTCTAGCTACACTTCCATCTCGTAATTACTTCCTCACGCGATAACCGCGGCGAGCCGCTATCCCCAAGGCGGTTAGCAATGAGGCTTTGACAAGATTTTAGCGCCGGTGCTTAAACCCTGCGTGGGAGATGCGGGACGCTAGCCTAAAAGAAGCAATTTTTCGTAAACCTCCATGTCAGCACTGGCGATAACGCCTTGGACAGACGACGACGGTGGCTGTCGACCACATGGCGGGATATCGAAGTCATTCGTTCGTGGAGGCTATGGCCGTAGTCTAGCTAACTCACTGCTGGCCAGGATGCGTTGGCAATCTTGCTCGGCAGAGCCTGATCGGTAAAACTAGTTGGTTACGGAACTACGGCCGTCGTTACCTCTTACTACTTTTTGTTGACTAAACACCGGGATCCGCTAGAAAGGGAGAAAATCGCGCTGCCCATAATTCCCCTTCACGCGGACCGGAGCAGGGCTGAACGCCTAACTAACTGTCTAACTAGCCTAAGCAAAATTCTTTGGCTTTCCAGATCTCTCATTGGCTCGACGCAGCTTTGCGTGCCCAGTCAGACCTGGTCCTGATTCGATCTTTTTTGGAAATGGCATTTTTCACGATTCGACTAACTAGCTAGCTAAGCACTAAGCTGGCTGGTTGATCGCCAGCCTTTGGGCGAGATACGGCAAAAAGGGCGAAGTTGCTGTCACAGCCACTCGCCAGAGCCGCTTCTTTGGATATTCATCGAGGCGGACCCTAATGGACCTCGTATTCGCGATCATTACCATTGGTAAAGGGAAATCGGCTTCGTTTCAGGCTCCTCGGCTCTATATAATAATGGACCATTTCCTCGCGTTTGGATAGCAGACTATTTTTTTTTTTTTCAATCTTGCACACAATTAATACTCCCTCCTCGTTTTCCTTTGGTATTTAACTACTCGAAAAATTCTTCCATATACCCTTTTGGCCTTCAAGCTTTTCCGTTCAAGATACCCCTTTATTTCATTTTCATTCCGTCAGCAAAGGCGTGCTTGCTATATAGATTTCCCAAGATATGTATATGGTATACAAAAAGATAAAAGGGCGAAAACCTCCAAAGAAAAAGGCCAAGAAGCCCTGCCGTCATGAGTTACAATCACAGAGACCATCATCTACACCAGAAGCCACACTTATAAATGAGGAGGACAGAAAGCCCGATGTTACGCCAAAACCAGAAGAACCCGCTGAAGTGCTCCAGGAGAATCGGGACCCTTGCCTGCAGTGCAAAAAGGAGAAGCACGACAAAAGAGTCTATAGATGGAAACTGATAGGCGGCCTGCTACTCCCGTATTTTCTAGCATCCGTGGATTTAACCATAGTGGCTGCAGCTTTACCATTCATCGCGTCCCATTTCAGTATGTATTCTCTTACTGTGGGCCCATCCGACCCGAGACTCCTCAACTAACAAACTTCTCCTTTTAGACAAATTGGACGAATTGAATTGGATTGTCACTTCATTTACACTGACATCGACCGCGTTCATTCCCGCCTTCGGCCAGCTAGCTGACGTCTTTGGACGCCATGTGGTTCTTCAAATGGCCATGTTCTTCATGCTGATTGGAAGCGTACTATGCGCTGCCGCGCAGACATGGCCGATGCTTCTGCTTGGTCGCGCCTTACAAGGCACGAGCTCGGCAGGAATAATGAATTTGATCCAGATTATCTTGTCTGATAAGGTCAGCTTGGCGGATAATGCGAAGAACACTACTATATTTCAGTTTGTTGCCGGTGTGTCGTATAGTGTTGGTCCGGTTATTGGGGGGTAAGATCTTCTAATTTCGTCTCAGGATGAGGAATTTGGCTAATTTTTGCCTAGATACTTAACTCAAGTATGAATGTTCACGACGCAACTACCAGAGTCTATACTAATATCCTTCACTAGGCCAATTGGCGTTATTGCTTCGTTCTGAGTATACCAGTAAGGGCATTAATACCACTTACGTTACATGACTGACTGACTTGTCTTTTCAAAAAGGTTGCTTTTTTTGCCCATATCCTTATCTTTTTCCTGTTACGCAAAGAACTTGTGAATGGCACGCATTTTACCAAGAACTCGCGACGGTCATTATTCATGGACGGTCTCAGCACCGTTGACGTCGGCGGTACTTTTCTATTCGTAACGAGCGTTTGCCTGATTATTATTGGTACCTCATGGGGAGGAGCAACTTATCCCTGGTCTTCGGCGGCTGTCCTAGCTCCGCTTATTATTGGAGCTATTCTCTTTGTCATATTTTTTCTCTATGAATGGCTCCTCTCGCCTGGACGTTTCCTCTCCAGATGCTTTCCAATGCAGACCGCAATGATCCCATCCGAGCTTTTCCATAAGCGGGATACGGCCGTTTTAGCAATCATTGAATTCGCTACCGGTGCAGGTATGCTGATTCATAGTATCTTGTGTGTTGTTGGCCTAGCTGACTTGATTCTTCAAAAGCGATGTTTTCGGCTTTCTACTTTGTCGGTATTTATTTTACTCTTGTTGAAGCTTACGAGCCGGGAAAATCTGGCTTGCAATTGCTCTACTACGTCCCCGGAATAGGAGGTAATATAATCAACGTTTATTTGCCTTTGTGGCCCCATAACTTACCTTTTTCATAGCTGGTGTCTACTTTGCTATGTTTACGTGCAATGTATGGCCTGCTCAAACATTTTACCCGCTCAGTATAGGAACTATCATCGAAAGTGTTGGAATTGGCCTTATTACTTGGGCTATCACAACTAGACAAGTTCCACTCGTTAACGGAATGATGGCACTTGCGGGTGCTGGAACTGGAATGCGTTTCATGCCAGCTACCCTTCATGCTGCAGGTATCTGGCCTGACAAAATCGCACCGGCGATGTCTGTAATGCGATTTTCTTTACCGTTTGGGGGTACACTTGCTCTGGCTATTATGGGAAGCGTGTTTAACAACAAGATGGCTCCAGTCTTCCGTGCCACGAACTCGGACCGAATCGATCCACACGCAACACAGAGCTTGAATGCAATCAATCGTCTTCCAGAGGCTGTTCAGGCTTTTGTTCGCAACACAGGTAAAGATGCGGTGAAATGGGCTTTTATTTCTATCACCCCGATAATGGCTATCAGTCTTGTTGCGGTCTTTTTCCTTGGTAACGTTTGGATGAAATCTCCCAAGGCAAAAGAAGCGAGTGAAAGAGCGAAGACTCAAGGCACTCACGAAGAGGGAATAGTTAGCAGTGAGGTCATTGATAAGCCTTTCGCTTGGGCGGTGATTACTGTAAGAACCATCACCTACTTACCATCGTCACTCCTTTTTGAAGCCTGCTGACTGTTGTATTTTCTGAATAGGGAACTGTTGACGCGAACAAGTACATTAGTACTCCGCTGTCAAAGGCAGATAAAGAGAGGCAAGCTCAGGCGTTGATCGAGGAGAAAACAATCTTGCGTAGTAGAAAGGATAAAAGCGCACAGATGGGTGGTGATGTTGAACAGGGCATTTGATTATATAAGCTAAATCTAGACTATTTGTTGAGCAGGAGTCAGGTGACTTGTCAGGTGACCAGGTCTCCGAAGGAGGAACCGGAGAACCGTAGGTTCGCCACCTCCTTCTCTCAACCACGGTACCGATTTCATTATCTTTGTCTATCAGGCTGGCGGAGGTTTGCTAGGGGTTTTTCATATGTTTTTCCCATAGCCTCAGTTATAGCATGTTTGTCTATAAGTATCTGTGTCTTGTTTGTTAGGAGCAAAACCAGATGCAATATTATAGACACTCAGTCACATGATCATCACATGCTTCTGTGTCATCTGATAGTTATGAGCCTGGGCTCTTTCAAGGATTTGGTTGTTATCTAAAGATATGTTCAAGATACTTTATTTTACTCTTGTTACCCATATAAATAGAGGTCACTATTAAGTATCTTGAGATCATACATTGAACCCCCTATTTAAGCTTAAATCTTAATTGCAGAGTTTGTGGAGATCTAATGCATCTATATATTTACTGATCTAAGTCTATGAAAAATCATAATCTAGAGTCAACATCTCACTTCAATAATTAATTAAAAATGAATGAATCATCTAGAAGAGTTGTTATGCTGAATAGTTCTGATGATTGAGAAGAATGGATTGAAGACATCAAGCATTTAGTAAATCTTCATCAATTGTGACTGTATGTTGATCCAACAAAAGAAATGCATTCTGAACTTTGAGAATCTGTTATAGAGGATTTTCTTTCTTCTGAGAAAACCAAAGAAACTGTGACTCCTGCAGATATGAAACATGCAAGAAATATGCAAAGAGATTGATACAGAACTTGAGAGAAGAGAATCTTAGTGATGCAAGAGCTACAGAAGACAATAAGAGACTGTGTAGATCTGTCTCTGAGAATTCTTACAATAAGTGAATTGAGTGATGTAGAAGCTACTGCAAAAGAACATCTGAAAGCTCTATATGCTAGAAATGCAGTGAATGCTTCTCAATTGAAAGCTAGACTAGTAGAGAGATTCAAAATTCTAGAAGATGGATCAAAGAATCAAGTGATTGAAGCATATTTGCTGAACTACAAAGAAGCATTAAATCAGACCATCATGTACAATATGTGCAAATATATCTGTGAGTCTTTTGCCATCAAACAATTCCTGAGAGCAATCTCTCAGAATTACAGAGAGTTCTTCTATATGTATCTGTCAAAGCTTCTAACTGAAGAGAATTTGAATCAGAAGCATGAGCTGGATGTTTATAGACATATTCAAATATTTCAGCAGACATTAAAGAAGAATTCTGAGCCAGGTCAACAGAATAAGCTGTCAGCATATTCCACTGAAAAGATAGTTCAAAATAAGCCATTGGGGGAGAATAATGAAAATATGAACTCTGCATGTCTTTGCAGAGAGCACCATGGTTGGGTGTACTGCCCATATTTTAATCCACTTGTTCAACCAACAGGCTGGAAACCAGATCCAAAAATTGATAATAAGGTCAAGAAAGCATTGAAGAATCCAGTGAATGACAGAAAATTAAAGAAAAAGATTGCAAATTGGAAGAAATCAAAGAATTTGAATGCTAATGAAGAAGTTGATGCTTCAAGTGATGCAACAGATGGTAATGCTAACAAAGCTGTTGCCAAGACATTCTCTAACCCAACTATCTTCACTTCCATAACAGTTTTTAACTCCACTAACATGAGCAATAAATATGAACCCTATTCATTACAGAACAGCTTCATATTAGATGAGGGTGCAGATGCACATATTTGCAATGATTTTATAAGATTTCAAAACTATCAGAACACTGGTTCTTTGGATATTGTGCTCATTGAAAATACTCATTGTAAAATCCATGAATATGGTGATGTTGAAGTTTATACCCAAACACCAGCAGGTGCTGGCAAGATATTACTAAAGAACATTCTATATGTTCCTGACTTTCATACAAACCTAGTAGCGCACAGATTGCTGTGTGCAAAGGGTTGTTATTTGGATGACAAGTCTCTTATGGTTTACTACACCAGTACAAGGGATATCTTGTTCAATTTGACTGTTAAAGAGAGAAAAATGGTCATTGAATACAGACCTATTAATGTTGCAACAGACAGTATAACAAAGAGTGTTTTTACTGCCTTGTTGAGCAGAGATTTGATTAAAAAACTGTTGACAGTGTTGATCTTCAGTTTGCTAGAAACAATGAATATTTGGCATTTGAGACTTGGTCATCTAGAAAGAAAGTCTCTGACTCATCTTCTGAAGATGTCTATCAACATGAAATTTGCAAAGATCTCTTGGAATTCTCTAATGGTGGAGTGTAGATCTTGTGCTCTTTCAAAAGCAAAGCAAATCATATGCAGAACACCATCAAAAAGATCTATGTGTCTGTTCATGAAGATGTCTGTTGATCTCATACAGTTTGCTTCAGATTATAATGGAGATAGGTGGGCAGTTCACTTATATTGTGATTATACCCACCCACCTGCACTACATGGAAATGATGCAGTGAAAATCTGAAAGTTTGATGTGCACAGCAAAAATGATAAGAGTAATTCTCAATTTATATCAATTGACTATCTTGACTATTTGAATTGATGGAGAGACCTCTATGCAGTCAGAACTGGCAGTGTTGACTTGAACATATGATATAGTTGTTCAATGTTTGGCACTCTACACACTGGCTCAAAATGAAGCTGTGGAATGTGTGGGAGCTTTAATAACAACAGCAGCATGTACAATGTGAATTGAAGTCAACTTGCCTGAGAATTTGTGGCCAGAATGCATCAAGACTGCAGTGTATATTTTAAACAGAATTCTGATTAAAGATCTTGATTGGAACACTTCTCTTGGATTCTTAGAGGAATATCTTTGAACTGCAACTCCTTTAACTGAAATTAGGCATATAAGAGTTTTTGGCTGTAGAGCATATCCTTTAATTAAGAATGCATGATACAGAAGAAATCAGAAACTAACTTCTAGAGTGAAAGTTGAATATCTTGTTGGATATGAATCAACAAATATTTTTTGCATTTGGATTCCAGTATGACAAAAGGTTATATTAACAAGAGATGTTATATTCAATGAAGATATGCTATTTGATTCTAATGAGATTAGCAGCAAGCTTTTATTACAGAAGAGCTTTGTTGTGCTGGATACAATATCTTTCATTGAAGTAAGTGATATTAACAAGGCAAGCTTGAGCAAGCATGACAGTGAAGATGAAGACTCTGAGAAGAATACACCACATGAAAGTCATGAGACTGTTAATCAGTCAATAAGATTGACAGAAACAATGACTAAGACACTAACTAATCAGTCAGAAGAGACATGTGCATTGCCAACATCAGAATCTACATCAGAGTCATTGACTTCAGACATCTACACCCAACTCCTTCTGGATGGTCCAACAATGCCATTGACTGAAATAGAGATGCTGGATCAACTTTCATTGACAGCCAATCATTCTGCTGTGGAAGCTATGGAGATGGTGAGTGGTGTTGTAGTTGAGCTGTCTGAAGATATAACATCTACTACACTTTCTGCTGCTAGCCCTACAGGGGTGGTGAGCACAAATGATGGACAATTAATAGTCAATTGTTCTGCTGCAGAGGTGATGAGCACTAATGACAGAATTTTGACAGTCAATCATTTTGTCATGGAAGCAGTGAATGACTCAGCTGACACAAGCTTGAGCACAAAGCAACCTTCTAGGTGAAGTGCTAGAATAAAGCACCAAAATGCAGATCAAATTGACAGATGAACAGCTTATACAGCAATTCTGCAGCAAACAGTGCATTTGAATTCTTTTTATAGAGGCTATTTAACAGCTTTTACAATTATGAATTCTAGACTTCACAGAGAGAATCTTTCAAAGTCTCCAAAGCATTATTTTTCAATGTTGCAACATCCACATGCTGGTGACTTTAAGACTGCAATGGATGTGGAAATGGAGAAGCTATGAATGAAGAAATGCTTTGAAGAAGTAGAGAGCTTGGAAGAAATACATTCAATCTCTTTAATGTGGATTTATATGTACAAATTTGATGTTAATGGTTTTTTGGAACATTATAAGGCAAGGCTTGTTTTTTGCAGAGATCTGGATATCAATAATAAACATGATATCTACATCACTACTCTCACTGCATGAATATTTCATCTTTTAATGGCTATAACAGCTTATTTTGAAATGAAGACCTTCCAGATTGATGCTGTTAATGCATTCATTAATGCTTCATTTGATAAATCAGTTTATTGCAGGCCAGCAGAGAGTTACAGTAAGAAAAGAGGTGTTTGGAAGATTCTATGTGTCTTATATGACCACTCTGAATCTCCACAACTCTGATACAAAGATCTCACTTCAACACTCTGGGAACTAAAATTCTGTCAGATTTGTGAAGAATCATGTCTATTCATTGGTAAGAATATTATTATCTTCTTTTACATGGATGACATAGTATTTTTATATCACAGAAAGGATGTTGGAACATTTGAGCAGTTATTGAAGAATCTATGAGCACATTACAAGCTTCAAGAGATTGAAGAGCTAGAGTGGTTTCTAGATATCCATGTCTTACACAATAGGAATGCTCAGAAGCTTTGGCTGTGCCAGAATAGTTATATTGAGAAGATTGCTAATAAGTTCAATCTTACAGAGTTGAAGTCATCATGTATGCCAATGATAACTGTGAATATAGCTTCTTATATGAGGGTGCAAGATAAGCAACAAATACATGTCTATCAACAGAAGATTGATTCAGCTCTCTATGCTGCTATTGTAATGCAGTCTGATATTTCATTTGCTACTGCAAAATTAAGTGAGGCTTTGGTTAACTCAGAATCAGAACACCATACAGCAATTGAGAGAGTTATCTCATATGCTTTTTCAATGAAGTATTATGCTCTTGAATTCCATGTCAAGAGAAAGTTGAATACCCAGAGTGATAATAATGACACTGTAAACACTCATTTAATAATCATCAGTGATTCTTCTTTTGCAGACAATTTGAGCTCTAGGCACTTCTTCCAGAGCTCTATATTCAAGCTCTTTGAAGACTTGATTGATTGGAAATTCTTCAGACAAAAGACTGTTACAACATCTTCAACAGAAGCTGAGCTTTTAGCACTATTCTATACAGCAAAAGAGACCATGTGGTGGAAACACTTATTTAAGAATATTATGTTGAAATTAGGAAGAGATTTTGATATTTTATGTGATAATTTGCAAACAATATGATTACTGATGTCAGCAGCTCTGCAACTAATTATCAAGCTTCATCACATTAATATTCATCACCACTGATTATGGAAAGCAGTTACTAATAAGGAATTGAATATTATCTGAATTGAAAGCAATAATATGTCTGCAGATGACTTAACAAAGATCTTATCTAGACAGAAATTTGAAAAATTCATTAAGCAATTGGAGCTTGTGAATATTGATTATTTAATAGAGGAGGATTCATCATCTACACTGCTGTCAAAGCTACAGAGATGTGTTGAGCAGAAGTCAGATGATTTGTCAGATGATCAGATCTCTGAAGAAGAAACTGAAGAACTGTAGATTCATCATCTTCTTCTCTCAATCACAGTATCAATTTCATTATCTTTGTCTATTGGGCTGGCAGAGATTTGCTAGGAGTTTTTCATATGTTTTTCCTGTAGCCTCAGTTATAGCATGTTCATCTATAAGTATCCATGTCTCATTTGTTAGGAGCAAAACCAGACGCAATATTATAGACGCTCAGTCACATGATCATCACGTGCTCCTGTGTCGTCCGATACTATTAATAAGCATAGTAGTGTATTCGGATAAATATTATTGCGGAAGCCGTAAGTCCATCTGCCCAAACCGCGTTTAACGACGAGTAGGCCGCATAGAACAGTTCCTTGTGCATAGTTCTCGACTTCTATACGTCTGTGAGAGCTTCTGGACCTTTTTACTTTTCTCCACCCGTCAAGTTTATTACAGCTCATATGATCTCCTTTCCGATCGGAGCTTTAACTTGCAATATATAATATCTGATAGAACGGCTGGACCGGCCACGATGCCACCCACAAGCCAGGAGCTTTCCCTCCTGATTAACCCTCTTGTTCCCGAATCTGTGGCACACAATACTCGTGTCTGTTCCCAAAAGCCAATCTCTTTTATGGCGTGAACTCTTCACTGATATAAAATTAACAGACACTCTCGACTCTACATTCCATCTCATCGTTTCTCCTTGGCCTGGCTGCCGGTATCCTGGGCCTTCGTTCCTCTAGCGGCTTTATCTTCTACCTCCTCGGCACACTTTTTATCTCTCTACTCTTCCATATATTATTAATCGGTTTTAACAACGATGGAAACAATGGCCTAGGCGTTGGGGCATATTTCCCTGGCAGTGGTGAAATAGTCAGCCTGGGTGAGGGTAGAGGTTATAGGAGAAGGGGGGCGTGGAGGGATATTTGGTTTAACGGCGGTGTGTTTGGAGAAGCTCTAAGTGGATTCGTGCTGGGTTGGGCAGGTGTAGGCGGTGTTTTAAGATGATAGTTGTATAAAATATATCGTGTTGAGTAAGTTTTCCAATTCAATCCTCGTGCCTTGGTGCTAGTGCTTACATTATTTCAAGAACTTGAGCCCTACCTGATGTATTATTGATAGTCACTTGCAAAATCTCATGGAAGCTCCTTGTGCTCCACGTCGCATCTCTCAACTTCTGCTTCATACCCTTGATTGCTGATTTTCTGCATGAATTACTGACATTCGTTTATGTAGCTGCAACTGAAGAAGAGCACGATAGCTATAAGATACCACTTCTCCCCCCCTCCTCATCCTCGTTGGATACTATATCTTCGATGCTCAATTTAACAAGGACTCTGCCGTTGATTCGCATATTCTATTGCCTTGGGCACCAAATACCTGCGGATGGAGATGGCTTACTCTGTATCTCAATCCTACGGACAAGCAAGGCTACAAATACGAATAGGCTACCAGATATAAGCAAATCCAGGCTTATTATTGACTTGGTGGTCAACAAGAACCACGCCCAAACCTAAACTAAGAACGGAATTCGCAATGAATGGCCATACATCACCCGGACCAGATCCCAAAGAAAAAAAAAGTCAACTTTAAACCAGTGCCGATGAGTAGTGAATCATTGACTTTCATTTTAATCACATACAATACTACCGATCGGACTTCCTGAAGAATCCGGTCGCTGTAGCCAACATCTGTATACTCCTCTTTACGTATCTTAGGGATCTACGCACTATTGAAGCCTAGATTAGGCTCCCGAGCCAGGTCATAGTAGTATGAAGCATCGGTTCATAAGCATGCACACAACGAGTCAATAAACCAAATAACTAGAATCGAAGTATTTAATTTTGGGGCCAAGAAAATCAATTGTATTAATAGCATTCTTCCGTCAATGTTGAAAAGATAATGCAAGTAAAAAAATTGGAACTGATCATGGCATTGGAAACCAAATTGTCATTTTATCAAGAGCTCTCCGTACGGATTTTACTGGATATACCTACAGCATATGGCTAAGGGACATGTAAAAGTCTCCAGTTCAAATTGTTTGATGACCGTTCATCGAAAACTAACTTGAATGTAGACGGTTAGCTATATTATTAAATTTATTGCTATTGAATTGCTATCAAGGATGCGACTAGTCAAAACAGTACTACTTCATTGTTTCTAGAATTCTCTTGATAATATGTATTCTAGATTTTGAAGTCTTCCCCATCACTTAGCATTTATGTAATTTTTTTTTGAGCTTTATGGTAATGGGAACGAGGGATAGCATAAAAAAATACAACTTCAAAGTTATAAAATGGGATCATAGCCCGGAACATAAGGAAGAATGCATGGCAAAGATGTATCACGATCACTACTAGGCAATCTGCCTCCACATTCCAACACCGAACGCAAGTTACATATCTATGTACATACAAAAGCCATCAGCACAACATACAGATGATGAGGTAAAACCGTTTCTTAAACACGGTGAGGATTGTTTGGTCTGCTTTCCACATCTATATCAAATTGAAGTATCAAAAGCGCTAAGGTTGAAGCAGTAGACGGTTATCATAACCCAACTAGGAATGCATCCGCAGGAAGTTGTTCCTGGGCCTATTTGATAGGTAAGCACGAGTCCATAAACATAGAAAAGTAAAGACATAAATCGCAATCTTACCCTAAGTATTTCAAAGTTTTTCAATGCTTCCTCCAGGTTCCAGCCGTTGCCAGAAAGAGCCATCTCAGAAAATTCCAGGGTCATTTTTGTCCTGAAACTAATCTCGAGCACTAGCTGCTCTTTTCTAACTTGCTCATCTGATTTCCCTGGGGTGGGTAATCCGTATCCGGGTTTAGCTTGAGGGTGGGATCGCTGAACTTGGGCTGTGGTGGGATTTGGTGTCGGTATCGATGATACGGCTGGAATTGTTTGCTGTTGACCTTCGGGGACCCAGGCTTGACAATCCCCATATGCTCTCAAACAGAGCATATCGTTGCTCACTCTTATTCCTCCTGGCCCAGGGCCTGGACCTAGCACAAGTGTACGGTCGAAACTTCGTGTTTGAGTTAGGTTCCCAGACGCATCAAGTTCATCAAATTTCCCATGGATAGTAAGAAGGAGCCCACCAACACCAGTCACACTTTGGCCAGTTGGGTCAGGAAGGCCAGGAATTGGGTGACATTCGATTAGCCACTGTTTTGGGTCTGATAATAAATCAGGATGACGAGTTCGAGGTAGTGAGTTCCATAAAGTTCGAATATTTTCAACCCCAATAAAAGCTCGGGACATTCTGGCAGAAACATAATTGATTTTTAGGAGGTTCCTACTCTTTTTGATATATGCATCCCAATTTGCTGGTGGATCTGTTTGCAACGCTCGAGGCGCCATATTATTCACATTAAAAGAAAAAACGGATTGACTGTCGTAGAAGTTCAGCAGTTCATTTTTGTTGTTGTCGAAGCTGACAAAAAACATCTTCAGAAAATTTTCGGCAATAGCAGACTCATCGCGAAAAAACGGAATTTTAACTGGAATAGGTGTCTTCTTTGCTGCTGCAATCTCATCTGCTGTTCTGACAGCTATATTGTTTAGATATTGTAATTTTGGGTACCATTTTAAAAGTTTCTCTTTGAAATCTGCTTCTGAACTAGCTCCGTTTCCAGAAAGATCGAGGAATTCAAGATTCCGAAATTTCCATCTCCAACTGCTCAAGTTCTGAGTACTTTTCAGGTCGTTGTCTGATAAGTCTAGATTTTTCAAATCTGGAAAAGTCTGTGCTAAAGCAGTGACAGGGGCAACGTTGACCAATTTGTTGTGAGCTAGGCTCACACTTTCGACTGCAGCCCTTCGTTTTTCGCTTGAATCAAATGTCAACTCACATATTTTCATCAGAGCAGGGAAGAATTTTGATTCTGTTGTAGTACTGTTGAACATGCCCATATCGACAAGGTCGGAGTCGGTGCCCAAATTTGACAAATCGAGCAGCTTTTTCTGCTCAAAGTATCTCTTGGCCAGGAATGATGTCATTTTTGCTTTTGTATCCAGCGCAGCTTGAGAAGGGGTGCCAGATGGCTTCGAAAATGCCGGTTTCTCGTGTTTCTCGATGATAAGGGGAGCCCCTGCGAAGGAATATCCATTGATACGTAAAAGCCAATCTGCTTGTTCTGGACGCACCGAAATAATCAGAGCGTCTCCTTCAACTCGCGACTAGTTAACGTTAGCAAGGTATAAAAACCTTGGTGGTGGAGGTCAACCAGCGGGGTCGGCGGCAAGATATTCTGAATAACGGAGTCTTAATCGTCGGAAGATAGGAAGTGGCGAGGCGACGATGGCATCCCCGAAAAACGATATTGCGAAATACACCGACGACCGTGGAAACGTAGTTTTTGCACATACCTTTGTGATTCTTAATCGGACACCAGTATTCGGACCTGGGGGTGTAGCTTTCTTTTCCAAGAACGCTAGAAGACTCTGAATACCTCCGTCAGAGTTCGAAGCCGCTTTGCTGCCTTTCCATCCGCGGATTTTGAGTTGTGATGTGCCGTCATCGACGGCCATACTATCTGCCCTTCCCCGTTTGATATTGGCATGAGACGAGGTGCTGAATATGGCTTTTTGAAGAGCGTCTAAGGTCCTGTCTTTGTCGGTCGCTCCTTGTCTTGATGCTGGGGTAACTCTTCGAGACAGGTCACCTCGTCCGCGAGCCTTTCCTGCACCGCGCCCCCGCACGTTTCTCTCACTACCCATGTCTAGATCCCCATCCTTATCCAGCCGTGGTGCAGAGCCTCGTTTGCGGATACCGCCACGGTCAGGGGCGCCGGTTCGAGCGCGAGGTCCTCTTGGTGGGCGAGATCCGTTCATTGTCGAAGAGGAAAGTTGTAGCATGACTTGCTAGAAACGAAAGTGCGGAGAACGAAATTTGCGGGATCCCAGGGATGGGCCGCTGCTCGCGTTTCAAAATGGCCGTCGAAAGAACCGCATGCGTGAATAAATGGGCGAGAAAGGAAGGAATGGGAAAGGGTCGTTTGTAAGATGTGGGAGCGGAGGCAGCAAGCAGTTTTCGGCTTCCAGGAAGCAATTTGCAGGCAGGTCCAATGCCAAGGCGACAGGATCACGCGATCTGACTAATCAATGAGGCTGTCACCGCGCTTAAAAAGAGGCGGATAATAGACGCGATCACGTGTGAAATTAAGCACCAGCGGCAGGCCAATCAGAGGCGGCCGGCGACAGCGTCTCGAAGCTAAAAGGTGGCCTTTCACGATGTGAAGGCTGAGGTAGACACCCGCGTGGACACACCCTCTTTAATTCGGCTGGGTCGCAAGAGACTCAATTGGAGCTTTCTACTTTTTTTTTTAGGGCTGGAACATGCTAAGGGTATGAACGCCTCTGCTGAAGCAGCTCCTGTCTAGTTGCGTCGCGCCCGCCCGCTAGATTCAGGGGAGGACTCCTTTGCTACTTGCGGACCCTTGCATTCCTCTCCTTTTAGAAAATCCTAGTATTTCATTTCGTCATGGCAGTTAAATCCCGTTTCACCCGGCTGGACGCTTTTGCGAAAACCGTGGAAGATGCGCGCATCCGGACGAGGTCAGGGGGTGTCGTCACAATCGTTTCATTAATCGTGGTTATCTTGCTGGTCTGGGGGGAATGGAAGGATTATAGACGAGTGGTCGTGCTTCCAGAGCTAATCGTGGATAAAGGAAGAGGTATGGAGCTGCTCCGGACTACACGGTCCGCTGCGCAGACGCTGACTCTCTTTTGTAGGAGAGAGAATGGAGATTCACCTCAACGTAACTTTTCCTCATCTTCCTTGCGAACTGCTTACGCTGGATGTTATGGATGTCTCTGGCGAGCAGCAGAGTGGTATCATACACGGCATCAACCGAGTCCGCCTCAGCCCGGCCTCCGAAGGCGGCCATGTTCTTGATATGCAATCATTGGAACTGTGGGTTAAGCGATTTTTTATGCTTAGACTGTTACTGATTTGTATTTGATATAGAAATAAGAAAGACCAAGTTGCGCTACACCTTGATCCTAATTACTGTGGCTCTTGCTACGATGGCATCCCTCCCGAAAATGCTCAGAAACCTGGTTGCTGCAATACTTGCGACGAAGTTCGGGAGTCCTATGCCTTACGCAATTGGGCGTTTGGAAAGGGTGAAGGCGTTGTACAATGTGAACGAGAAGGCTATGGTTCGAAAATTGACTCACAGAGACACGAGGGTTGCCGGATTGAAGGAATTCTTCGAGTCAACAAGGTCATTGGCAATTTCCACATTGCACCGGGGCGCAGCTTCACAAACGGACACATGCACTCCCACGATCTCAAGAACTACTATGAGACTCCTGTACCGCATACTATGGCGCATATCATCCACCAACTTCGTTTCGGCCCCCAATTACCTGACGAGTTGTCGCAGAAATGGAAATGGACAGATCACCACCATACCAACCCCCTTGACTCTACTTCTCAGGAGACCAACGACCCCAAATATAACTTTATGTATTTCATCAAGGTTGTCTCAACCTCCTATCTACCTCTCGGCTGGGACGCTTCCCAGTCATCTGAAATCCACAGTCGCCTCGCCAATGACGCACCACTGGGCTCTCAAGGTATCCAGTTTGGCGAGCACGGCAGCATTGAAACGCACCAATACTCCGTGACGTCACACAAGCGCTCCGTTGAAGGCGGCGATGACTCTGCTGAAGGTCACAAGGAGCGCATACACACTGCCGGGGGCATCCCAGGTGTCTTTTTTAATTATGATATCTCACCAATGAAAGTCATTAACCGTGAAGCAAGAACGAAGAGCTTTTCTGGATTCTTAACGGGAATTTGTGCTGTGATCGGCGGAACGTTGACTGTGGCGGCTGCTATCGATCGAGCACTATATGAAGGCGCGGTTCGGGTGAAGAAGCTACATAGTAGCTGAGCTTATTTGCGGGTACATGAGTAAATCTTGTATAAATCATGTGTTTACGTTCTGGTTTACGGAGTACAGCCCTTCACGATGTATTCGCCTATCTAAGCGAGCATACGAAATTCAAGTTCAAGTGAAACTTTCTTTATCTTTTCTCGCTTTTTTTCTTTTAGACTCGGCGTTATATTTCTCTGTTTATAGATGAAATCGGCGTTAGACGGGATATTTAGTTATGTCTCCATGTGGCAAACCTTGTCTGCCGACTAGTCCAGCCCTCAAAAACTTAGGATTGGCAGCCCGCTTCGTTATCGCTACAATATATTTGATGAAAACACGAGAATCTTTGAGCAAATAAAATAAGAAGCGGCGAGCGAGTTTGTTATTACGAAGTAAAGAGTCTAGAGCCGACCTTTCAACGATAATCAACGCATACTCCTGTAGACAGATCAGAAAATAGTCGCTCTGGATAGCATGTGCCGGCCCATGGAGCATCGAGTGGCTTAACAAGAATCCTGAAAAAAGAGCTCAAGAAAAGCCATTATTGCTAAAGGAATTGGAGCAAACAAAGCCGTGATAGGTCCGACCTCAAAATATTGGCTGCGCGACATAACACAATAAACTGAACCACAAATGCAGAATCAGATGTGGGACAAGTGAGAAGGCATCGATGCCAAAAACAAAGGAAACATGCGTCAAATTGAAATTTCTTTTCAAAAAAAAAATTCTTTCCCAGCCCTGAAAATGCAAAAAGATAATGGAATGGGGTAAGAAAAGAGAGAGAGAGAGAGAGAGAGAGTGTGTGTGTGTGTGTGTGTATGTTTGAGTGAGGGTATGGGTGAGCGCTGAGAACAATGAAGAAAGGAAATAGAGCATTGATGTGAGGCATGAGATATTGCAAAGGAAACTTGTAGGCCTTTCGGTGGACAGTAGGATACAACAAAAGAAACAGACCAAATGTTCATTTCATAAACTGTAGACGGTCTTGGGACTTGGAAAATCGATGATAACGTGAGGGTGCATTTGCACGAGCTGGAAAGTTGTAGACGCTTGCAGCTGTAGTTCCAATAGGGTATTGGTTCATTGCCATCTGGTATTGCGATGCTGACGAAGGCAGCATTTGCTGCTGGGATTGTGATGGAAACTGTCCTTGGAATTGCCGTTGCATGATAGCCTGCTGCACCATTTGCCCACTAACGCCGTCTCTCATTGCTTGCCTTTCTCGCTCACGGGCATCGATGGCGCTCACAAGTCCTGTCCCAAGTGCTACAGACGATCTCTTACTAGTGTCCCTGTCCATGTTGAAAAATGGCGATCCAGTAACACGGGCAACATGCTCTTGTTCTCGGGCAGAGAGATAAGTGGTCATATCAGGCTGATTTAACATGACGGTTGAGCCGCGAGAATTAGGCCTCGGAGGCATTTGCTGCATTTTTAACTGATTGGCCCAGTCTCCAGAGGCGGGACGTGACGGTATTGATGGGCGCGAACCGCTGCGTTGATGATTATAGACAGGTGAGGCGCCTCTGCTCCCTGAAGTAGCACGCTGCTCGACGAACTGTTCAGGTGTCAATCCAGGTCCAGGGCTTTGGCGGCCATTATCTACCATGCCCGGTTGCCAGAGGAAGCTGCGCCTTTTCTCGTCAAGGCCTGGAGATTTAGCAGGTTTGTTTTCCATACCAAACCAACTGGCACGTTTATCGTTTCTATTATTCAAGGCAGTCTCAGAAGAATTCTTATTTTGGGTCAGCAAAGTTAACGTATCTCCCGTACTAGGCCTGCGGGTTCCCGGGCTATAAGCATGGGTTGGACCAAAATCGACTAGGGGGATATCTGGATTCGGCTCTGGGGCCGTTCCGGCAACATAACGAGCGTCACCAATGATAACATCATCCAGGGAAGGGTCTGGAGTCCCAACGAGCTTCATTTTGCCCATCCTTGGTTTTGCTACTGATTTTGCGGATTTGGTGGACGCAGTTGATTTATGAGAGCTAGCGTAATCAAGAGTTGTTATTGAATGTTGATCGTACGGCTGTTCAACCTTGGGCTCAACATTTCGTAGATACCTCATGGGAGCTGGAAGTGGGGGCGATGGTGTCCTTTGTCTCAGTGCCAGATTCAGAGCATCCATATCTATGGTTCGACGAAGACTCCCCAGGCTTGAAGCTGTTTTCAAACTGTGGCTCTCCGAACCGTTCTGCAGCTGGGGAGCCGGTTTGCGGTGGATTTGAGGGCTCATTTCCAGATAAGGTGGCTTCTTGGGGGACTGTTGCGGGGTTAGAGGCGAGAAATTAGCATTAATAGATCCATCAGGAGCAGAGTTAAATGGAATTCCATCCAGAGCCGGGTTAACAGGGCTGACTGGTGATGAGTAAAGCGAGCTTGAGGCATCAGCTGGGACGGGCCTTGGGAACTGGGTATTACCGTCAAATGCTGCCTTCTCAGCATTGGTATCGCTGTGGATATTGCTTCCTCCTTGAAGGTCAAAGGGGCGATTTTGTCTCTTTGTATCTTCGTCATTCTCCAGTTCGTGAAGCTTTTGTGCTTCTGCCATTTGAGAAAGAGTGCCGCTTGATATCCGACTTCCAGCTCGCCTCAACTCTGGAGACATCTGGGGCTGAATATGTGGCATGTCTTTGGGGTCGTGAGAGAACGCAGGCGGGACAGTGACTTCAAGTGGAAGAGGGCTTGGCTTGAGAGCATCACGAATTTCTTGACGCTCCGCTGGATGGTCCGCTTTTGTTTCGCCGTCAGAGCTGCTTCTGTCTCCAGGCGTATCAGCACGTTGGGAATCTCCATGAGGCGGAGGCGGAGGCGCTGCTTCGTCCGCTTCTTCCAACAGTCTTGTATCGAAAGGCGGTTGAGCGTCAGGATTGTATCCGTTACGATAGGCGGTAGCGCTACTGATCTCCGATGTTGTACGGTTGTGGGATTTGGAGAGATGGTTCTGTTGACTATTTCTCTGAGGTGACATTGACAATGCGTCAGACGAGTGGTTGTTCAGCAAGCGTCGGCCAATGGACTGTCCATTGACACCGTCAAAGCGTACAGGTATTCCATTCTGGGATGAAAGGCTCCCGCGAGTAAGCCCACGCTTCCGAGAAATGCTGCTGACACGACTCGCAGTAGTAGATGTCATACGTCGTGATGTAGCGTCTTTCATCTGTTTTCTCCAATCGCGCTCGTTCCATGCACGGCTGCCGTCTGTATGAATGAGGGCCGCCACGTCTAGCGTGTCTAAGTAGCTGTTCCGTCTGCTAGCAGGCATTGCGAACATTAAACTCTGAGTACTAACAGTATCAGCTAATAAGCGAGCGGGCCTGCCATAGAGCTGGAAAGCGTCAAAAACAGGGAACAACCATCGAAGCATGGTTTCAAATCCAGATACGGCGGCATGAAGTTCTGGCAAGACAAACACGAAACCTTCAGCAACGGTTTCTGGTTCTGAATGAATTATAATATGGCCTTCCACTTTCACTAGAGTCGACTGATCCACGAGAGAGCGGGATTGCGGGTATATAGCGAACGCGGAGAATGCATCGGTTATGGTAGCTACAGGCTTGATTTTTTTCGTCTTTTTCGACGTGTAAAACTTAATATTGCCCTTTGGAGGAGTGAATGGCCGTTCGTAGGTAGACTTCTTTTTCTGCATCTTTTTATGCTTCTGCACATCTTTCTCGTCGGCTTGTGATACGACACACCAGCATCGTCTCCACGGGGTGCCCGGGCCAAATCTCACACGAACCCAGTCTTCATACTTAAATGTTGTCTTTTCTAAAATAGTTTTAATGCCATTTAACGTCTTGCCCTTCCCAGCAATTAGAGCTCCAGTGTATGATTCCTGAAGAAGAGTATTTTCAAACATGGTCAGTCGAATAGCGGCAGTCCATTGAGTAAGGGCATTTAGGGAGTTGAAGTGCAGCAGATATCTGTTCTTTCCAGCGGTTGAAATACTTAAAACATTTTGTAAAGGCGTACTATCTTGGTTGCGGGTAGGCAAGCTCTCAATCTAAGGCGATTTATGTGATTAGTACCTGAAAGCATGAAGGTACAGAAGATTCGGAGAGATTAATTTTATCCATACCATTTTTATTGAGGCGTCTGCAAGATTAATAAATGTGGGAATGACATCTACGTCAGGGTCGGCGGCATCCAAAGCGGCCGGGTCCCACAGCGAAATAACAGTCCCAACGAGTTGAGCAAAATGCTCGGTCCACTTCCTATCCTGACACGGCCGGCCATCTAGAAGGTGTTAGTAAAAGGAAAGAAAGGAAGAATAGAAAAACAGTAACGCACAATTATCCAAGTCGTTCAGTTTGAAGAAGTAGCCTTCATAGTACAGTTTGCCCGATTGGCTGTTTAGATATGAAAAGATAGGCTCCAACTCCGGTAAAGGGTTCTCCACTACGTCTGTGGGCAGTAACTGCTGTTGGTAGAGCAAGGTGGACACCGGTCGTGAACTTGCTCTATCTGGCTTCTTCAGTGTTGACGGGGCATCTTGTGAAAGAGGAGCGGGCACCTCTTCAGGAGGAGACGCGTGAAATCCATTAGGAGCTGTTACGGGATAGTCGGAGTCTGATGGAGGGGTAGGAGGAGAGGAAATGTTCTTAGGGCCTCGGCGGTTGGATATGAAGGAAAGAACTGGCGTCAAATATTAGCATGACGTTCAGTGTGCGAGGGTGACGCAAAGCACATACCTCTCAAGCGACCCATGATGAGTAGGAGAGTTGATTAACTGATACAAAGGGGGTGATCAAAGAAGAAACATGGCGAAGAGGGTGTGGTGTCAAACAGAAAAATCACTGGGAAAGAGTCTATAAGCGAGCTTCCAACTTTTTGGCTGGAAGAAGCCGGGCAGCACACTGGAGTCACTGCTGTGCAAAGGCTGCGTGCCGCACAAAGAAAAACGCCTGTGTGGCACGAGAAGAGGCCGCGAGAGGTGAATTGAGACAGTTGGAGGCTTGTGAAAGACAGAAAGCGGGCGGTGATGTGGATGGAATGATGACGGAGGAAAAGACCAAGGTTTGGGCGATGATCACCACAGCCGTGGTTGAGCCAACGAGCTTAACGGGAGGAAAAGCGCGAAAACCGGGCAGGCCAGCCTAGGCAGCGAGAGAACCAAGACCGCCGACGACAGAAAGGAAGAACTAAACGAGCGAGCGAGCTGGCGGAGTGCGGATGGGGACAGCCACGGAGTGAGACAAAGTGCCGCCCGGCGCTTCGGGGGCTCAGCGGCCACTCAGTCACGCCCATCCGCCCGGCCAGGCGCCCCTTGCCATCCTTCAGCTGAGCGGCAATAATAATTAATAACTACGGAGTAACTTAGTCGAACAATCAATCTAACTACCTACTAGCTACACACACACACATGCATGCTGCCTGGCCTCGTCGGGAGCACAGAGACGGGGCCGAAATGCGTCTCTCTGGCATCTGCTCGTGCATCCATGTCTCTGGCCGCCAAAACCGTCAAGCTTTGGCGCCATGCCCCAGGAAACATCGCCGCAGGGAAGAGAGGGTTGTATCATGTTTATTACCTGGCCCGCCCCTCATGGTTGGCCCAGAGGATAGTTATTCGAGCCACTACGGCACGGACGTGACTTCATCCCCGTTCGCAATGCTGTTTCTTCCCTTAGAGCGCCTCAATGCACAGAGAACACATAACTAGTTAGTTGGTATGAAGAAACGCCCGGGTGGAGGCATTGTATCCAATAATTACCGCCTTGTGCATCTGAGCATCCACACAAACCTTCGTAAACAAAGAGCTAGCTACTGGAGAGGAATAAATAATAATAATAAAATGGATAGACACAGGCATTCTTTTGGAGAAAATCGGACCCCGGCGCTTATAAGTACAGCCCTACAGCCGGCTCATCTTCCCTTAAAATCCGTCGACGAACAGTACCCAGCGGCCGATGATCCTGCCGTCGTGCCGAAGCGCCCAACGCATCTTCAGATCAGATTTATCGATCATCTCCAGGAACAACGCTCAGGCTGCGGGTCAACCGGCTGCGACAAGCATAACTCGCATGGTAGGAGTGCAGAGCCGGCCTGCTTGGCTCGGCGTCATGCTCAACACCGTTGACTGGTAACTTCGCGCAGCCGGTTGTGCGGTGGTGGCTTGAAGCGAAAAACGTTGAGGCTGGGCCGCGTCATGCTTTGGTAGAAACAGAGGCGCTTCTCTAGAACAATGTCAGATCGACCCTTGTTTGACAAAGGAAATCTAATAATTTTCCAGCGATTCGTATTATTGTCAAGCTCCCAAGGTGTGGCGGAGCCGAAACAATTACTGATAACAGAGCTCTTTTTTTGGGCATTTTTAAGCACTGACCAGATGCCTCTTTGGCGGCAAAGGATGAGAGCGGGTCGTCTACAGCATCCCCGGGAACCGTGGTTACATTAAACTAAAGGTTAGTTACCCCGGAGCGCAATTTGCGGGCAGGGCCAGGGGGGAAGAGCAAGTTGAGCAACAGCATCGAGCACGGGATGCGGACGGCTTGAGGAGCCGTAAGACGTTCTCCTGCATTTTACCCCTGATGCTAATCCTGCACGACAAGCAGAAATGAAGCCATTCAGAAGGCGCTGGGCTGGAGGGGGAACACAGCCGACGCCTGGGCACGCGAGAATGCCAATAAAGGTGGGTTCGGACGGGGCCAGAAGTCTCCTCCAAAAATAGGCCCGCCACACAGCGCCGATCGCGAGACAGTACGGAGTACAGAGTACGGAGTACTCCGTAGTAAACACTCGGACGTTTGGAATCTCAGCAGCAAAGTCTAAGACAGACACGACAAATAAATCGCGACACGCAAACCCCGAGACGCGAACCCGTTCTTGGCAGCATGTCTGCTTATGTAATAGTTTCCCTTCTGTGATTGGCTTAGACAACGCTGCCTAATGCGGAGGATGGTTGCCTATTGTAAATGTATTCTGGCAATGCTCTCCCACCAGGTTAACAACATCCCCCCTAACTACTACGAACTCCTAGGCCCAGATAGCGGGGATTTCGTGCTTTAGAAAATAAGGCCCCGCTGCATAGTGCCCGCTTACCCGAAGCTTGAAACGCTCCCTATCGCGGCGGAAGATATCACTAATAAGCCCGGCCCTAAGGAGGGATAAGGGCCAGCTGCGTCGCTGTAGTCAAGTCTAGGAACACCTAAGTATCAGCCTTTGCAAAATGTCTGACGAGGTCAGAGAGCTTCGCCGCTTACTGGAGGAGGAAAGGAAGCGTGCGGAGACCGCAGAGCAACGTCTTCATTGCACCACCAAAGAGCTTGATAACACCACCAAAGACCTTCATAACACCACCAAAGACCTTCATGACACCACCAAAACCCTCAAGAAAACAAGGGAAAGCCTCGAGGATGCGAAAAGCACGATCTTCCAGCAACAAATCCTAAACAGGCCAACCACGATTTTTGAGTACCTCGACACCTGCCATACGCATTTATTTCTTGGCCTCACAGTAGGCGACACTAAAGACTCTACAAAAGGTGCTCTGACGAAACCGGACGGCAGACTTCGTCCGCAGAAAATAACAGAGTGGCTGGGTTTTGCCGATGAACAAGAGGGTGTTTGGAATCGCCTTATGGACATGGAGTTTGTCTCGGAACGCCACTTTTCATCCCTATCTTTCCTCACGGAGCTTGGGGCCAGCTTAAGAACAGAAACCACCCGCTCAGAGTTGGATCTTCGCCACTTTCAACGGGACACACTTTCGCGGCCTGTCCGCTCCCTGATTTCTAGTCTATATTCAAATGAGGAAGTTCGAACTCGCTTCCATTTGTTGGGTGAAATTTCCTTTGAAAATCATGGAAATACCCTAAATGACGAGCCAACTGAAGATGAACCACCTGCAGAATGTCCCCCAGCAAAGCTTCGGAAAACTGACAAAGGAGAAGCTACGCCTACTACACCGGCCTCAAACCCTCATCCCTTGGTAGACGAATTTTGTGTGTACAACAGGGGGAATGGTCAGAATCTTCCAGCATTCATTGTTGGGTTGAAGCCTCCACATAAACTTCCCTTGTCAATAATCGAGCATTCTCTAAAAAACATGGATCTAGATGAAGTACTACAGTGCCAGCCAAACGAGTCCGAAAAAATTAAATCTCGCCGTACAATGGCCGCGGTAATCACTCAGGCATTTTCCTACATGATAAAATCTGGGGTTAGGTATGGATATGTGTCTACTGGCGAAGCCTTTATATTTCTCTATATTGGCGAGGACCCAGGCACCGTATACTACTACTTGTCACAGCCAAAAAAAGATGTGAGTGAGAGTACTGGATATGCTGGCCAAACAGACCAGCCCAATAAGCTCCATATGACTGCTGTTGGACAAGTTCTAGCCTTCACGCTCAGATCTCTTCTTGAGCCCCCGTGTCCACAGGATTGGCGAAAAAGAGCTGAGGATCTACTAAAGCCATGGCAGCTTTGTTACAATGATGATAGTGATATTACTACCCCATCCCCGAAATCAGTAGCCACCGAGGGGTATACACCCGAGATAAGAAGCAGAGAGGATTATGCTAGTCGTTCCCCTGTAATGACTAGGGCCAAAAAGTTGATACTTCTACCATCGCAACAACCGCATGCATCGGAAAATGATCAAAGTTCCGAAGAAAGTGATGAAAATTCTAATGATTCTCCAAATTCTCCTTGCAGGGGGGCGCGTCGTTCAACAAACGTTATGGTTGTGATCCCTCCTTATCATCCCAAAACATCACCTCGAACTCGTCCTTTTAGTGAGGGAAGGTCTCGACCGTACTGTACGCCACAGTGTCTTCTTGGGCTATTAAATGGAGGCAATCTGGACAAGGCGTGCCCGAATGTAAATGACCACGGGACAGATAAGCACCAGATCAATATATCGACATTTTTATCCCTTTTGCATGATCAACTACTCATTAAAGAAGAACGACCTTTGGATCTTTATGCATCCGATGGATGTGAATCACTCCATATACACGGCTCTCGTGGAGCATTATTTGAAGTCATACTTTTTGCATATGGGTATAAACTTGTTGGAAAAGGGTTTCCTGCCTGGTTTCTGCGGTATCTACAACACGAAAGAGCTATATATCAACACCTTCTTCCAGTTCAGGGACGCCATGTCCCAGTATGTCTTGGAACCCTAGATCTTTCAAAGCTGCCACTATCCTATGACGGAATTGCGGAGATTCCCCAAGTTTTGCTTCTTAGTTTTGCTGGAATCTCTCTCAGGCGCTCTGGCATCGATCGCAAAAAACTCTCTAAAATGGCATCTGAATCACTTCAAGCTATTCACCGCCTTGGAGTACGCCATTGTGATCCCTATGTCCGCAATATATTCTGGAACGTGGATAGTAAGAGGGTGGTGTTCATTGACTTTGAGCGCGCCCAAATCCAAGAGGCGAGACCCCCCTTACAGGTCACATCTTTCAACGCAAAGCGAAAAAGAGTAGATGCCGAAGAGCTTGCTAAAGAACGTCGAGCTTGTTGGATGCTTGAGGATGAAATGCACAGTATGCTAATGGATATCCCATACGTTTAAGCTGGGCGGACCCCGTGGACACCAGGATTATATACAGACGTCGCGCATACAGTTGATCGACTATCTTCATTACTTGGATACATTGTTTTACCTGAAATTTTCCCTGGTAATGAGACCATGACTTTTTGAATCACACGTACGAAGTACAGCACATTTGAATAGATATCAAGAGCTAATAAAATTTTCGGGTTAGAAAAGATGATAGTAATGCATCTGTCTAATAATGTCAAAAATCCAATAACCAACCAATGCTTTATTATCAGTCCAGCCTATGGCTTATTGTTGAGCTATCGTATATTCTAACAGAGGGTCAATAGCCTCTAGACAATCATCATCATCATAATTCGTCATAATCCTGTCGCCACTTTCATCTGGGAGGGGTTGACCATCAAATAAATTGGTATCCTGTAGAAAAAAATCACCGCCGACACCATCTTGATAGCTCGATTCCACCCCAGGAGCTTGAATGTCAACCTGAAGCGAATCAAAATTGAGATTAAAGCAATGATTGCCACCATACATCGCCCGCCGCATGAAAAGGATCTGTATATCATTCTCTTGCAGTGCATGTTTTGCTTCCATGTGAAGCCAAAGGTCATAATCACGACGGAAAAGATACTGGCACCCCTCGATCAAGCATGGAATATGTCGACCCGATTCCTCAGTGTAGCCATCGCCAGTAAGTAGTGCTAACTTCGATGGGACCGTAGATCTTGATTTCAATATTGCTGTCAAACCCATTTGCTCCCTTCGTTCCACCTTTACATTCTTAAGGCCTAAGTGTGAGGTTCGAACATGCTCTTCGAGGGCAAGTTTGCTTCCATATCTTTTTCCACAGGCATCTTGGCCAGTCCAGGCCTCTAGGTATTTGGACGTGGAGAGATCTGTTTCACCACAGATAAATCGTTTTTCGCCCTCGTGCACCGTTTTAACATGCACATTTAGATTTCCTTTCTTAGTGAAACTACGCCCGCAATTGGGATATTCGCACGGATGCACACGTCTTTCTTCAAGAGATAGATTGGAGTGCGCTATTTCCATATGACGTCGTAGTTCCCTCGATGAAGAGCAAGCGAGCGAGCACTCAGGGCAAATTGGAGGATGGGCGGATCGAATATGAGTTTGAAGTAAAGCGTAGGTTGGAAAGCTGTATTTTCCACTTACTAGAGGCTCTTCTTCTGGTATCGAACTAGCCCCAGCCAACGAATTTAGACATTCCATACAAGTAAACCGAGCTCCGCCATGAATTCTTCCCTGGTGGGCTCGAAGGTGGCCGGCGGTATCGAAGCCCTGTGGGCATTGTTTTCCAGTTACAGGGTCAATATACGGGCACGGAAAGGGCTTCTGCTTTAGATGAACCATTGTAACATGCTTCTGCAGCGTTGAGTGTTTTCGGAATGTCTCACCACATGGCGGATATTCCACGCATCGGTATTTATCTCGTCCTTCATGCGCTGCTAGATGTCTTCGTAATCTTGATCCTGTTACGAATGTTTTTCCACATCCTTCCCGATCACATACATAGTCTCGAACCAAGGTATGTGCGCTCTTGACATGGTGGTTGAGATGAGACGCTCGGAGGAATGTTTTGTCGCAGCCATCGTATTCACAAGTGAAAATGCGCTCGTTTGTATGTGATCTCATATGCTCCGCTAGTCGAGCAGGTCGATTAAAAGCTTTGCTGCAGTTTTCATACGGACAGCAATGTGTTTTGCGGTCCGAGGGATATCGTATCGATGCCGCTGGAGAATAAGGAGTGATGGGTGTTTTCGATTGGCTCTGACACCCGTCGCTATTGTCACTCAGGTAGTAGGAGGAAACGGATTCAGCATCGGACACATGGTCACTGTAATCTCCACCTTAGAGTACCTGATCAGTACGGTCTAAACACACTTGTTAGCATCAACTACTTACCAGAACAGTCTGTTGGAACTGATTTCTGCAGCTTGTTCGACCGAGATTGGCCCTCATCTATAGCCTTTCTTTTTCTATCCATTATGGCATCAAATGGATGAATTTAGTCCCCTGGAGGGACAATTCTTCGCTTCAATCGACATTCCACATTATACTCGAACTGCAACTTTTTTGTTTTGTGGATCTCCAGTCCTATTTAAGCTTTATCTGTGCCGCGCGGTAGGCGCGGCTCTTGTCGTCGATTATTGGTCAGCTTGTCGAGTTAGATATGCCAAGAAGAAACGGAAAAACCCTTATCCTGAGTCAGCATCGGATCTTCTCATCTTTCTTTCGTTTGCGCTGAAGTTTTGAATCGTCGAGAAGTGTTTTCATCCACGCCTTCCCTCGTTTGCCTTTCGTTCTTTAGGTCAATAGGCCGGTTATCGTCTTGTATTTACATCTGGTGGTTGAATATGTCGGACTACGGCGGTGACCACGAAGACCGTGATGAGGCTGGGTAAGCACCATTCCCCCCGCCTGAGAAGCTCGAATCTCCTAACAAGTCATTTTCGCGAAGCTTTGACTATGAACCTCCGGAATATGATTATATTGATAATGAACCAGAGGAATATGCTGGCGCCGAGCAGGATGGAGAGGATAGTGCATACGCCGTTCTTAATGGCGACGGACAGCCGGTTACACATGCCACGAACGGAGACAGTGCAGGGGCAGTGAACGGTGACGCTAGCGCCGAAGCCTCGAAAAGTAAAGTGATGTTGCAGCAGAGGGAGAAAAAGGTGCCGAATGACCAGCGATCTACTACGCCATACATGACAAAGTATGAGCGTGCACGCGTCCTTGGAACAAGAGCGCTTCAAATCAGGTTCGTTCCTATGCGTTACTTCCATCTAATGCTCTAGCTAACTGTATATATAATAGCATGAATGCGCCGATATTGGTCGATATCGAAGGAGAAACTGACCCTCTTCAAATTGCCCTGAGAGAGCTTAATCAAAAGAAGATTCCTCTCATTGTGAGGAGATACCTTCCTGATGGATGGTATGTTAATACTTGAGATCACAGCTCTTAATGAAATTTGTTTTTCCTAACAATTTAATACAGGTACGAAGACTGGACGTGCGAAGAACTGCTTTGAGCTTAACCTCCAATCCCTCAAAAGAAAAAGAAAAAAAAAGTTCCTGGTGTCCCTTCCCCTTACTCCCTTTGGCATAGCGTATGGAGTTTGGCGTGTAAAATTTTTTAGAATTTTTACACAGTCTTAGTGAATATCTAAAAACTGTGGTTTACTTATGGAAGGGTGACTGGAGGGTGCTAGTCTATATCCTCAAATTTTTCTACAAGCGTTTCACCGCTTACCCAAAATTGTATACGGGGTTGCGTTTTTCAAAATATCTCCTCCATAAATGCAAGAATACATGTGCTCTTAGACATATTATACAGACTGCTAACTCATGCAGGCTAAAGCCACATGTTCCAAGTCCAAAACTTTTAATATACTTTCCATCGCTGAAATACGTCCATCGGAATACGGATTAACTTTAATATCATTGCAAAATATAATGAGAAAAAGTACAAAATCGCCAGAGCGCCGCCTATAACCCCCAATCTAAGTCTACCTGCTCCATATGCTGCCACAGCCGAGAGTTCGAGTCTAGCTTAGACACCGATGATCTAGAATGTCAATTTCAACCAGGATTTCTAGTGCTTAACAGACACTTTCTAGCATTGACGGCGTTTTTGAACAAAGGTGTAACCTGTTGATCATGCTTTCGCAAACAGGCGTGGACCCGTTTTTGTGAATCGAGTAGCAGCCATTAAAACGCCGGAACTGAAAAGGCATACACCAGCAAATATCTTCACCCCCAGGTAATCTCCATGCATGAAACTAACGATCGCGCCACCGATCGGGGTACCTATCAGAGCACCAGTGGCAACAAAAATGAAGGACATACCCAGTCGAGTACCATAGTCTCGAAGGTCGGGGGTGATGGTCATTATCACAACAGGGGCAATTGAAACGTAACCGCCTGTAAAGAAACCATATAGAACCACAAGCGCGATTATCCCGGCAGACGAGTAAATTGCAATCCAGGAAAAGGCGAGAAGGCTAGAGACCAGGGCCATGGGGAAAATTATGTTGAGTGGACCGACATAGTCGACAAAATAGTTCGGAAGGACCCTGCCGCAGGCGGAAGCCGTGTTAAGAAGGGCGAGAAGATAAAATGCCAGATTATCGCTCATAATATGATTCTTAATGGCATATGATTGAACGTATACCATGACGTTATATAGCCCAGCAATTCCAACGAACTGAGAAACACAAAATAGGCTATACACTGGGTCTTTGAATGCGGAAAGCTGGATCAATGAACGTTTCTCGGTGGGTTGAAATCTGATCTGCAATATAGCAAAAGAGACCAGGATCATGCCAAACGAGACAAACCCAAGAACTCGAGCAGCCCAGGCAAAGCCGATTCTCAACTGAAGTTGGCGAAATATGATTGGATATAGTACGCCGCCAACACCGCTACCGGTAGCAGCAGCACCACTTGCAAATGCCCTTTTTTGTTTGAAGTACTGCGGAATAATGGCCAGACAGGGCATAAACAGACACCCACAGCCTATTCCAACACAGAAGCCCTGTGCAAGTAAGATATGCCAAAATTTTTGGGAGATACTAGTCATCATCAACCCAAACGGCACCAGGAACATGCCAGCAAATAAAAGCTGCCTGGAATATCCGGCATCAAAAAGTGGCCCTGTTACTGCTCCAATAAAGAGGAGGAGGAACGACTGCGTTGAACCAATCCATGAAATGGCAGAAGGAGATCTATGAGAAAGAATTTCCTGCTCGTAATATGTTTGAAACACGCCAAAAGCTGTCACGATGCCCCTGCAGTTATTCTGATATCAGAATTTTGTACCTTTGAATTAACAAGTATGATGATAGATCTGCTTTAGAGACATACCATGTATTAAAGAAGAGAAGCCAGGAAGCGAAAACTTGCAGCCAAGCTTGCAAGCCACGATCGAAGGACAAGGCATCACTATTAAAATCGGTTATAGTCTTCTCACCCGATTCTATTGTCTCATCCCGGGAAATAGACGCTTGACTTGGAGGCGATGAGTCGACTAGCCCCCTCTCCCGAACAGAATGATCCATGGCTTGAGGTGCAGAACAATGGTACGTAGTTCCTTGTATCTGCATCGTCTTTCAAGCTGGCGGTGCGAGGCGAATATACGGATAAAGAAAGAAACAAGACCTAAGGGAGAAAGCGTAGTGGCCAAGCAATCATCAGCAGATGCTGCATTCGAGTTTGAAGCAGCAAATGGGCAGCTTAAAAGGAAATCAAAAAAGAGCCATGAAGCCGGGAATGGACGGCTTCACTTCAAAGAGAAGAACAAAAAAGAATTGAGCATTCACCCTCCAAAAACGGCGCTTTGGTATGAAAGCGGCGTTGGCACATCCCACCATATCAGCAGCATGTTTATCACCATGATTGCGCGTCAGCATTTCTTCCATGTTGAGGTGAGTACTAATGACACTGAGTGAAACCAGGAAGTTGGTTGGTGAAAATTGCCCTGATCCGCCAGCATTTCCACGATTTCACTATGCAGAGGCATTGCCCAGTGGGTGCTAGTGAATATGAATGAGCACAATGACGATGGATATTCCGTGGTCGTAGGTTAATGGCTAGACAATTGACTATTAATTGTCCGTAACCTTTGTTTCCATCACTAGGCATGCTTCATCATCATCATCCGAATATAAGCCATCTCCTGGCCTAGTTGCAGTACAAAAGAAAACAAGCCTCTAGATGCTCTTAACAAAGATAGGAAGGATGATTTGGATGTAGTGAAAATTGCGGTTTCGCTGGCCCTTGGAAACTGCCGTGAGTCTTCGCGGTGCAATCCGATGAGAGAAGTTGGGGTTCGTCGATTTATTACTTTACTGGGAGCAATGAGCAATCAATGTCGGATTACGGGCGATACCACAAGAATACCAGCGTGATTCAACCAGTTACCAATAAAATGAGGAAACCTCCAACGAAGAGACACCGGCTCTTCACCTTGTAGGAGAATTCAACTTCTTTACAATGGCACCAGCCCTGAGAGGGTTATTGCTTCGAATATCGATTTCGCAACATAGTTCGGGTAGTTATGTGGATTGAGAGACTCCAAGCACATTAACTAGCGGACCGACGAGCGAAGTTCTTATGTTTGCTGGCTGTATTTCTTTATGAACGACTTTGGGGCCTGGTGCGCTGGTCGTAATTAAAATTCAGAGTAGCTTGAGCAGAAGAGTCTTGCATCGAATACTATGCAATGCGGGGGATCAAACAAACTCTAGGTTGTGTTTTGGGTCTCAAATCGATTTAAAATTTCGAAGATAGTGTTGACTGTGTATGACAGACAAGGTTATCTAGATAAAATGCGCTGGCGGTTTCTTCCCGTCTCGTATTGAATCAATAGCCAGAGCTATATATGTATATGTATGTGCATCACACTGCATTTGCGACAAAGGAGTTACAGTCGCAACACTCTACGAGTCAAGTGTTGGAATGACCCACAAAGTGCTTCGCGGCGCCCAAGTGGGTGTAGACGATGTCGACCGCATCCAGCTTCACTTACTAGAAAAATAGAACCCGTTTATTATTAGTAGCAGGATGAAACGTTAACAACGCATCGATATTGCCTCAATAGACATCATCCGGGCTCACAGGAAAGTCTTCCCCATTCTTCCGGTGATGGATCAAATCTTTATCTCGGCTCAACGGCTTTCTCATATCAAATGCATCTTCTCCGCCTGACATTCCTGTCGGATCATCACTGTAATAGTTCACAACGCGCCTGAAGACCGAATATCTATAGAAAGGGATCGCCATCAGTAGATGAGAGCAGATAGGATAGCAGAAAAGCACCCACCCCATTCCTTTATACATTCCGACAGCAACTTTATTTCCTGCACGCACATATAAATCAACGAACCATGCATCATTGATGTCCGAAGCGCGCTCTAGTGCTTCCGTAAGCCGTCGAGCATGGCCTAATCGTCGCCATGCGGGTGCGACGGTGAGGACGGTAATGTGGCCGTGCCATGGGGTGTAGTGTTCAGAATGACGCATCGAAGGGTGTTGAGCTTCAAGCTTGCCCATTACTAGATGCTCAAGTCAGTCTCTTCGTCATACGGTAAGCAGAGGGGTGACAGTACTATAGCCTACAACATTACCGTCCCGATCTTCGACTACATTAAAAAGGGACGGCCATTTCATAAGATACGAGAGGTAGAAATGCGGATCGTAGTTCTCCGTCAGCGGATCGAGGTTGGTCAGGTTGAGAGAAAGTAGGTCAGAGGCCGTCATGCGCCGAATCGACGTCATTATAGAGGAGAGACACAGTCCGGCGTCCAAAACAGCAAGTCTATTCCATATGCATGTACAAAGTGTGGGTTGCCCAGCTGGTCTGCTCTCGCGGGAGTGGCGGGTGCTTGGCTGGGACCGTTGTGTTTGCGTTTTGAGGCGTTGAAACAAGAGTCGCGACCAGCAAACACACAGCTAGTAAACCGCCAGGAAAAGGTTGTTCTCTACTCCGTACACTGGCACTATTAGAGCTGTCGGCCATGAAACTGTTTGCCTTGAGTGGTTCTCCTGAGTCCCTTGTCTTAAGCAAGTGAATTAATGACTGGAGATTAACGTATCACAACAAAACATGCAGACGTGAAGCTGGGTGAAGCTGGGTTTTGCTCTGATACATTCCACTCATTTTCTTGTTTCTTTTCCTTTTTTATATACTCTCATGAAAAATACTTTTTCTCGTTAGTTTGACACAGCTGGGTCTATTTACACCCGCAGGTCGAGCAATCGTCTCCCAAAAAACAACCAAATGCCATCGTCTCCTAACTCTCCCCGCCGACGGCGCGGACCTTCGAGCCTTGACCTCTCCTCTACTTCACCACAAAGATTTGCTGCAAATGGCTACGGGCAGAGCCCTCCGTATTCCCCACAAACACCGCGAACGTGTATTCCCCAGTCTCCCACCATGTCCAGACGGCGAGTTTCCTCGGGGACAATAGAGCCACCCAGCCGATTTTCGGGCGACTTTGCCTCGGACCTCCACGCGGATGTAGGAGGCGATGGCGATGCTGGGGGGATCGGTAGTTTAGCAGATGAGTTGGCGGAGGCGTGGGACGATGACGCGTATGGATATGGATACTCAGAGGGAGATGCCTCTGGCGTGCAAGATGGAGAGGTCATGATTTCTATTGACGGCGCAAGCCCCTTAAGGACCGATGATCAAGCTTATATCGAGTCGATTCACGATATGGGAATCGGCATGGGTGGAATATCTCAGGGTAACTCAGACTCGGAACATGAACAGCTAAAGCCCCCAAGACAGAAACCAAAAGGACAGTCCCGGCATCGTCGACATGAGTCTTTATATGATGGTTCTGATTACGGCAATGATTCTGACTTTGAGGATCCCGGTGAATTATCACCGGGGTTAGAAGCGCGCATGGCTAGCATTGAAGATCTGGTGAGATGGACCACGGGAGGCGATGATAAAATTGGAGTCGTGGATCAATTTATTGGTCTTTTGCGAGAACTGGTCGGCCAGGCAAGCATTGAGAATAGTGCTAGCAGGTACACGAAGTATGGTCCTCTTCCATATTATCACATACTAACATACTTCCCAGATTGATCACTGCGCACACCTCACTTGCATCGCATCTCACGCATCAAACACGCTCCTTGCAGACCCTTACACATCCGCTCCTTATCTCCTCCTTCCCATCACTTTCCTCTGATGCCATCGACGATCTCGTTTCCCTGATCAACACTCTCTTGCCTAACCTGCCCTTTCCTGACTCAGGCCAGCATCAACTCTCTACCCGCCAACATACTGACTCCAACCACTCCACACACTTGCGCTCAGACTCACAATCGACACCACTCCTCTCTCTTCAATCCCTACTTTCTCAGACATCTGATCTCACACACACCCTACGCATTCTCAATGACACCGTCCACGAGTCCCGCCAACTCACCTCTACCGCCTCTCGGCGTCTTAAGACTGTCCGCGAACTTGTCTTAGATATGAGACAAGAGGATGAGGCGCGCGAGGAGGGTATTCGATGGATTGAAAAAGGTGGTTGGGATGCGCGCATCGCTGAGAGGGAAGCTGGTGTAATTTGCCAGAGCGTCGTGAGTGGGTTTGAAGCTGTATGTGGAGAATGGCGAGACAGGCTATTCGGGGCAGCTGAGGTCACTGTTACCTAAGTATCAACTTTCTTCAAATCCTTTTTCTTATCTTTGAGATATCTATTTGTTTTTTGCACTATTATCGTAACGGCACGACGAATCTTCCATAATTTGCATTGACTGGGGCAAACTTTTGCTCCTCTATTCTACTACTTTTCCTTGTATACCACAATCTGCTATGTTCTTCGTTTACAAGGCAAAAGAAAAAAAGAACTTTGGCCCAAGGTGGCATACTATTCATGTACTTTCCTTTTTCTTGGTTTTCCACCTTGCTCCCAGACACATTTGTTTACTCTATAATTCCCATTCTATCCCTTCATTCAATGTACTGGCACCTACATGAACACATAGATTTAAAAGCGAATCGAGATACGATCTCCTTGAATAGAAGAATAGAGCAATGCCAAAAGAGGTTGGTTCATTTCTCATCCCAATCTTTCATTCTACGTACATCAACCTCATCAACCTCGCTACGTCGGGAAAGAAAATTCAATTTTAAGAAATAATTAGAAATTGTCAGGTGGGTGCAACAAAAATAAACGGGAGCCATGCCGCACCATGTACCATGACCAATTTTCTCTTTTTTTCAACGGTTTTCGCAAAGATAACTCGAATTTGCAGAAATGTGAAGGTGTAAATTGAGATAAAGACATTTGCGTGGAAAATCATGTAGCATACATTAAAACATAATACATAACCGTACATGTTTTGAAAAGCCACAAATATGCCAGGCTACAAACAGGTGGGGGTAGAAGAGGATAGACTAGAAGGCTTAACAAACAGGTTGACAGGCGGAACAGTATTAAATTGAACTAAAAGCACAGAGAATATGCACTTTTGAATCCTGAGAATGCAGAGAAAGCACATGGATAATATTTAACACCTGACCGGAGGAAAAAAAAGAAAAAGGCATCAAAGATGGGGCAAGGGGAAACTGAGCCATAAGGGCGCGTGGAATCACTCTAGGGTAGCAAGAACTTCGTTCATAAAACCGAATCGCTGGCAATTCGCTCTCTACTGCTGCTGTTGCGTCATTCTTGAGGATCTCCACACACCAGGCTTTGACTCCATACGCTTCTCTGGGGGAGCAGGAGACGACGAGGGAGGAGCAGGGCTTCTTGACATAGGTCTTTCCGGAGGAGCAGCACGGGCACGACCAAAATCACGACGATCTGAGGATCCGCCTTGTCGAGCATGCGGCGGAACGTACCCACCTGGTTTCGAAGTGGGGTTTTCCCGGGATGGAGCCGATTTTGCATCAGGGGCAGAAGCGCTATCTTCAGGCTTGGGACGATCCCTCCAAGAAATGCCGCTTCCCCGGCTGGGGAGGTTAAGGCGTGGAGCAGTGCGTTCAGGAGACGAGGCACGAGCTGGAGCTCTTGGCTCCGGTGCTGCGCCAGCCTTGCGAAGAGCGCGCCGTTTTTCGGCGTCCTCCTCCCGTTGTCGTTGAAGAGCGGCCTTTTCATCCAGTGCCCTACATAATCGGTTAGAATTATCATACGCCAAGGGGCAACAGGATACATACCTTCTCTCTTCCTCCCTGGCGGCTTTCTCCTCTGCCAACACCCGTCGTCTTTCCTCCTCTTTGGCAACCTTCTCTTGTTCTTCTCGTGCAATGCGCTCTTCCTCTTCAACTTTTCGACGTTCTTCTGCCTCACGCTCCATTCGCTCACGTCTAATCCGTTCTTGGACTTCTTTGATACGTTGCTTCTTTTTCTGTTCAAATTCCCGTTCCGCTGCTTTGCGGCGCCTTTCAAACTCCTCGTGTCGTTTCTCTGAAACGTTTTTCTTGAAGTCATTGAAAAATGGTACTAGGCGGCTGAGGCGATGTTTAAGGGCGACGTCTTCTTTGTGCTTCAACCGGGCAGTTTCCAAAGTATCTGCCTTGTTCTTCTCATATACTTCCAAATCTCGCTTCTTTTGGTCATCGTAGTCAGTTGGCAAGTGCTTCAATTCCTCCCGGCGGAATGCTCGCTCTAAATGGTCGATTCGTTTGGATGTGATTCTGATTTTTTCGTTCAAATCGTTTTTCTCCTTTTCGAGCTGAGCAAGCTTAATGGCACGGAGGCGATTGGAGTCCAGCTCTTCCAGGTCAATCTGGTTCACATCGATGCCCTTAACACCAGTTTTCAGTTCTTCTAACTGCTTCTTCAATTCTTGTTGTCGGATGCGATCCTGTTCATCCTTCATTCGTTTGCGCTCACGTTCACGATGCTCGTCCAGAAGGCGCTGTTTCTCAGCTTCTTGAAGTTGTTGTGTACGCATTCGTTTGCGGTTCTCTTCCTCCTGCTGCTTTTTCTGTAGCGCATTTGACAATGCTTCTTTCTTCTTCTCAATAATGACTCGCCGAGCAAGAGTCTCTTCGTGCTCTTTTACAGCGCCAGCAAGAGCTCTTTCATGTGCAGCTTGTTTCGCTTTGAGCCGCGATTCATTATAAGATGGATCGACATACATGCAGGTCACATGAAGGGTCTTGGCTAGTCGAGCAAGTTGAGACCGAGCAATTTCAGCTGGGGTATTCTGCAAGCGTTGAACGGAGCCTACTTCACTTTCGGCCGACCCAGCAACACTTCCAGCATGAAGAGCTTTGGTAGAAGAGAAAATATCAGACTCAAATGTTAAGACACCAGAAACATGATCAACGCGAATAGCCAAATCTCCCTTCTTACAACCATTCATGATGAACTTCTCGATCATTGATGGGGTGACTTGGAACGGTTCTGGGAAATGTGCAAGATTATGGACAAACTTCAGCTCAACGGTCTCATAAACCTGCGATAGTTGTTGGAATAACCTAGTAAGAATAACTTGTTGTAGGGGTAGAACATATTTTTCCATTTCAGGGTCGGTACCGATCTGCTTCAGAATAGGCGTAATCTTTTTGCAAATAGATAGAGGATGAAAGTCTACTTCAAGGATATTGTAAAGATCACGGATCTCAGGGCGGCAGCGACTAAGTAAGCCCTTGTTGAGAGCATCTTTGAAAAGGGAAGCACGAGTAGGGGGCTGGGGCATGCCAAGAAGGTTGGTGAGGCGTGTGTTCTTATTCTTTCGCACTTCATCCACATCAACCAATGCTCCGCGGGACCGTGACGTACTGATGACAGGGATAGAAAGAGAGGATAGCAGAACAAAAGAGGCAGCTTTTGTCATGTCCGTCTCCGATACTGATGGGTTATCTTTCTTCGACCCTTGGCCTGCGGCAAGTGCAATCGCAGACTGTCGCAAAAGATTATAGTATCGGTTCCATGCCGCAGCGTGAAAAAGGTAATTATCGCTGACCATAAAAATTCTTGTAAGTTTCTCGTAGTAATTTGCCATCATGATGTTCTTAGGCTGTCGCTTGCTCAGGTTAAGAAGTGTGTGGATATCTTCAACGCTGCGGAATCCCTCCTGCCAGAGTTCCAGCTCAACAGCGACGTTCAACTGTTGAAAGCGAGTATCTAAATGCCGTTGAAGTGTGTCTGGATCACTCAAATTGATCGCGTGCATCTGAGCAGAATACTTGGCGGCATTTTGAACATGGTTTCTGAGCAACTCGCACAATCGGCGAAATTCTGTTTTGCGAGTGTATTTTAAACAGAATTGGAAGGCTTGAAGAGCTGTCGCCTGGTACATAACTTCCAGGCGTGCGTTATTCTTCAAAATTTCCAAAACGGTGCGATAAGTCTCCCAAAGGAACTTGAGCCATGGTGTGACAACAGCCCTATCTGTGCGATCTCTGGATTGTTCCCCGGACACTGTGGCAAGAAGGATTGTCTCTGGAGTCTCAATGGCGTCAAGATCTTCAATATTGGATGTCGGCGCGGCAGACTCAAGTGAGGATTGGATTTCATCAGCCTTAGTCTGAGCTTCGGTAACCTTTTGTTCTGCAAGCTCGATGAATTTTTTAAGAACCATCTAAAATTTCACCTCGATTAGCCTAATCAATTTCCCAAGAAAACAAATAAGGACAGCGCATACCTCAATAGTTCCGACATTGGAGTTTTGTGCAATATTTTTATATTGATACAAGCCATCCTTAGCAGATTTTCCCTTTCTGAGATCGACACACAATTCAACAAAAAGAAGCATAACCGGTTCAAGAGACGCAATAGGACTGCTGCGGGATCTTTTTGATGTGACATGTTCGTGAAGAACAGACAAGGCTGCCGCGGGCTGGCCTACGGCAATGAGCTCTTCGGCTCGCTAAAATCGAAATAACAGTCAGTTCCAAAATCCAGTCCAAAATTGGCCGTGAATCAACATGGCAACTTACCCTGAGAACATTCTCAGGCCGTACATGAGGTATCGGAGGCATGCTGGGCACCCCTTGACTCGAAGGCAGTAGAAACTGTCGACGCGATACAACTGGTTTCAAATATAATTCTAGAAAATAAGTGGTAAGTTATTGCGGCAGCAGCGATGTACGGCCGAGTGCGATGCTTCACAGGCAATCCAACGGGTCGTTGTAGTTGATGGTTGTGGGAGACGAGAAGGCGAAAATTTGCTGTGGATCGAGGCTGCTTACGTTAGCAGAGGGAGTAAGCGACGGGGATGAGTTAGTTAACTAACTAGTTAGTTAGTCATCCAGATTCCAAATCGTCCAACAATATCTATGATCAGCGAAACAATCACTTGAGCTCGCACACTCTATTTGAATTCTCGGCTTCTCCTCTGTATTTTATCACTATATAAACAGTGCTGAAGAATTTGGCTGCAAACTACAATATATACATTACAAATGGACAGAGTGCATATCACCTTCGTCGAGAAAAATAGAAAGAAATAATCGACAGGCAGTATTTCACATTGATTATACAGAGTACATCTAAGTCGTATGTCATTTTTGGTACTTTACCCAGCTTTCCCAGTAATAACCGATTTCCCGCAAGGAGATAACTAGTGATATACGCTTCCTAACATGGACCTGAGGTGGAAAACAATTTCTAATGCCAGGGACCCAGACTCCATTCGTGAAACCAAACTATTGCTCCTTTTTTATGTTCACGGAAGCTGATGCGACCAGCGCGCAATATACCAATAATACCCGCGCCTAAATTCTATATATAGAGAAGGCGACAAGAAATCTCCAAGGCCTAGCTTGCCGTGCGCTCATCTATACCCTGCACTCTACATCAAGCCCCTATAGCGAATGGGTGCGGCTTGGCTCGTATTTACAAAGACCTCTTTGTGGGAGTGCATATGCACATGTAATGCACGCCCCAAAACCCTGGCAGGGAAAGAGAGACCAAAGATCGTACATACCTAAACTTATGGAGATACTATATTTAGCAAAATGCCTATATTCCGCCATATGCCGTAACAATGAAATTTTTGTTATTCAACAAAGCTACACAACACATCAAAATATTATTTCATCTCTTAAATATGCGCCTGAACTTCTATCGAGACTGCCTACACCTTTTGAAAGTCATATGAAATCCTACAGCTCATGTACATACGACACCAGATATGTCGAAGTTTGACTCTTCAGAATAGTTGCTACCAATATTAGTGACAAACAGGCGGCTTTACCCAAATCAAGTGCTATCTATATTAGGTAATAGACAGTATTGCCCTGACATTAAACTCTCAAGGAATTCGGGGCACGGCACTGATGATACTTCTGGGAACTTCAAATGTCTATACGGAGTAGAGCCTCAAAGTAACTGGTATCGATGACCAGTGGGTTAGGGTTAGGGTTAACCTGCTAAGTATCACGCAAGCCTTCACATCACATACTTCCTGCTCAACCTTCATCTGATATGCGAGGAAATAAACCAAACAAGTGCAAACCAGCCAAGCCTGCGCCAAGGATACCCGGACCCATGGAACTATGGGTGGTTCGATTGGGCTTAGTCGGAGTACGAATGGTAATGAAATTTACGAACCAGCTGCCCCTTAGACCAGCTGAAACTGCTATAGCAGAGGCAAGTAGGATCAACAGGGAATAAACCAATGTAGGTGAATTCGAAAATACTAGCGCAGAGATAGGACAACCCGCAGTTGAGACCAGATTTCGCGTGCGTTCAGCCAAAGCTGCTTATATCGGTCGCGACCAAGAGATTGTGGGGTACGTTTCCGTCCGGCCTTGTACCGAAATTTATGGAGACGCAGACGATTGGTGGACGGGCGCATTTGGGCGTGCCTCGGAGCGTAACATGCCCGTATTGATACCTGCGAGAAGGCTAATTTCGCCGCCAATACTGGCTGCAGTGTGTGTTGCTGTCTCCTGGTTCGCCATTTCGCTCGTTCTCCAACTCAAAGAAGAACTCTCTCCAGCCCTCACTACCGCTACCTCACGCCTACCACCCGTCAACCCCCTGAATCGTTTCCACCTCAGAGCCCAGCGATATTGGATCAGTTTATACTGAGCTGGCCCTCATATCTTCAATCCCTTCTTTGCGACCTCCTGAAGCCCACTACCGCCGCGACCCGACCTGTGAGATTCACAGTCCTTGCATTGAAGTCTGGGGGATTGTCGCTGGCAGATGGGCCATCAGCCGCGCAACATGCCTGCCGCTTACGAAAACTTGCGACCTAGGGGGGATGGGAGAAATAATCGCCAGAATATGGCCGAATTGAAGCTCAGACGATTGAATGAGCTCAATGCGCGATTGAAGGAAGACCTAGAAAGGCCGAGAGTAAAAGTTACTGAGGCTTCAATGTCGTATGTATTCACGCTTTGATCCCAATATGCTGAGCATCAATTTTAGTAGCCATTCAAACTAACTGTTCTTTCGTCTAGCCTCATCAACTACTGCAACAACACGCGAGATTTTATGGTACCATCAGTGTGGGGCCAGGTATTCATTGCGCCTTTCACACACATTTTACATTGTGATGCTGACAAGTCGATCTCTTTACCTAGGTTGAGAAACGAGAAGATCCCTACACGCCTCAACAATCCGCTGGCTGCTGTATAATAATGTAGATGGTCATTAGCTCTTATCGACTTTCGCCTTCCTTCCTAGCCTTGCCTCCGACACTTTCACCTGATACACACAATCTATTCCGATTCATCGTACCCGATTCAGTCGGCCTTCTTACCGATCCCTTATGACCACCCGAACCTCTTTCACGCCGCACTCCGACGCCTTTCATTGAATCTATTCATGTTCTGTCTGTACTGAAATGAGCATGATATTTTAAAGACTTTTGAATGCGCATTTTTTTTTGCGCCACGAAAGCAATGACCCTCCTTGTCAAGATCCATATCCGGTAACCTTATGGAGCATACATCCCAGACAGGCAAAGGAAGGCATTTTCTTTTTGGTCCACGTTACGTTTCCGTGGTCCCTTTTTATCGGACCTATGCTAAGACACATGGTTTCTTACCTTCCTATCATTTCTATTTTGACCGCGTTGCTGGGCCGCTTTTTTTTCGCTTTTTTTTCAAGATCCGCGGTTGTTCACCATTCCTGATATTTCCTTTTGTTAACGGCATCATTTCTTGCTTAGTGTTGGTATAGTTTCCCTTCTCGATCGATTTTTCTTTTTTTCTTTTCCTTTCTTTAGCTTCGTGTACTCCCCATATTCTGCTTTTTGAGCATTTATCCCTCCCTTTCCTAGTTTCCACTGCCCCAAGGATCGTGAGACTCGCTGGATCAACGTATCCTTGAATCTCTCTTATGTAAAATAGTTTACCGGCCACGAACGAGCAGCGGCAGCAACAACAACGACAAGAAAGGCAATTACCTATCTTTTAACCCACCTTTAGGGCGTTGATTTTGGCATTCGAGTGGCTCGATTCAGGTTTGGTTTCGCAAAAGCAAGGTGCGGCTGTGTCATACATACATCACCCTCTAGTGATTGGAACCGGAGACCCAAACTACCATTGTTGTATATCCTCCTGCTGCACATAGTCTCTAACCCGTTTTAATTCCAGACGTTTGTTCCATAAATAGAATAATTATACTGGTCACATTTTTGTCGCCGTTGAAGTTGCCTCGCCGTTGCACCAATCGATGTGTGCCCTTTTATGACACATAATATGTAGAATCTGATCATGGCGGATAGTTCGGGGAGGCAAAATAGATTGCTGTTAAACTCCTCGATTTTCCCCTTGATAGCGAAGGGTGCTATGGCAGGCCAGACTTGGGCCCCACTTGTCCTCTCTTTGCCACTCAACGTCAACTCAGTTTCTCGCAACTTCATCCCGCCAGAAGCACAATCTCGCGCGCTCAATTAAGCACTCCCCTGCTTGACTGTCTATTGATCATCTTTGAGCTTCCAATATGGCGTCTTATGGACCACCGCCTGCAGCGGGGTACATAGATCCCGAGATTCCTGAACAGGTTGCGACCGCGCAGCTTTCAAATTCTCTCTTCAGAGGGGCTGCAGTACAAGTACAGCTACCACGGGTGACAATACAGTACTGTACGCAGTGCCGGTGGATGCTACGAGCGGCTTATGTAGGTATCTACTATCGGTGATATCTGGCCAACTGATATACGAGCTTGTGGGAGCGCCATGGCATACTTTGGGCGGACCAGAAACACCGCCTTCGACATAGTTACAGGATTTCTTCTTTGCGCAAATTGCACACAGATTGATAGACTATGCGGTCCACACATATTGATTATCCCGCCTATCCACGCGTCAAACCCCGGTTGCCTTGATTTCCCACGACTGTCCACATTCCTCTCCGCCTGACCTTCATTTTCATGCATACGCTCCACCTTTTTAGATCAGAAGCTGACACCATTACTATTAGTACGGCCAAGAGCTCCTCTCCACCTTCTCCACCATACTAGGCGAAGTTGCCCTGATACCCAGCACCAGCGGCACCTTTACCATCTCCATCTTGTATAAATCTGACGCCGACTTTGCCACCCAGGAAACAATGCTCTGGGATCGCAGACTCAATGGTGGATTTCCGGGTATAGGCCCAAAAACGCTGCCTTTACTTGTCCCCAACAAAATTTAGATGCTAATATACTCATGTTGATTATTATATACAGAAACAAAACAGCTGAAATCCCTCGTTCGAAACATCATTGACCCAAACCGCGGACTAGGCCACATCGACCGTGCCATGGCTAGATCGCAGCTCCAACAACAGCAGCAACCTCCAATTGAAAATACTACTGAAGAAATGCAACAGCCTGCAGTAATGACTGGTGCAGCGCCGCCACCACCAGTGATGGCTGTACCTCCTGACGAATCTGATGTATATAATAACGAAAAAGCAAGTGTCAATAGTGACATCTGTGAGGATTGTCAATGACAAATTTTCTCTGAAAGCATTTTTTTCCTGCGGCAATATCCCCTAGCATGCCCGATGTATTTTGGGATGCGGAGGATCCGTTATTCCTGGGTACTCGCCAGATCCCCAGCCGCTGATGCGCCTTGTCGTGTATGCTTTCCTCTAAACGTTTTCAATGCCAACCATACCATTCTAAAAGGTGCCAGATGGCGCCCTGGACTGAACTCTGTAAGACGCATATTATTTTGCTTCGATTTTACTGAGCGGAATTCCCCTTTGTTGTCCTCGAGGCCACAATTCATTGCAGCCAAATTTGCCATCAAATTGAAACCCTTAGGATATATCCAGGTGAAACTCAAGTGGTAGTTTAATATATACATTTACAATTGACATCAAAAATTCATATTTTACATGTACATACATACAAAAGATTAAGAATAATCATCATCATAATGGTATGAAAAGGTCGAGTAACAAACTGACCGGGCCTAACTAGGCCACATCAAGCCTTTTGGCTAAAATCCGTTCCATATTCAAAAACTCCTTCATACGCGAAGAGAACCGAAAAGGTAAAGCGACCGGCCCACATAACCAGTACGTCCCGAATCTGCTCAAATGAAACACGACTCCAACTTCCCCACTGCCAGAAGAAGATGTATGTCAGAGAATATGCACGGAAGGGTATGTATGTATGTACATATTTTAAGAAGACAATGCAGTAGGAGCCATATAAGGCCTGGGCGGGTGATAGAACATGAAAAATAAATAGGGGTTCCCGTGTTGTGTAAAAAATAATATCGTGGGTCAGAAAATTCGGAAGGATGATAGACCCCCATTATATCAACAGAAAATAATGCGAGGAATATCCTAAATAGGCTAAATATATAAAGCGTGGAAGTGACGATAGCCCTGAGTAATGAATTATCGAGACTGCTCGTTAGGGAGAGGAGGAGTTTGTTGCTTATGCCGTCTCCAAAACGCCAGTCGCAGTCGTGATCGCCGACGAGGCAACACTCGGCCAGTCGGGGGACCACTGCTATTTACTGTGGTTTGTTGTGGATCGGAGACAGTATGATGGGCTGGGAGGGGTGGGCGTGGGTCAGGAATGTTGGGAGTACCTCCATAGGTGGCCGAGGGGTGATTTAGGATAAAGCCATTATGATGATTATTTCCAAATCCCTTGTCAAGAAACGAGGACATAAAGCTTGCTGTTCTTCCCAGTGAAGGGCGGCCATCTTTCTCAGGTTCAGATTGACGGCAATGACGACTTGACTCAACCGGTATGCCAGCAGTCGAAGGACGCCTGCACCCCATATTGTCATCGCAAACACCATCACCAATACTCGACTCATAGCTGCTTGGTGCATCAGGTTGAAGGATCTGTCCGCAGGTCGGACTACAAAGGTTTTTCTCATCGTAGCTGTTGCTTTCCGCCGTTATTAAACTGCTGGCTTGTGTAGTAGACGAAACGGGGGTCGTAATGGTATTATTTGTATAGGAACTCCTGCTTTGATTTCGGACGATATTTGTGGATCGATTATGTTGGTTGAATACGGACGACACAGGACTAGCGCCAAAAGGACGGTGAAATTGACGGCTCTCTGAATCACGCTGAGGTCTGTTGCTGACTGCAGATGCAGATAGTGCATTGAACGTGTTTTGATCAATTTTTTCATGATCTTGCGTCTCATTGGCCGTATTAAATAATGAGGGAGGAGTGGCATTGCTCACAGCTCGGTCATTGGTGTCACAATCCGACGAACGTCCTATTCGAGAGGTCGAATTGGGCTCCAATTCCTTCAGTGGCTTCTCAGGAACTTTGTAATATACCGACGTGGGATTGTATTCCTCGGCCGTATTGTCTCGTCCGGGAGTATTATCTTCAAGTGACAGTTGTGAAAGTCTTGTTCCTGAGTTTTGATCTACTGTCTCCTTATGGCGGTCGATCAACTTCTGCCATATTAGCTTATTGCGCCTGATTTCGTTGGAGGCGAATGACATATCGGGAAGGATGTCAGTAATTCCATCGAAGAGTGGCAGGGCAAATATAGTCATAAACCCTATTTGGCCGTTCGCCTTCTTGATCGAGTTTCCCAGTTCTGGAGGCCCCCCAAATAATGCAGTCTCCATTCCAATCGCTGCCTCCATTGTTCCTTGATTGGCAAACTCTTGCTGAAGTATATCCGTCCACCTCTCTGCGATGTTAAAAGGGCGAGCCTATTAAACGAGGGGAGTTAGCATGTCCCAAAGACTCTTAGGTGCAACCCAAAAGTCAAACATACCACGTTGCTAATATCGGCACATTTTATCAGGAGAGCACATAACAAAGAGCGATGGCTCTCAATTTCTTTGGATTCCCAATTGCAGGTGGCTCGATTATTAGACCGATACTTCTCTTGTAGTTGTCCCAGAGACTCCATGAACTCGTTATGAATCCCCATGTCAGTAGCAAGAATCGACTCAATCATTAGCTTCCGCAGTCGAACGTCTTTGAAAACGGAAGGCCAGTGGTTTCGAAGGATCTGGGAGTATGCGGCGCAATGAAAGGCTTCAAGTACGGACTTGTCATTGTAAAGCTGTGCAAGTGGAGCGTTCAATTTCACAAGGAAAACATTATTGACACCAGGATGCCCAACGTCATGGCCGATAGCCGTGATGAGTAACGTAAACGCGTCGAAAGGTCGAAAGAGCGAAGACATACCACCCTCGGTTGATATGCTCTTGCTCTCAAAAGGAAACGGTGGAAGGGCGCCAATTTTAACAAGGAAGTAGAATAGGGATTGAAGCACATCGATAGCGTGCCGGAAATTGTGGTAGAGAACAAAAGAATTATAGGCCGCACGAACAGATAACAGGAAAGATCGAATTTCCTCTGTACTAGCATTAGTTATGAACTAAAGGGTGAGAGCTGGCTAACTTTTTTCTTTCGGTCATACCTGTTGATATCCTCCATGGTTCTAGATCTGGCATTTTCAACGCATGCTCGAGCATTACGCACCCAGCATGGACCATCTCGTCATCAGAAAAATCATGCGAAGCAAAACTCCACCTTCCAAGTTCTCTTTCAACCAGTAATTCGCGGTCCTCTGTCAGAGACAGTTGTCCAACCTGGAAATCCTCGATGGCTTCCTCAGGATTGCATATTCGTTTCATCAATTTTGAAACCATGGCCTCTCGAAGATATGCATAAGGCTGCTGGTCATTGGAGCCCACCCATGATTGTCGGCGCACTTTTCGGTTGGCCAAAAACCGTGCCCTGTCCTTCTGGGCAGCCTTTTGAGTTCGATATGCCTGTGAAACAAGAGCCCTCACCCGGGAATTCTCAAACGGGTAAGTGAGAACATCCACTGCACCAGCATCTAGGCAGCGGCGTATTTGCTTTGCTTCATTTGTCGCCTGTGGCCCGTTATTTGAATATTTCGTCAACCCCTCACCCTGAGCGACCTGCTCAGAAGAGCCACCATTTTTTTCTTTCACATATCGTAGAATAGCTACGAGGACAATATTATTGGGTTCTTCTTGGTCTTGAACATCGGTAGAAATTCTAGAAAGGAGATGGAAGCCATATAATTCTTCTGATTCTGTAGAAAAGGTTGGATTGCGTTTTAGAGGAGAAGGTGAACTGCCAAGCGGCGACAAGTTGTGGGCGACCGATCGCCGGTGTATGTATTGCGAATCATCTTTGATAGCAATATCAATGAAAGCGAAAATGGGTACACAGGTTTTACTCGACTCTTCGTGTAACTCGGCAAGCTTGCTAGCGAACGATTGCCCAGAGTTGCAAAGGTACACTGCATCTAATCAGCCAATCTTCTTATTCGACGCGTCATGAAGGCGGAGCTAATAGGATCCGTCGAGTTCATCGGTTCCAACAAACACTGACCTTGTTTACAGATAGCTAAAATCTGCTCTATATTGCTAGCGATTTCAGGGCAGTCATCTAGCAAAGAAAAAGGAGTAGATGGGGCCGAATCGTGTTCTGATGTTGCAATCCATCGTTCGTGTACAACTCGTTCATCGACATAGACGGCGCGACATTGTTCCCGATCCATGCTTGGGTTGAGGAATATGGATCTGTAAGCATGTCATAAAACCATTAGTAAAGACAAATAAGGGACGAGCTTCGGGTTTGCGTAATGGCGAATTCCAAGGGAAGATGCTTGTTACATTGGCTACCACTGTTAACCAAAGGAGAGGGATTTATGTACTCATCAGACGAAAATGAGTAAATCCACACATGGGAAAAATTCGCGAGTAAGAAATTTTACCTGGAGGCAGGAAGAGTGAGTGTAAAGATCTCATTGCATCAAGTCTTATAAGTCATGATCACAAGGAAAAGCTGGCGCAGGACGAATGCAGCAGCGAGGTGGAAATTGAAACACAGGCTAGAACTGTGTGGAGGTAGTAGAAGTTCGGCTGTGCAAAGTACAATTTCAAACGCATTAAGTTTCAAAACTGGCTTACCTGCCTTATTTGAACGTCTTTCTTCCGAGTCACTATCCTCTTGAACTCACCAGTCTCTAGTCTTTAATTTTCTCTCTTATGTGGCTTGTTATAAAACGAAGGGAGTCGATATCTCTCTTTATTTTAAAGAGCAAAATCCTTCGTTTGATTTGATGACTCCAGTGTAGCCTCAAACACCTGGTTTGCACACAAATAAAAGGTGATGCTGTGTTTTTCTTTTTAAAACCCGAATGAACTTATTTCCTCATTGACCAACTCCTGTCATATACTCAACCAGGGCAAAGAAGTGTAGTATTAGTGTTCCAGCGGCGCCCGCGTCGCCCGTGAATAGATCGAATCGGTATGCGGAACATCCGCGCATTCGAGGCAGAAGGTACGAGCCCGTGCGACTGAGAACCAACTTTGGCCGGCTTCCACAATCGTGACGGTTTTCGCAGAGGACCCACAGGGCGTTGATGGCAATTAATTATACATGCATCGGAGCGGCGAGGGATGGAACGAAGCGAAGCGGGCTGTGTGGCTCGAGTCTTTTGTGAAGGCAGCCTTGTTAGAAGGCAAGAAATAACTTGAGGTGAGGTTGGAGGATTAGAATTGGTGAAGAAGGTAAATTCCGAGCGTTACGTAGGGACTCTTCTAGTGAAAAATTAGAATTAGAATGATATGTCCCTTGTCGTTCGATAAAGTGCTCCAAAACAACGAGAAAACGTGGACACTTGCCCTTGCACCACAGTCGAAGACCAGGTAAAGCGGCGAGGGCGCAAAAGTGTGGATTACGGCTTGATATAGTAGAGTATTGTAGGTAATAAAGCGCAGAGGCAAACGTGCAGGAAAGGGAAACGATAAGGAGTGTCAAGAAAGCGAAGCCGATTGGGGATGGGGAGCGGTTGGAGTCACGCTGGTGGAGGGAGAATCAAGGCCCAACGTCGAGCGTCAGACGGACTGCGACATAACCAGCGCCCGCCGGGTGAAGAGGGACGTGGAGAGAGTGCGAGCCAAGCAGTTCGATAGCATGGATTATGGAAGGAAAGGACCCACGCGCAGGGTTGCCAAATACCGCTAGCGAGTTGATCATAATACGTGACTGTGACGGGACATGACTGTACGCCGTGCCGTATCGTACGCCCGTACCGCCCGAAGCAGACAACGCGCAACCCAGCAGTCGCCTGTGTGCGCGTGGGGAAGGCCGCTGGGCCGCCCTAAGGCCAGGGAGGCCCTGTGTTCCTCGGTATCGAGCCCCGACGCTGTTCTCCTTCGTGCGCAAGGGCTGTTGCGGGGACCACTCCGCTCAAGGAACGACTCCTAGGGTTCAGAAGGGGAGGCACCGAAACCTTCACCTAGCCGTTGGTCAAAGAGCCAATAAACGGGGATGATCGTCCGCTGCTGACGAGCCTCCGCGCCGTCACACGCTCAGAAGCGCTGATCGGCTGTCCTGTGCAAGTGGCATGTTACTTAAAAAAAGGGTGTTCTGTTTGCCTTCGAAGTGCCGAACTGTTGTAGGTTGAACTTGAAACAGTCTGCCGCTTGGTGTAGTTACAGTTCTGAGGAACATCTGGAGAAAGACGGCTCGGAGGGAACAGGGAACATACACCGGTTCCCACAACAGTCCTTTTGTTCGTACAACAGGAGGGGCAATAATAATGAAAGATGAAGCGTTACCACTTCCAAGCTTCTACTAAATCCCTTAGTCGACCAATACCAGCTACTAAATTGACGTTGAATGAGCCCACATGTTGCTCCGACCATAATTGCGACCATAACTTGCCTTGTGCCATATCCGTCGCCCACTGTGATGCTTGAGGCATCCTTCTAGCCAGGGAGCCTCGATTATCATTATTATTATTATATTGAAAGCTGGCAAAAGTTCCAGTTTAAGCTCCCTGGGCCTCCTCCCTGCCACGTGGTAGGCTGGCTCTCGTCACCCAGGCCCTCGCGTCGCCTTGTCAAGCACCTGCTGTCCCCATAGCCCCATATCCGAACCGCTCTTGGGTTGCTTTGACCTGCCTTCCCTCCTCCAGCACAAAACGCGGACTGACGGGAATTGCAGATCACGCTTGCGAAACGAGGCCTTCATCGAACAATTCCATGACTTGTTGATCTCTGGACCTCCAGCCTCTTGAGGCCAGGTCCAGCAGCCTGGGATATCTCGTATTTTTGAGCCGGGGGGGTCGCTACTTTCACCATTCATGACACTACTGGTTCGCTATCGGAGACAGAACAGGCGGAGGTATGATGAAAGGGTACGAAGATGAGTTTCTTTATGTTCAGCTTTTTGATATTTACTCTTGACATAATGACATCCGACACCTCTATTTGTATGTCCACCATTTTACCCATCCTTGCAACTTTTGTGCTGCCGATCAACGCTAATCCAAAGCAACTGTAGCAATACAAAGGGACCTTCTGGTACCACTAACAACCTACCGAGCCGTTAATACGGCACTGGACTCTGTATTACAGGTAGTTTTACGCATTATTACTCCCTACAGAACACCGTCCCTGAGTACATCCAGGCATCCAAATATACCAGCCAAAACAAGGTTGGATTTTGGAAAAGGCCCTTGCTTTTTTGCATGGTGTGCAAAGGGACCAGCGATTGAAATAGCAATCAGTTAAGAGAAGGCAACTTGGGGCCTTTTTAATCTACTGATTAATTATATCTGAAACGATCAAGTCGTGTTTGCACATATGAGCGACACAACAATAGAATTGGCAAATCAGAGGGACCAGCAGATTTATGCATGCATATATGTATATGTATACCACTTTTTGACCGCCTTAGCCAGCATTTATTGATTTTGATTATCTTATTAAAATGAGATATTGACAGAGATAGATGGCATCTTTTATGGTTATGAGTTTAAATTATATATTGGTGTTGACGTCAAATGAATCCGTTGGACTGCGGACTAATAATATCACTGCTGTTTCCTTGCGAATGATACTGTGGGGATTGCCCGATATCGCAGTGGAGAATTCTACTTACAGGGTAGTATGTTTAGAAGAGATCGTTTAGAACTAATCTCGGGTCACCTTAGCTAGTTTTGTCTGCATATCTAGGTTAGGCATTGAGTAGCACTACACCCAACAAGGAAAAGCTTGATCAAAATCGCATGGGTTCAAGAAGCCCCAATTAATTCTATTGTCTGCATATCTGCATATTATTGACTCGGATCTAGATCCGGTAGTACCGGCCCTGCAGCATCTAAGATATAACTTTCAATTTATCAAAACACAGATATTATAACATTCGTACGGGTAGGATATTTTCCTGGATATCCTGCTACATGAACGAAGCGAATTAAGGATTAATTCCCATTGATTACCTGTTGGGATGAGGGGAGTTGGGACCGACAGGTTCTTGAAAAGAGAAACAAGCACCACGGTCAGCATCCGCTGGTATTGTGTAAAGGGGGACTACTGAACAATAAAACCAAGTCAAGGACCGAAAACCCTACACCACGCCTTTCGCATTTCAAGAAACTCTTGCACCCAGTCGAGCTTATTTAAAAGAAAGCATATGAGCCGTCATTAATAACGTTGAATGGGGAAGTGCTTCAGTTGTACTAGACATTGCGTAATGACCAAATGTGTTGGTTGCACCGTATCGGGATAAGAGGTGAACAGAGTGTGCTGTATTGGCTGGTAATAAACAGCATTCTAGAATAATGCGGGGAAATCTCGACAAACCAAGCCAATCCCACAGGCTTCTGTCAAGCTTCTAGAAGCCTTCCAGACGCGCCCTAGCGTCCCAAGCATCGCTCAATGCTACTGAAAAGGGAATGGGCGCGAGGATCCTTGCTGGGTTCATAAGTCATTCCGAGCGTCAAATGCTCCTGTTACGACGTGGTAGCAGAGCTAGTGGGCCATGTACGCTGGGGCTGGACGATGGTGTCCATCACTCTGGATTCCTGATTGCGAATAAATAACTACCATTATTTGGCTTGGGTATTCTGCCGTATAATGTTTTCTCCGGGTAGTTGAATCCATAAATACCGTACGCACACTACCAGTTGGGGCCGCAGGCAGAGGTCGGGTAATAAAATACCTAGTCTGAGGGACCTGTCACATTCTTCATGCCCTTGGACATGCACCCTGTTCACCAGCAAGCCAATACGGGACGATACAGGCCTGTACACCAATCAGTCTAGTAACTTGACTCCATCCGTCGATCATTGTTGGCTAAATGTGCATTATAGATCACTGATTGGCTGTCTCACCACGCCACAGGAAGGAATCGAAGCCAAAGGAAAAAAATTAAAAAAAAAAAAGAAGAAACAGTGCAACATGAATGGACCAAACATATCCACTTGTACGGGCAACCAATGTTTTTTCGCCGTTATTTTACCCTCTACCAGTCTTTCCTGAGGTGTGTCAAGGCCTGTACTTTACTGTTTTCAAAATACACCCATACGTAACATACGTTTGTAATATTACGCACAACAAGGGTCACTTACACTATACTGGTCCAGAATGTTATCTGCACAGTTCTGAATTTTGTAAACCCCAAAAGGCGGCCAGGGCATCAGGGAAAACAAGAATATAAACCCAGAGGAGTCGTCGGAATTTTGGTCTCGGACTGTTGGGACACCGCAGCGCGACCCCTCTTTTGTGGAAGTCTTTGGGCGATCCAAATCCTCCCACTATTTCAAAAACTCAAAAAAAAAAATGAGTAAAACAAATCATTCCAATGTACCAGGGTTCCTGGTGTTATGCACAGGAAGCCGTTTTGCCCCTCAGGCTGTTTTCTGCCTTCTGAACTTTTGTTCCAGATGATTTAATCACGATGATTCGCTCTGCCGGAAGAAAGAGATAAGACCTTTCATGTGTGCGCTCTGGCCCTTTCGTCAATCGGGCTTCTTCGACGCCTCGTCCGTATTGGACCCAATGAATAATGGGCTGCAATTCAATTTTTGCCATCTAGGCTCTTCGAGGATCATTTAGAGCCTGGCCTGGCATTGTATGTATGCATTTCTTTTTTTTCTTCCTCTTTTTTCGGCGCCGAACCCGGTATGCTTCGGAAACCGTCGCCTCACGGGAAACATTCACAACACTCTCAAAATATTCCTTTTGCATAGTAGTTACAGAGACCCTGCTCCATCCATTACTATTGTGAGGCGCAATATCTGGCATTCTGCATCTTCGCCGTGTTCGCCACATCTTAAGAAAGCTTGTTGCGTGAACAGAGCAACGCATGCGGGAGAACCCCCAGAAGAACCCAATTTATTCACTCATCAAGTTCCACGATCATTTGGCGCTCTACAGAGCAAATCACTATTAGCATTGCCCCTGGCTCTCTTGTTCCGCAAACAGAAAGTATCTTTGTGCACCTCTGAAAGAGAGGAAAGAGGAGGACATACCCCAGAGTTTGCTTGCAGAGGAAATAATAACCTCAGCCTTGCGGAGAAGTTTAGCATTCAGCCGCTCCGCTTCTTTCATCTTATCCTCACCCTGGCGTGATTTGCCGTTTCGAGGTTGTCCCTGGCATCGCATCCAAGGTTAGCAACAATGAGGTGAATACATTTGTTTGTACGTATATACGCAGCAGCAGTAATTATAATAAAAATAGTAACAAAACCTACTCACCATCATCAGTACGGGCACTAAATCCTTCCCTTCAGCTTCAGCCAGTGCTCTCAGGGTCTTGAATCCATTCTCCCATAACAACCTCGCCGTTCGACTCTTCACATACGTCACCTGCGCCAGCTCCAAAAGGTCTGCCCTTGCGCCAGCTTGTAGTCGATCACGCATATGGTCGAGAACAACCGCAAGCATGTCCCACCCCATTCGCTGACAGAACTTCACCATACCCGCGGCGAAGCCGTGGCAGATCTGAGTCAAATTCTGCACGTTGCCACGCGGGGTGCGGTATTTTTGAGCCACTGCTGACACAGGCACCTCATTGCTGAGATCACGGAGTTGGAATGCCGTGTAAGCCCGCTGATAAATCCTGCTTAAGTTCGTATCTAGCGGCATACCTCCTCCTTGCGCCCTAGAAGTAGTCGAGGGATTAGCTACTGGTCACTAAACGCATATAAAACATTAGGTCTTACATTGAATTAACAAATGCTGGCTTAACACCCATATATTGCAAAGCACGACACCCACTATCATCAAGGCCATTAATCTCATCGCGAAGGACAGGCCAGTCGATGTCAATGCCGGTCCCGGATTGAAGTGGTGCAAACATATAAAAGATGTGCATTTCGCCATCCATTACGAAAGCTTGAAGTGCCTGTTTGAGTTGCTCATGGATGAATATGCCATCCTCTGGGGTAAAAGCAGACGCAACAATTGCCTGGCCAAGTCGAGTGGGTTCGTAGGAACCATCAACGGTTATATTAAGTAGATGTGAGGCTACTAACTCTTTGAGAGTTGAATTAACCAAGTCAAAAAGTTCCGCTTCCTCTACACTCTGGTAGAGGAGTGAGGATCTGATGTAGTCGTTAATACCTTCGCGCCCTGAGACAAGGCGGGTCGCAACGGCTTCTAATAACGCCCTTTATAATCGTAGCGTCCGTATTAATATATCGCAGCTAGATATTCAAAAAGCCAAGTACTATAGCATACCGTTCAATTCCCCTTTTTTCTGGCGATAAGCCACTGGCAATAGCTGGCATTTCGGCATCAAGCAGATCAAGAACTGCCTCAAGGTCTTCTGGCGTACAACATAAGAACGTCTCCCCGACTTCGTCTTTTCCTTTACGGCCAGCTCGACCTCGCATCTGTCGTCTGAATTTTTCGGTTATTAATTGTACCAACCAAAGCAACACAAAACCAATGTACGTACAGCATAGCAGGGCCAACAAGATCACGGCCCATTCGAGCACCGCAAAGAATTACTCTCCTAGCTGGTAAATTAATTCCAGCTGCCAAGCTGCATGTAGCAACTAGAACCTTAAGAATGCCTCGGTCATATCCTTCTGCAATTAAATCTCGTTCTTCTGTGGTTAAACCGGCATCTACAGTAGGTGTTATTACAAGGTTCAATTCATTGAGGCGCCGGCAGTGATAGGGAGAGGGGATACTAACGATGAAAGGCAACGCCTTTAATAACAGTCTTTTCAAATACTGGATCGAGACCACATGGAAGACTTTGCAAACTTGCCACGAGATCCATGCGTTTTTCTAGAATTTCTGGATTTGACATACTCTCATCCGGCATTGCATCACTGATAAGCAGCGCGTTTGCATGGCAGGCTTGCCTGCTCCCACAAAATACCAGCGCACCGTATCCAGAGGTCGCAGTTTCCAAAGCCAATGACACCATAGCATTAGGAATTGGGCGTTCCAATTCCTTATACACAGACTGAGAGATTTCTCTCACAGCGAGTACCCCATTATCGGTGGCGTTGGATTTATTCAGTGCGAGTGCTGTGCGCAAAATTTCCTTTGAATTTCCGGCCGGATAAACCAAATTTTCATACACAAGAAACTCTTGAACTGGAATTGGGCGATAGTTCGAGATATAATAGTTTGCATGGAGCCATTTTGCCAGTACTTCTGTGTTCTATTCCAAAGATTATCAAAAACGAACGGGTATCTCAATGTGCTGCAGCACACGATGCAGCATACGACGTACCGACAAAGTAGCGCTCATGCCAACAATTTGGATATCTTGCTGAAGCAGGAGCAACTTCGATACCATAATTTCAATCAAATAACCACGATGCTCGTCATCGAGCATGTGAAGTTCGTCCAATACAACAATGCCCAATTCGTCAATATTGCACTCTTCAATAGCAGAGTTCACGATCATATTAGCCTATATTTTTGTTAGTTGAATTAAATCTGCGGAAGAACCAACAACTTAATTGATATCCACGGACCTTCTCAATTGTGCATACGGCAATATCCGTATCCGACCATGTACTCCTGGATTTGCTCCCTCCAAAGAACCCCGTGACACGAACAGAGCTCAGCGGTAACTTTGTGTGCGAAGGTGGCTGTGGAAATCTATCACTCTGCTCCACACACTTCTCCACACCTTCTACCAGCTGCCGAAGCCATTTCAACTTCTCCTGCACCAGAGCCACGTAAGGAAGGACAAGTATAGCTTTCTTGCGAGGGTTGTCAATGATACGCTTCAGCATCAGCACATCTGCCACTAGGGACTTCCCTCCTCCCGTAGGGGCGCTGTAGACCAAGTTCTTCTCGGCTGTAAGATGACCACGTCCAAGAAGACACGATGCCTGCCAAGGGTATATGCAGTTCACACCCATAGACTCAAAATTGGTTATGAGGCGCTGGGGCAGTCCATACCTGGGGTGCCGTAGGGAAAGTAGAGGGTTCTGTGACGGACCAGGGGTGCTGGAGACAACTTTGCGTTGGGTGTAAGTTGCGAAATCCTCCTTTGGCAGGACTGCATCTGGTAATGTACGTATCTCGCTGGCCACAAGGCGCTGCTTGTTTGGATTAATGGGCGTGGTACGGGATAAACCGACTTGTGCACGACCATTGTGAGTTTTTTGCGACTGAAGGAGCTGACGGGCAGAGGTGAACGGTGACAGGGTTTCGCTCTCTGATCGAGAACGCTTTACGCCTGCAGCAGACGCTGAGTACAGCTTTTGCTTTTGGGCAATCTCAATCGATGTTTGAAAGCCAGCTGATTGAAGGCCCCGAGTAGCATTGGAACTCATGGCACAACTCCAAAAAATGGGTTCTGAAATTTGGCTAGCAACTACCAAGAGCCAAAGCCGGCTATGCTAGCAGATAAGGGCAGCCCTCTAGTCATTTCTCCATAGACATCCTGTTCGTCTCGCCGTCGCTATCCCTCTGTTTATTTTCACGCGATGTTGATATCAGGCTGAAGTTCCGAGGTATTTTTCCGGGTCCGGACTCCGATTACGTCATTTTCAAGACTCAGCAAAGTCAAAATTTGCCAAGTAGTTACTTCGTCCTCACCACTCTTATGACCCAAAATCCGCCCTTCGCGGCCTATGTCATGACATTCTTATTTCAAAACTGCCAACTAGCTTTCTGCCTCTCCAGCCTGTTTCAGTCATACAGGGACCACCATTGTACCATCAACTTCCTTTTTTTTTTTCTTTTTTGACTCCGCTGGAGAATTTTAAACACACGATTTTGATTTTTTTCATTGTAGCACATACTCCATAGTACTTTTTCATTTACGTCAACCTTTATAAAAATTATTCCGCTTAACAAACCGTTTGGACTTAATGCATTAATTTCATAACAGTAGGACATCTGTTTATGATATATTGGTATATTGAAGCGAGTGTTGTTAATGGAGGAATAACAGCGTGTGCCCTTTATCAAAAAGATCTGGTCTTTTGGATTATGCTGGGTATATGGTGTTAAATTCTTTAGATACATACTGCATGCGCTGATAGACTTGTTTGATTGCATACCATGGTGTAGTACATGTGTAATTATTTGACAAGCGAGATTGTCACAGGCTAAGGGACAAAAAGGCATGGGTTTAATTGGAAACAAAATAATTCTTAGTATTTTTAGAAAATATCTTCCTAGGTGAAAGATATTTCAGATCAATAATGTGTTCAGATTAAGATCGATCGCTGCAACTACATCGTCATCTCAGTTTCATGAGGTTAGAAAATCTCCAGAACAAAAGAAAGAAGAGTTCGAGAATCACTATCAAGAAATATATATACTATCAAGAATATATGCTGGGTCTCATCAGAAAAAGTCAGGCGATACCGCCATTATGGGCAGTGATGTTACCCGCCCAGACGCATTTGAGTTTTCTCTCGAATCACGCAATTGCATTCTGGATACTCCGTAGTCTCAAATTATTAGTGCGGGTTCACTATCATACCATCGACTCTGGTGACCTGGCAGTCCAGGCGCTTGTGGTGGGTAGGGTGCCAAGGCGTCCCCAGAAAGTTTGGTAATCCACACCTCTCCGAGACTAGTCCAAAAAAGTATTAGCGCTGTCAGGTGAATATTCTCGCCCAACCTCCAGTCATAGGAGCTGGTGGAGCGACCGGCGGAACATTTTGGCGCAGACGCCGGCGCACGGGGTTGGAACGGGAGAGGGATATTCATGAGAAAATGCTGGATGTATTTTTCCGGGCAAAGCTATAATTAAACGAAAGATGATGGCAAACTATGACGTAGAGTGTCTGGGGTGGCTCTATATTGGCAAAGAGGCCGAGGCGCTGACACATTAAGATGAGCACATCGGTGAGTCGGCAGCAACGAGACTAAAGATACCAACTGGTGGTAGAAAAGGGCGGGTTTGTTGCTGGCGAGCGGGTGCCCCGCGAAGAATAGGCGAAGGCATAGAGCGGCAAGATCATCGTTTCATCGAGAGAAATGAATCCTGCGCGGTGTGTGCGCCGCCCAATGTGCCCTCCGTTTGGATGGGCTAGCTCAATAATGCCATGCTAAAGAAGACACTGTACATACAAACAGAATTTTGGTTCACATAGTTGAAGACTAACAATGTGCGGCAACTTGGTCATTTAAGACGCACGCTGTTAACTTAAGCTAGCCCAAGATGTATTGTGGCGGTCCACTCCTGGCCTGGTGCTTGCGTAATGGAGAGGACGTGCTCGGGATTAAAACGGAATTGCCAGCTCAAGGCCGCCTCGTTGTGGATGGGTTTACACGGGAAGGACCCTAGTTTGCTGAATTGATGCCGATTCACGCATGGGTTGAAATATAGCGGGTCATCGTGGGGGGGTATCAACGGCGGTCTGTCGAGCGACGACGGCTGGCCCTGTTCCTCGCCGCGAAGGGAGCCCCTCCTCCAGGATTGGCGGGCAGTGCGGTGTTGGGGCTCGCGGTTGGCGATTGGGAACGAGGTGATTGAGTTCAAATCTGCAGCTAACTAGTTATTGGCCAGCGAACTTGGCGCGCGTGGCTGATTACAAGTTGCAGTTCCGTCCAGTACCCTGGCCTAGGAACCTTGACGATATGGCTATATGGCCCGATGTACCACGCTGGTAGCTCGCTGCCTTGGAAGACCTAGCAGTGGTACCTGGCCGATACCTGTTGTGACTTGAGGGAACTGAGGGCGCTGTGCTGCACGTCCAGATCTGAGGGCCAAGAAACAATGCTTCTGGATACGCAAGCGAGGAACCGTGCAACCGAGCAGGGCGGCATCGTCGGTCGGCCTGAAAGCGCCAGCTTTGCCTGGGCAAATGCAGCTGGCGAGAAATGGGCCCTTCTCAGCTATTCTTACGGCTATGTATCTCAATAGGCGGGGTGTTTCGAGCTGCATGATCCGCCCGCGGGCACATCCCAATCTGCTTCGTGACGGAATACGGTACTGGGCAGCACAGTTGCTCGTTCCCAAGACGCCACGTCTGAACACCAGCGACTCTGTGGGCTTCGGATGAATTGCCTGTAATATAGCTGCCCGCCTCCAGCCTGTAATGCTGGGAGGTAATCTGTAACCAATGGGGCCGGTTTGAAGCGCTTTGCACAAACACCAAGTCACTAGGCGTGCACAGCTGGCCCCATGTCCCTGCACCGCAACATCTAGTTAGTTAGTTAGTTAGGAGTCAACGGCGGTGCTCGACGGCATGCGGCTGGAGCCAGCAGGCCCGAGTGCCAGCGAGTGGGCAAGGCGTGAGGGTTCGCATGCGATCGGCTGCGACAAGCGCCTGGAAGATGAAACGCCTGGAGCGCGTTGCTTCAGCTCTCCTGGCTGCTCGCCTTTTTGCCGCTGCGATCAGTGCTCCGGGTGACACCAGGGTGTCTGACCCACTGATCCGGACTAGCGTGCTGGCTGTCCCAGACTTTTTCGCCAGAAAAGGCCCCGAGGAAGTTCGAAGGTGGGCGGGAAGACAAGCAATCCCATGAGTTTTCCCTTTGAGCATATAAGAACTAGTTAGTCAACCGCCAGCCAGCTAATCATGCAGTGAGTTTGTCGGGACATTCCCTTCTTTTGGCCGGCCCTGTTTCTGCACCCTCTTTTTCTTCCTTTCTGCACCTTTGTTCTCTTCCCTTCTCCATCACCCTGTATGATAATCGCGTACCGCGCTCCCAACGCGGCCTCCCTTCCCTTGCGATCCTGCTGTTCCGCTCTTCAATCCCATCCCTCCACGCTGGTAAGTCCAGGGCATACCCTCTTCCTCTCCCCCCCTCTCTGTTCATTAAAGTTTCTGCCTCCCAGCTCCCCATCTCTTCTCTTCGCCCCATGTGCCACTTCGATTATGTATCATTCACGCACAACCACCACGCCTTTTCATAACACAAACCCACCACCTTGCCCTGGGCTCTTGTCTGTTGCTTCATAACACAATATTTGCCCTACTTTTTCCCTTTTCTCTATTCTGCCCTAATTTGCCTCTGTCCACACACCGATATCTTACTTTCCCCATCCTCTCCTTCCCGCCCATCCTCCTACCCCAGCATCTTCTTCGGCTTTCTTTGTCCAACACCGCTTCCGCGTCTCTCCCTAGTGCCTTGCATCCCCTGGTGCTATCTGTCTTATCTCATATCTGGTCACAGCCCAGCTTTGCTGCGCCTGATCTTGTCCGAGAACGCCAAAGCCTGTCTGGCATCATAAGGTTCGGGGTTGGCTCGGCTCCACCGACGCCCCGATTTCTTTCTTCTCATCTGCACAGTTTGTGACCTTAGGCTAGTGCTTGCCATTTGTCCCATATTTGATGTGATCTGATTTGCGGTGTGGTTTCGCCGCGTCACGCTCTCTGCTGCGTGTTCACCAACTTTCCCCTTCTTTTTTCAAATACTACATAACTAGCAGGCCTGTTTTGTAACTGTTTCCGGTATTACAGACGGTATACGCCCGCCACGCCTCGATCAGCTCCTCCCAGTTCCCAGGCCTCACCACTCCGCGCCGCATGACACGCTGTCGCCTTCAGTGAATGCATTTATCCTGCCTTGCAGCAATTGGCAGGTTATCCCTGACGTTGCCCTGTGTCGCTGCCACACATGGCAACAGTTCAGGATGGCTCGCTCTCCACAGAGAGTGAAGCACTCGCGAAGTCCGCCTCGCCGGCCCCAAGCAAAAACGAAAAACTGGACGACGCGGCAGACACCAGCTGTGACGAAGCGGACAGCACGCATTCACAACCGATGACCACAACCAGATCTGCTTCTTCGGCAGCAGATACCCCTAAATTACAGCCAACCGCCCTTAGCTCCTCGTCTACCCCAGCCCCGTATGGCACCCGATCAAGGAACCGAGTAGGCTTGCCCCGACCTAATTATGCCGAAGACCGCGATCTCGACTTGGACCTCGAGCCTATAGGCGCTGCAAAGCCCAGCAGCGCCAAAAAGACGTTCTCAACCGGTCAGTCCACCTCCCGAAGCTCTCCATCTGCCGACAGGCCCGCCGGCGTGAGTACAAGGAGAGCTCGTAACGATTCAAACTATGGTTCTTCCACGAAGGAGCCTATTCCGGGAACATCGACCTTTTCCGTAAACCCCAATGTTATCAACGGGTCCAAAAAGCGGAAACAGCCGGGCTCTGGCGCGACCGCGGTGGGATCGTCGACACCCACCAGTACGGGCCAAGCGAGCAAAAAATTCATTGTTACTCCTTCGGGTTCGGCTGAACTAGAATGTGCGACAAATATGATGTCGTTTCATAACTCTCGCGGGTATTTGAAAAATGGGAAACTTAAGGCTGATGATGGCACAACTTTGGCTCCGAATGGTACGATGATTCTAACCCGATCTCCTTTCTGCAAATATAGATGCTAACTTTCGGGTTGTTTATAGATCATGTATACCTTATTTGCGAACCGCCCGGCGAACCGTACTACCTTGCTCGGATAATGGAGTTTCAGCCTTCTAAGGACGACCCAACTGGCCCTATTGAGACAGTGCGCGTTAACTGGTACTATCGGCCGCGCGACATTCAACGCAGATCCGTCGACCCACGAATGGTATTTGCTTCAATGCATTCCGATACTTGTCCATTGACGTCACTTCGAGGGAAATGCCAGATTTTACACTCATTTGAAATCAGCAATGTAGACGAATACAGAAAGGGTGAAAACTGTTTTTGGTTTGATAAGATGTATGATCGTTATATTCAACGCTACTACGACGTGATACCCACCAGCCAGGTCATTAATGTCCCTCAACACGTGAAAAAAGTTTTGGATGAAAGGTGGAAATTTATCCTAGTTGAAAGCGGTCGCGCGAAAGAATTGACAGGCGCTGTCAAGACATGCAAACGATGCAGTCAATATGCTGCCAAGTATGACTTCTACGTGTCTTTCTCTTCATATATCCCATCTAACCTGACTTCTAGTGTCGATTCCGTAGACTGTGCCGTATGCCATCGCACCTATCATATGAATTGCGTCCGTCCAGTATTACAGAAGAAACCGGCCCGCGGCTTTGCCTGGGCTTGTGCTGCCTGTAGCCGCGCTCAGGACAAGAAAATGGAAGCAAGAAATACGCCAATCATAGGCGGAGCGCACCGAGAAGCAGAGCAAGATGCCTTTGAAGAGGATGAAGAAGACCCTGCCATTGTTGCCGAAGCTACACAGCGTAGTAGCCCTTCTGGCAACGACACTGTTGCTCATAAGGCGACACCTGAACAGACCGCGCAGGCGAAGCTATGGCCTTTTCGCTACCTTGGACTTCATTGTCGAGTTGAGGAAGCGCTTGAATACGACGATAGAATTTATCCTCGAGCTAGTTCAAGAATTGGCTCCCGTCATCAAGCTACCATTCCTCCTTGGTGCGGTCGTCCTATCGAGTTCGTAAAAGGACCAGAGGTCAAAAAGAAATATCTAAAAGCAAAAAAAGAGACCAAACTGTCAAGAGAAGCTGTCGCCGTCATGGAAGCCGAGAAAGCTGAACGAGCAAAACGGCCAAAGTGGGTGATGGATGAGCCTGCTGGTTATATACGCCGTGGAGAAGATCAACCAGTGTCAGTAAATGGAAAACAAGTTCGCACTGCCGAAACGCTGTTCAAAATGCCGGATGCATCACAGCTTCCATCCAGAGGAGAAGATGACGACCCAGGATCACAACTCAGTCCCGATGAGCGTGAGAAGCTAATAGACGATTACATGACAGCTGCAAAAGCAATTGCATCGTCCAAAGGCATTGCAGAATATTCTACAAATTTCCTGGATAAAGCTCTAAGCATATTGTGCAATGAGAATTACAATAAAGATGCAGCTTTAGCCAAGTTAAGTAAAATTAACCGATATGGCGATCTTAAAGAGCCACACCTGAAACCTGAAGAAGTCAAACTTTTTGAAAGTGGTGTTGCGAAATATGGCTCCGAACTTCGCTTGGTTACTAAGCATGTTGTTTCCGTTCCACATAGCCAGGTTGTTCGATTCTACTATATGTGGAAGAAAACTCCAAAAGGCCGTCAGATATGGGGAAATTTTGAAGGCCGGCGCAGCAAAAAGGCAAGTAAAAGGTCGGATAATGCAATTGCCAAGTTGGCCGACGATATCGCCGATGACCACGATGATTCTGCCTTTGATAAGGAAAAGGCCGCTAGCAAAAAGCGAGGCTTTGTGTGCAAATTCTGTTCGACTAAAAGTTCAAGGCGATGGCGCCGCGCACCGTACGTGCTACCTGGGAGCGTTGCTCCTTCCGATCCTTCATGCAGAAAAGACAAAGGAATCACTTATGGCGTTGCCCTCTGTCAGCGATGTGCCTTGCTATGGAGAAAGTACGCTGTTCAATGGGAGAGTCCAGACGAAGTTGCAAAACGAATTGTCCAGGGAGGATCGAAATCGTGGAGGCGCAAATTCGAAGAAGATCTCCTTACTCAGTTGTTAATTTACACCGAATGCGACGTTAGGATCAATAGCACGACCGCTAGCACAGCCACGTCTATTGGAATCCCCGTAGTGTCGGATACTGCGAAAGAAATAGTACCAGAACCACCGAGGAAAAAGGCAAGGACCGAAAAAGACTCGGTTACGCCAGCCAAGGAGCCTTCAGTCGAACTTCCAAAGAAGAAAACGCTTGAGAAAACAGCAGATCCATCACATCTTCTGCCTGAACCCCCCAAGCCCAAAACACTTCCTTGTGCTATTTGTAAGAAAATGGAGCCCGGCGGGGACCAGCATTTATCCTGTCGAGATTGCCGCCTGACTGTGCACCGTGCTTGCTATGGAGTTAGCCCCGAACGAAATGCTTCAAAATGGTTTTGCGACACCTGTTCTAATGACCATAATCCGACGATATCGACCCGATATGAATGTATTTTGTGTCCAGTTACGTGGACAGAACATGAATTGATGGAGCCCCCTAAAATAACCCACAAAAAGAAGAGTGAGCGGGAGCGGGAAAAGGAAAGGTTAGAGAAAGAAATGGTGGCCGAGGCTATTAAACTCTATCGCCAGCGACAAGACGCTGCCGGCAAGCCTGTGGGTCCTCGAGAGGCCTTCAAACGGACAGCTGGGAATAACTGGATCCACGTTACATGTGCCATTTGGCATCCAGAGATTAAGTTCGGAAATGCCGATGCATTCGAGCCCGCAGAAGGGATGGGACTTATTCCGCCTGAAAGGTTTTTGGAGACGTGTAAGATATGCAAATCCTCTGTTGGCGCTTGTATCACCTGTCAGCTTCCTTCTTGCAACGCACGGTTCCATGTGGGATGTGCTCACCAGGCAGAGTACCAGTTTGGCTTTGATATCACACCCGTGAAAGTCAGCCGAAGGGACTCTGTGAACACCATGAAACTTGGAGAGGAGTCAGGGGCACCTACGGCTGCCGTGTGGTGTCCGCATCATACAATACCGACAATTGTTCACGAGATGAGTGATCTCTCAGGAATTGGTGACTTGAATGCTCTTCAGCTGTACTCTCGGACATGCAAGCAAGCAGACCTCGCCTTAACTGGTACTGTACGCAAAGCAGCCCATTTCCAGCAAACCGTTGGAGCTACGATGAATGGCACCCAGCAAGCAGCGGCTCGTCGTGCTGTAACCGTAAATGGAACAGGCCATGGTCATGCACGCAAAGAGAGCACTCATACATTGGGCACAAACGCGTCGGGAGAGGCGTCGCCCAAACCGGAGCGTCCATTCAGCCTAATCGAGGCAAACGGGAACGAGGTGGGCAGCAAAAATTTGGAAAGTAAGAGCTGCTCTCGCTGCCAGGCCACTGTCAGTCCCAAATGGTGGCGTCGCCATGCAAGTCGAGACGGACCGGGAGTCGATTCAAATGGCCGCCCCTACGACGGTACTGTGAATGAACCAGGTCGCAGAAGCTCCATCCACAATGTTTCCAATGGAGTCTTGCTGTACGAATGCCATAAATGCCATTTCCAAAAGTCCGAATCACCAACAACTACCCCGGATGCTCGGCCTTCGCCATTTGTCGCCGAGCGTGATTCTGGTATGCCAACTACCAAGCCACCCGAGTACCCCCATCACTCTTTTGCACCATCTCCGCATAACCCCCAGGCCCAGCCAAACCCTAACTTACATATGGCGCCTATGGCAGCCCGCACTCCGCATGGCCCAGATTGGCGACCTGAGTTCGAAAAACGTGATTATCCTGCCCCCATTATTCGAAATGGGATACCCCCTGGGTCTAATGGAATTCCACTTCCTCCGAACTTTCATCCGGGCCCCCCACCGCCGCCTCCCGCCTCGCACTTGAATGGATACGCTCCATCTCTCCCACATCCCCCTCCGCCAACCCACTACTCCAGCGGTGTGCCTGCTCCCCCTCCGCCCCCTCCTCCACATGCATACTCTCCGCGCCAGAATATGTTCTCTGCTGTTTCGTCTTCCCCAGCGAGTGGAGCTCCTTTACCCGGAGGAAGCCATGCCTATCCTTCTACCTCCCCACCAACAATGCATTACTCGCCTCAGAGTCAGATCAATAATTTACCCCAGGGCCCTTCCACTGTTCGAATGTACCCTGTTGAAAGGACGGCTGCCTCCGCTATGCCAGCCCCAGCTGCTCCTCGTCCTAGTCTAGACTCTCAGCGCCAAGCTTCTCCAGGATCCTCTGAGCCGCATGGGAAAACTACTAAAGCTGAAACAATCTCGGCTACTGGCACGAAACCTCCAAGCTCTGAGCGTCTTAATACAGGTGCCCAATTACCCCCGCCAGCAACCGGAGCAAGTGCAAGTCCATCGTTAAAAAATTTGCTTTTGTGATAGACCGAATGGGTGGAGTAGGATGACAACGGAGTTCCTCACCATTTCTTGCCTCTTTACTTGATTTTTATTTTGCTTTTTTTTTTTTCAATTATTGTGTTTGTCTACTGCTTTTTGTTCCTACGGACATTCGGAATCTGGGCGAGTTACTAGGATATACACGGAGGTCTCTTTTTATTTCTTCAGTGGTTCAATCTTCCAGCATTCTCAGGTTGCCTGGTGTGGATCAGGCAAGGGTGTTATGGGCAACTGGTGCTGGCCGTCGCTGATTTAAGCATATTGTAAGGTACTCCGAACTAGAACTTAGCAATTATTTTCTTATACCCTATCAATATCGTGCCTGCAGAATGTCCATGGTGATTGGCTTTCGTAATCAATTGCGTCATGGCCCTTTTTATTCCCGAGAGAAGGTAAAACTATTTATTTCACGTCGACGGGGGAGAATAACATATGGGTGCTATATAAATACAATCAGAAGAATAAGTTATCTTTAACAGCAACATCCATAAGCCAGGGCTTATTGGATCTCACATATCATCAATCGTTAAAAGTTTCACTGCTAAGCCACCTAAAACCTGACTCCTACAAGCTTCCTTTTGGGAAAGCAACCCCTTCCGTAGCCTTGCTGTCTGTGAACCAGGTCACCTTCTCTGCACCTTTCTCATTCACCAGCCCACATGGCAGCAGCTTTCCATCAGCAGTGTCGAATATCTTCTTCAAAATATCCCTCTTTCCTTCTCCCGTGGCAACAAACGCAATTCTCAACCCGTGCGTCAGCACCGGCATTGTCAAGGTAATCCGCTTGGGGGGCGGTTTCGGCGAATTCGAGATGGCATCGACCCAGGAAATCGTTGAATTAAGGAGTTCGTGTTGGGGGAATAAGCTGCAGGTGTGGCCGTCCGGGCCACAGCCAAGGAGAAGGAGATCGAAGACAGGGAGCTTGACGCTATCCTTCGCGGCGAAGGAATGCATCAACTCCTCCTGGTAGAGATCGGCGACCTCCTGGGGTTCATTTTCCTTGGTGTGGTCAAGGCTGATGGGGTGGATCTTGGGCTCGCCAAATTCGGCAGAGAGCTTGTTGACGAATTCGGCCATTACGAGGCGGTAGTTGCTGTCTTCGTGGTCGAGGGGCACGACGCGCTCGTCGGCGAGGAAGATGTCCCACTTGGACAAACGAAGAAGGTCATGTTCGTCTTCGGGAGAGGAAGGGGTGTCGATGAAGGCTTTGGCGAGAAGGACGGGGAGAGAGCCGCCAGAGATGGCGACGCGAAACGTATCGTGTCGCGCTATGGCGTTGTTTTGGGACTGGACTACGTATTTGCGCAGGGCGAGGGTGAGGACTTGAAGATCGTCGAACGAGAAGAGGCGGGGGCCGGCTCCCGGCATTGTGAATTGTGCAAAGAGGGTAGCGAGTGGGGATAAACAATTGCAAGTTTATTTTTAAAGACAAGTGCGCGTTTGTCGCGATGTTGGAGGCTTTGCTGTTGGCGTTTGATGCGAGGGATGATGGCGGAAGGTGGCGGGGTGGTTCTACAGTGCCGCCATACTAAACTGCACTCGGCAGCGACCCCGCAACCAAGCTACAGGCACACACGGCCTGGCCCGCGATTAGTCAAGCGGCAATATAGACGCGATACCGGTTTCTTTTCCGGGCTCATGGAAGAAAAGTATTGACAGGAAGCTGCATTGTGGAACTCTAACTACCTTACAGCAGAATATTTGGAGGGCGGATAACAGTTGCTCTATGATGCCACGCCCGGTGCCACGGAACCTGCCCCTTTCCCTAGTATACGCTTATACCTCTAGCAAGTGCCCAGCATCTCCGTCAAAGCTGCTTTTTCTTCTTCGTTGACGGACAAGGAGTAAGCAGACTTAACCTTAACCCACATCTTGGCGTAGGTACAGTGATATGAGGCTGAGACGGGATGTTAGCCAGATACCAAATAAAACAAAAGCCGCGGCATGCTCTGCCAGAACTTGATCAACATACTTCGAGGTGGCTTCCAATTTTCAGGGCCCTTATCACCCTTCGCACGGTTGGACTTGGCCGTTACGGCGATCAACTGTGGGTTTGTCAAGTCGTTTGCGAATTCTTGTCGTCTGGCTGCAGACCAGCTTCTTGCTCCGGACTTCCAGGCGTTGCTCAATGGGACGACGTGGTCAATATCCGCACCACTTGCGACGGACACGGTCTCCCCATCATATTCGCTGAACCAACTGCCCGACGAGGGGTAGCATCTGGAGTCGACGGTCACGCCCTGGCCATCGCGCTTTAGCACCTCCTCACGGGTGTTGCATTCACCGGAGATGGTGATCCAGTGGCGGAATAGGGAACGAGAGTACCCTTCCTGAGGGCCTTCTGGAGCCACGGTAAGGCCATTGAGGGCATTGCGGGCGGCAGAGGCCGAGGGGATATTAGGGGGAGCAGCAAGGGCCGCTGGGGCGGGAGCCGGGATGGCGGTGGAAAGGGGGAGGACGGAGAGAATCAGCGGGAGAAGGGCTGGGGCAAGCATTTTGGCTGAGTCTGAGCGGGCGTTGTCTGATCAGAGGAATTCTCGAGGACGGGCTCTTCTTCTCCTGCTGCCAGGCGCTGCGCGAGGCATCTTATATAGGGACTCATCGGTGCACCCACAATGATTGCGTTCCCGCCCACTCCTCTTGTGTGGCTATCATGGCTCGGAGTGCGAAACCGCCTGCACTCCCAGATGCCACCCGCCCAGAGGCTGCGCCAAACTGGTATCTCGAGAGCTCCAGCAAATCCTTCGGTCTAGCGCGACCACGCCGGGCCCTCGAGTGGCTGCTGGCACGCCGTCACGCGGAGAAGAACAGAAAAAAGGGGACGACGCAAGAGACGCACGCAATACGGAGTGCTGGCCTCCACCTCTCCCCTGCGGGCGGCCCGCGCAGCGCGTGCGATCCTGCCGGTCAGCGCGCTGATCGGCGCAGGCTGCGTACCGCGACGGCTCACATGCGAAGCTGGCTGGCGGACAGCGGCCGTTGACCAGGCGCTGGCAGCACACGCGCTCGCCGCCGACCCAGCGGGTGTTGGCGATTCGTCACGGGAGCGGGGATGCCCGCCAGTCTGCCTGCAGCACGGCTTCGTCAGGCTCGCGCGCGCTGCTGGCCTGCGGTAACTAGTTATGGAGTAGTTAGTTAGGTACTGTGCGGTGAGGCGATGCAACGTCGTGGAGAACCGCCAGGAACGAGCAGATATAGCGCCCACCGGGCCAGTAAGTCCGCCCAGGTTGGGCGATGGATGAAGCCGAACTATATTACATACGAGGTAGCTAACTAGTTAGTTAACCAACTACGGAGTATCTCAACTCGCCAATCAACTCAGACACAGCTGTGGTGCGCGACCGCCCGCTTCATATCATCGCACCGCCTCCCCGCATTTCCGCCCCTGCCGCACACCGAATGGCCTCGGCCAATGTGACCTTCTCCGGACCTCGTTGCGCGCAGAAAGAATAATACCTGGCCCTCTAGACGCCCGTGCGCTGCGTCCACGCTTGATGCTGCTGTCTCTTCTCCAGCGTCGCCCACGCGGCCAACACGCCTCTCTCCTGTTTGCGTGGGCTTGGGTCCACTCTCGAGCCATCAACTGGCAGATGCCAGCCAGCCCTTGTTCAAGCTGCATTTTCCATGAGAGCCAGACTGCATCGTGCCTAGTCGGAAGAAACAAGCCCGCCCCTTTCCCATCCCGTGCAGGACGCGCACTCGGGCTAAAAGTTTTATACGGCCATGGGCAGTGGTGCTAAGCCTGTCGTCGACGTAGTCAGCATTTTCTGACAAAAATCGCATTCTGATTCCACTGGCCGGCCTGGTAGCTCGTGAAGTGACCGTTTGGTTGATTTCTAGTATGCCAGCTGGGATAGGGATAGTCCTGTCGTTGCCGCCGTCACCAACGACATTGCTATTACAATGTGAGTTGCAATGTCGAGAAATTTCTTCAACCCAGAACGGGAGATCCCAAGCTTGCGAGTACGGAGTTTCTCTCTAAACCTGGTACTTTGGGTGATATTCGGAACCGGCCCTGGAGGAATTGGTTTGTCCAAAAACGTACAGAGCGGCTCCCACCCTTCATTGACGTGATATTTGAGCAGATTTTCAGACGGAACTAAAGATTGGGCACGTTGATAGTATTGCTCAAAGCCCTCTGGCCCGTCCTTCTCCCATTCGCCATCGTATATCGTGTCGTCCAGTTTTTGAAATGTGGAATGATCCCTGTGGCTCCCCCGCGCTCTGGCAGTGCATCCCAATACTACCGATCCCATGCTACTTTCTGCTGTCTGAAGGGCATTCACGAAGGATCTGCACCGTATACAAGATTAGAAATATGTACCGTTCCCAAGATGTGTTTCATTTACCTATGCCATGAGTCTCCATCTCTGAGATCCCCGACTGTCAAAATTACTTTCGCTTTGGGGTGGTTTTGAATCATCTCAGCAACGCTCTTTATTGCTGAACTGTCCGCTGCAGCCTTTTTAATCCTACTCAGTTAACTGTGCTCAGGAAATGGAACGAATATCTGAAAGTACCTGGTAACGCTCAAGAATGACTTGAAAATTCTCTGGGTCAAACTTCTTACCATTGCATTTGGCTTTAAGTGCTCTTAGCCATGCTTTGGAATCTTGTGGGCTCGCATATATAGCATCAAAGGTATGATAAGTGTGAGGGCAATCGAGTGTTAACAAAGCATCCTTTAGAGCTGGCATATTGTCAGCACGAAGGTGGTCATATAAACCCTGCAGGATACCTTTGGGCACTAACATTCTGTACCTGCTCGACCGAATTCAATAACTAGGACCTCCATCGAAGCCTCACCATCGTGGAAGGCTTCCATTTTCTTGGTTTCTTGAAAGATGCGGTCGATATATGAGAGTGAACTGTGACTGAGACCTGAGAAAAACGTATTGGACTTGTGAAATCAGTGTTTCCTCTGCCTTTTATCCCACGCGGCATCAGCCAGCCATCCTCATGGCGACCGTTAGTTCGTGTCGTTTTGTGATCATACCTCCTCGCTAATCAAACTAAGCTCGATGATCAATTTCCTCCCTGGTGTTAATAATGGCATACTTTCGCTTGACTCCTGTTCAACGCTTCTAGGAAGCATTTGAATATCGCGAGGTTTACTCGTCGAGTCGCATGGCTGCGTTTTCTGCTACGCTAATGCAATTAACTAGGTGCTTCTGCAGATCGCAGGTATCGCCGGCGGGTTGCCACGAGATAGCGAGGCTAGGCTGGCGGATACGAGGGCGTCGATTTTGCAATTGTTGAATAGGAATGCTCCATCCGTTGATGCGGTGAAAGGAGAAGCACATTTGAATTGGGTATTTAAGACGAATATATATATCGCCATAGAAAGGGTTCTTCACGGTGTCGATAACAGCTCACAAACAGAAGAATTTGCCAGGGTATTTAGGTTACTAGGAGATTTAAGTTTTCAGCCGAAGGCATCGCCATGAATCGGGATGTTGTCGATCTTTATGTGGCGGATCTGATGTGCGCAATGCCGGGATTGAAGTCTTGCCCAGCTAACTGGTTTAGTTACGGAGTACCTACGATCCGAATCTTAAAGACGCTGCGTGCCACAGCTTTTGATATTTATTGAGAGAGTTTCTGCCATGAGCTGAAGAGAAGCGCCTCATGGTTCTAATTCGAATCCTCAAAGCCGGTAACGGTTCCCCTGGCGTTCGCTTGCTGACGAAAGAGAGTGAGTGTTGAAGCGAGGTGCATACAGCTAGCACACATCTAAATGTTCATGGCATAAGTTGTGTCACCTGCTACGAAGTACATGGAAGCCCTATCCAAAATTATTTTTGATAGGATGACAGATTGATGGTCTATCCTTTAAACCTTCTCTTTTTCTTTTTGCCTCACTGGCTGCTGAACATAGTAAACTCAGTAATCTAAACAACTGGAATGGGGTCAGTCATAGGCACTATAAGGCAATATAAGGCTTTTAGGTCACAGGTGAAGAATATCTGGCCATAGGATGGCTTTAGAGATATTTCTCGTTAGGGATGGTAATGTTTCTTCTATTCTACCAGGAGTACGGTATCTATGGGGAAAAGAAAAATAGTACTCCTTCTAAACACCCCAAAACGGTGTATTTATCCGCCGAAAAGATCGTTGGATGTAGCTCAAGAGGGTATCAGGAAACAAGAATTGGCGTACTCCGCCATTGAGTAGACCCGAAAAAAAAGCCTTGGTCAAACATCCGATAATACGGGAAATCGACTCTCAAATGGAAATATTAAAAGCCATTTAGTTGGTCCTGAGCCTTCATCACTTGGCCGTGGTTGATATAGTCAAGAAGAACGACATTTGGTTTCCGGTTATAGATCGAGTTGCATAAGTCAACGTGCGCGCCGATGCTTCCTTCGCCTCTGGCGGCGTTGGTTTTTGGGGCTTTCAACCTATCTGGTATAATCACACCAAATACATCGACATTTAGTGTGTGATTTAGCAGGTAAAGCCTTCCGTCGGGGCTTGCATTTGGAGGGCGGTCAATCTTGCACTGAGCAAATTTAGGATCGGTCGTTGAAAAGGGTGTCTCGAAGTAGTAGGCGAATTCATCCAAGATATATGGGAACTTGGAGGCATCCGCTTTATAGTCTATTGCCATAAAGAATTTCCGTCAGATATCTTAGCTCAGGGCTATTTAAGTTTGTAGACTAACCTAGGAATACGATTAACCTCTTTCCGGACTTGATTATTTCGCCCAAGGTAGGCCAGGAATCAATAGGAAGGGTGCCCGGAGAAGATGACGGGACGAAAACGTGTTCTTTAATCCCACTTTTGTCAAACACATCGTCAAATCTGCTGATATCAACAAAGTCGCCATTCGTAAGCAGGAGAGTTACGACTTCGTCGGGATGGCTATCCAGCCATTTCCCAATCGTCCCTAGGAACTTCTCAACAGGACCAGCATCCTCTAACAAACAGGACGTGTGACACATGTTTAGGGTCTTCTTCTCAGGATGTATACGTGTCTGACCCTGCAGATATCGGATGCCCAGATCAAGCTGCTTTGTAACAGAAATTTCCTGGTTGTGCTGCGGCAAGAAGCCAACAAACGGCGAGTTATGCGCGCCAACAAATCGGACGTCCGCATAGCGACGATCGCAGTACTCCGAGCGCCCATTGCAACGGCTCTGGGCGAACAGGCCGGTAGGTAGCAGCCATGCCAATAAGATCAACGAGAGCATAAGCATGGTGAAATAAGGATATAAGTAGCTCGTGGTTAAGACGACACGACGAACCCACAATGAGGAAGAGAACGGTGCGCACACGATCTCAAAGCCGTGTGCTTCATTTCAGCAAAGAGAAGGAGCCAGCCAAGCCATCTGTCTTATATCGATGGCAACTGAGCCCTCTATCTAGAGGGCAAGCGCTGGATGACCAGAGCAAAGGAACGGAAGGGCATGCCCAAAGTCCCAGGTGACAGTAAGAGACTCGCAGGAGTGACGCCGTCAGGGCTGGATGGCATAGCTTCGAAAACATGTGATAGAGCAGATGTAGACCGGGGAAATTTATGCTTTGACGGGTCACAGCTTTCAGGGAGCCGAATGATAAAAAACGGTAGACATGATCATCGTCAGTTCCAATATGACTGCTGGGGTATTCTCTATTAAACGACCCACGAAGAGCACGGCGAAAAGAGTCGATGACCAGCGCATCTTGAGAATGACTCTTACAGCGGTGATGCCCCCTGATCACTCTTGAAGGCTTGAAGTGAGTGAAGACCCATCAGCACGGCACTTTGTAGAACGGCCTCGAACGGTAAAACAGACGCCATGGCCAGATGTAGTTGGAATTGCCATTTTTGAAAGTTATCCGTGAAGCTGTGTGAAGGTGCATATTCTGTTGTGGAGGACAAGACAAGCTTGCCAGACCAAACTTCAACGCTTCTGGGCATTTCGTCGCCGCATCATCGACAGCTTCTCGGGCAAGCTACAGTCACTCCATTTCGATAACAGAAGGCAGTTTTATTCTTGCTGGCCTCTTGACAACCCAGCAGGTCGTGGAAGCAGGTCACGAGCTGCGAATCTTCGGCTGGATCGTCCTCGGGACTTCGGTGCAGCATCGTCAGTCATTCGTCAACCCATCAGGTTGAAGCGATGGTCGGTCGACGAGCCGACCGATGAGCTCCATGACCGAAAGGGGTGGTGATGATGCAGTTCGCGACGACGCGATTGATCTCCATGATGAAGAGGAAGACCTACGTATCGCTGCCGCAAATGGACGCACCAATGGAGTCGAAAGCCAGAGCGAATTCGATGAATTTGTCGCACCGGATGACCCGATTTCGATAACTATAAGCAAAGATGACGCCGACGGCTCGTCAGAACACCATGACGGGACAGCTGATTCTCCTAAAAGCACTGGCCCCAACTCTAGAAGCATTGACGACAGAGACTCGATCCCAGACGACACTCCGTCTGTCCAAGTCAGTGATTGAATATTCTTCTACCAATTTACAGTTACTAATAGCTCAGGGTTCAATCCAGTCGTCACCGGGAAGCGCGCTGGGTCGCCGGTCACCCTTCGCCGTAAGCAATAGCCCTCACCGTCCCTTCGATCGCCGATTCCAAACCCGCCTCTCTATCCCAGGCTCACCTCGACCACTATCGCCCTCATTTATCCAACAGCATTCGCGCCACTCTTCGCTAGCAAGCCAGCTACGAGCGGATACCCCGGATCTGCCAGAGGAGCCGTCTGCCGCGCCCTGGGATGTTGTACGTTGGACGAAGCTTAGAAAGATAGCGGGCCAGGTTCTCTCAGAAGCTGGCAAGCGGAATTTTGGCCGTCTAACATGTATAGCGGTGTCTACAAACATTGTTCTTGGAACGACTAAAGGAGTCATACTGGTATTCGATTATCAACAGGATCTTAGAGCTGTTATTGGACATGGGTCCAAAGGTAAGCTTGAGATTGAAAATAGAAGGTATTAAAATTAATATCATATAGCAATTACATCTGGAGCTGTCACCTCACTAGCTATCTCGGCCGATAATACCACCGTGGCTGGAGGCCATGCTGACGGTGCAATTTTTACGTGGGAAATATCAAAGGTGTCTAAACCGTTCCTACATATCCCTCCCATAGCTTCTGGTCAGCAAGATTTTAAACGGGGCGATGGTCATATCGCTGGTGTGGCTGTGATTCATGTCGGATTTCTGGGAACAAGACGTACTGCTTTGGTCTCTGCCGATGATCACGGAATGGCATTTTCTCACTTAGCCACCCGTGGCATGGGTGCTGCCACCCGTACAGTAAGAACGACTCGGATTTTGGGCAGATATCCCGAAAGTACCCTCCCCGTTGGTCGTTCTAGAAAGCCCAGCACTGTCCTCGCGTTCTCCCCTTTACCCCTAGGAAATGTGGAACAGGGAACAGACTCTCTAGGTCTGGTCGCGATGCTCACTCCATACCTTCTCGTAATTGTATCTACAACACCAGTCGCTCAAACACAGCATAAGGCAGCACGGCCCAAGGAAGTTCCCGCTCATAGCGCAATGACGGCGACGTTAGCATGGTTTCCCGCCATTAAACTGAAAGCAAAAGAAACAGCGATATCCAAAACGAAGCTGGTATACTGCTGGTCCAACGTGCTGACTATCCTCGAAATCTCTGAGATTGGGTCTTCAGAGTCTACAGACAAGGACAAGCCTCCAGCTTTTGAATTCAGACCGGTTGCTCGTTGGCGAGCTACCGAACCAATTGTTGCCGTTCAATGGATAAGTCGGTCGGTGCTGGCAGTGCTAACAATTACCCAACAATTGCTTATCTTAGAGGATAAGTCGCTAAGAGTGACAGACTCATTTGACTTGCTGCACAAACATATTTTCCACTCTGACCTCTTTTCAAAGCAGCTTCACAGCCTTGTTGAACGCTTGGATGAAGATGATCAGACAATGCATGGGGTGACGGCCGATGCGTTTTATATGAGTTTTCGTGCTTACAAGGGAAGGCTTTTCCTTCTAGGGTTTAATGACATATCCGTTGGTACCTTGTCAAACTGGGCAGATAGACTTCTCGCACTAATGGAGCACGGTGATTTTATTGGGTCCATTCGCCTTGCGACCTCGTTCTATATCGGCACGTCGGAGAAACTTACTGTTGGCCTGCCGGAAGAAGACGAGCTTAGACATGAGGTTGTGCAAGAAAAACTTCTGGAAATGATGGCCGCTTCGCTGAAGTATGCGTTTGGAAAGAATGAAGGGGCCGTCACGGAACGTCTTCAGCCTCCACAGCTCAAAGAACTCGCAGAAGTTTGCATCAGTGCGTGTGACTTCATGGGCGAGTATGGGTTTTTATTTGACGACGTATATCCATGGTACGAGGAGCACGGATTTGAAAGTGTATTCTTGGACATGCTGGAGCCATATATTATTAAGGGCACAATTCGAGCACTACCACCAGACGTTGTCAAATCTTTGATTACCTATTTTTCCACCAGTCATACCACCAGTCGTCTGGAAGAAACAATCTGTCTCCTTGATACAAGCACGATTGATATTGACCAGGTTACAAATTTATGTAAGCATTATAATCTTTACGATGCTTTCATTTATGTGTGGAATCGCGCTATTGGTGATTACATCTCTCCCTTAAAAGAATTACTCAGTTTGGCTACCCAAAATGCTATAGTTGCTACTAATGAAGACCCCAATGGCGAAACAAAGGGTTACCGAAATGCTCTGAAAATGTTCCCATATTTGTCTTATACCCTTACGAGTAGAATTTATCCGACGGGAGGCGAATTGGATGAGGCTGCAGCTTCAAAAGCGAAGGCGGATATCTACAGCTTTCTATGCTTTGGAACTGACCCTACCTCTCCTGAAAGTCATGGCGGTGACAGAGGTGATCGTTCCTTCAAGTCGCTCCGAATTATGTTGGAGTTCGACACTCCAAGGTTTATGAGCATGCTAAATGAGGCTTTCGAAGACGGATTTTTGAATGGTGCCATTGATGAAACGGAAATGGGACAATCACCCAGCAGCAGAACGAATCGAGATTTAATAATAAACCGTCAATACTTGATCAGCATTCTTCTCGAGGTTTTGATACCCTCTTCTGAGTTTACAACAGCCGACACAATTTATCTGGACATGTTCATTGCACGAAATCTTCCGAAATATCCTCAGTATATATTGCTTTCCGGCTCGATTTTGCATCAGTCACTTGTTAGACTGTGTAATTACCCTAGTCCAGATATGCTGGAAGATTGCCAGCTTAGTGCAGAATATTTGCTTTCAACTTACCGTCCTCCTGATATACTGGAGCTAATACCCGTTTTCAAGGAGGCGAAATTCTTTCGGATCTTAAAGTCGACCTATCGTGCCGAAAAACTGTATCCTGAGCTAATTCTCACCTACTTAGATGACAGTGAGAACCAAGAGCATGTGTTCATTTGCATTCGAGGCTGCCTGCGACAGACTTCTGCGCTAACGGCGAAACAACGCCGTGACGTATACTCCGCCGTGAAAGAACACGCTGCTGCTCTGGCGCATGTAGATGTTAGTGAAGCGGCTCTGACCAATCAAGCAGTAGCTGCTGACCTACATGAAGTATTTGTTGAGGCTCTTGAGCCGGACCCCAGCCTTCAGTACCAGTACCTTGATGCCTTGATCGGACCTGAATGGAAAAATAGCGGAGAGAATTCTTCAACTACAAAATTCAGCCATTCTCTTATTGAGCGTTATATCCAGCTCATGTGCCAGTATGAGCCTTCGAACGTCGCAGAATTTGTCGACTCTACGAAATCTGGGGATCTTCAACTTGAAGCAGTACTTCCCACAATTGAAAGCAGTGGAATTATTGATGCAGTCGTGATTCTTGTTGCAAAACAGGGGGAAGTTGGTGATGCTATGAAAAGATTAACGGACCACCTTGTCACCCTTGAGACCGGCCTATCAGGGGTTCTTCAACATTCCGATGAGAGCTCCAACTCCGTGACATTAACACAAGCTGTGGTTGATCTTGTTCAGTCGCTTGAAAAGTATGTACGGGTGGGAATTTGGCTTTGTAAACAAGAGACAAAATCGGCGAAACAACCATACGGAGAGGTCAATATACAAAAAAGAGGATCTATATTTGAATTACCTCTTTCCACTGATGAAAATTTATGGCTCTCGCTTATCGAAGCTGTGATGAGGATCACACAAAACCTCTCTCCTCTATTGCAAGGTGGGACTGCTTGCGAGGATGTCCCTTTGGCAAGCTCCTGGCCCCAATCTGCTGACGGAAAACCTCTGCAACTTTCAATTTTTCTTCGAATGCTAGTGCAACAGGTGTTTACGGCTCTACTGACTGCTACCACCAAATCTGGGCGTCTACCTAATAACAAAGCAGATTTGTCTTTTCTACGCATCCTTCGCGCGTTTCTCAAACGTGCTGCCTCTGCTTCCCCGTCATTGTCGGAACTCCGAGCGGTGATTGCGTCCATATTGTCAGCATACAGCTACGAAGAGTCGCTACTCTCGCTTGCCAATTCAATGTTGGATAAAGATCTTTTCGTGCACATTGATGAAGTTACCAAGCTCCGGCAACGCGGGTGGAGGGCGCGAGGGCAAATATGTGAGCTTTGCCGACGCAGAACCTGGGGCCCTGGATCGGGAGGGCACGTATGGGAAGCATGGGTAGCAAAGCAGGTCACTGGTGCGAAACAAAAGCAGGACAGGCAGGGCGAAGAGAACAAGGATCACAGCGCGACGTCGCGAGGGAAAGGGAAGGCTCTGGCATCTTCATCTGAGGTGGTAGCTGAAGCTCCAGCTGGATCCGGGTCTGGTGAGCAGGGCGATGCGGGAGAACCAAAAAGCAACGGCGGCGTTGGAGAGGGAGCATTGATTGTTTTTGGCTGCCGGCATCTCTACCACCGCTCTTGTCTGGCAGACGAGCTTGCGCGGCGACGACAGGTCGGCGCTCGGGGTCCAGCGACGGGGCAACGAGGTTTCCAAGGCAGCGAGGAGTTCTTGTGTGTGATATGTACCATACAGACATCGTAGCATCTTTTGCCTCAAGTCATGATTTTGTGATTCTGGCTGTATAGCAAGCTGCCCCGGCAACCATGAGATGGAACCGGAAGGCCACGACGCTTCGAGGCTTCTGGATGACAGCCGCGCGTGCGCTCGGCCAGGTATTTTGATGCATCCGACGCCTGAAGATCGACGGCGCTTCGCGTCACGCAGACGAGCCGGTCGTTAGTTAACTAGTTAACTAACTTATTAGCCGCGGCTGTGCAACAGCTGCGGTCATACAGCCCTGATCGCGCGGAACTTCCCCGTCGCCATCGCCATCTCCTCTGTCTGTTTTCCAGAGTAGTTCGAAATAACTTCGACGCCGAGCCTGCTGGCGTTCTTAGGCCCTCGGCAGTGTCCCCCGTGCCCAGGCGGAAGACGGCAAGCTTCGCGCCGGCCAGGGTGTGTTTGTAGCAAGGTACGGAGTCCTCCGTATAATTGACTTATTGGCACGAGCGGGCGCTAACTGACGAAGACCACCTCGCACGTTCAAATCGGGCAGCATGGGCGCTGGCCAAAGAGGCTCGCGCATCGCGAAGAGGAAACGGGCCTTGAAACACATTGCCATCATCTGATGCCGCCTGCTCGCCCGGCCTGGCCAACGCCAAAACGCCACAGGGATCTCCCATGACGCTTCCTCGTGCTTGACACCGGGCGTGCCCTCGATTAGCCGCCGATCTCTGATTTTGACACTGGGGCAACGGGACCTGAGATATTTCGATGGCTCTGCCGGACGTGAGGAACGTACTGGTTTCCACGCCGTGGACAGTCTTTTGGCCGGGTGACTGCTGTTTATTTACGTCAAGTATGAACGCCCAGCTCGACTGGCAGGGCGTTTTGTCTGCTCGTCCTCAAGGGCTGAAAGGCTTGACCTCGTTCAATTCCGGCGTTGTCATTGGTAACGCGGGGCGTTACATGGAATGCCGCTTGAGATCTCGTCATGGTCGTCCCCAAAGCCCTTGAAACCCATCTACTCGGCCGCGATATGAAACTATCGAGGATGGCTACCGAGTTTCTATTAATACGGAGGCATCTCCTCCAATGTGTAAACGCTCTCTGTTCCCCGGTGACCTTCTTCGTCTGATTTTCGGTTTATCATTTGATCTATACATTATTTTCGTGACCTGGCTTGTATAACGGGCCCTTAACGCCCTATTTTATGCCCCTTTCTACCCTCCTGCTGGGCTTTGCATATATTCCCGTGCACTGAGACGGGTAAAAATCTAAGGTCGCCATGCATGTTGTGCAACTTACTGTCTTTGCTGCTCTAGCACAACTCTCAGCCGCCTCTTATGAGCTGGTTGATAGTTATACACCATCGAACTTCTTTGACAAGTTTGATTTTTTCTCGGTAAATTATTTGTCTAATAAATTCAAACTAGAATTTCAGAGTTTCTAATCTTACCATAGACTCGCGATCCAAGCAATGGTTATGTGAGCTACCAAGACAGGGATACCTCTTTTCGAGACAATCTTGTCCGTCAGGGTCAAAATTCAGTTCGCATTGGTGTCGATTCCTGGAGTATTGCTTCTGGCTCTGGCCGTAGGAGTGTGCGTTTGGTGTCAAAAGCCAAATACCTACATGGCTTGATTCTAGCTGATATCAAGCACATGCCCACTTCAACTTGTGGTCTCTGGCCTGCATTGTAAGAAACACACCATACTTTGATTTTCTTGCTGTATTCTAACTTCCAACGAAGCTGGACTGTAGGAGATGTCTGGCCAAGGGACGGTGAGCTTGACATCATCGAGGGAGTCAATCAACAATCTATGAATAAAATGGCCATGCATACTACAGAAGGATGCAAGATAAATGTTGCTGGTGATTTTACTGGAATTGTTGAGACAAGGGATTGCAACGTTTACTCTCCAAACCAGGCATTCAACCAGGGCTGCCTTGTCTCTTCAACGCAGGCTAACAGCTACGGCACCAATTTTAACAACATAAATGGCGGTGTGTACGCCATCCAGTGGACTAGTGCTCATATTTCAATTTGGTTTTTCCCTCGTGGAAATATCCCCAGTGACATGACCAGCCAGAACCCCGACCCTACAAAATGGGGCAGACCAGGAGCAAGATTTTCCGGTGAATGTGATATGGATAGGTTTATGAAACAACAGCGACTTGTATGCCACTGCCTTTTCAACTGCGTAACCCATCAAGCTAATACTCTGTATTGTTTGCCAGATTTTTAACACCAACTTTTGTGGTGACTGGGCTGGTGGGGTGTGGAACTCCGACCCTGTCTGCAGCACTAGGGGAAGCTGTGATAGTTACGTTAGGAACAACCCAAATGACTTCTCAGATGCCTACTGGGAGGTAAATGGCTTGAGGGTTTTTAGACAGGTTCAACCACCACAAGTATCCGCGATTCCTGAACCTACCCCGGCACCAACACCGACACCGACACCGACATCGACACCGACACCGGCAACAAGAAGCAGCGAGACCTCGGCGACATCTTCTACCACAATTATTCCACCGGTTGAAAATACACCTACCGCAGCACCTACAACAACAAGAACAACAACAACAACGCCCAGTAGCAGTGCTATATCGTCTTCTAGCAGCCAATCTATGCCGAGTCCACAGCCTACCGAAAAATCGACTGAAATCACATCATCCACCAGCAGCTCATCCTCCCTGAATCAACAGTCCACGATTAGTACTAACCCCATTTCGACCTCTGATACTAGGACAACGTCACCGGTGGGTAACAGGCCAACTGGACCATCGAGTGGAACTAACAGTAGTGCTACACAACCCCTGGTCACCTCACCGAGCCCAGATCCGCAATCAACTACAAGTGCCAAGCCCATCAACACATCAACTGGAACGGATAGCGATGCTATCTCCTGTGATGTTAGTATATCTATCGGAACTGTTGAGCTTACTATAGGACCTGTTACCCAGACTACCACACCAATTAATCATATGCCCACTGGAGCATCAACTGGAACTAACAGCAGTGCTACTTCAACCTCTAATGACTTCTCCATGCCTTGTGATGGATCTAACTGCCACAGTCAACAATCCTCTAGTTCTAGTACCAGCGGTGTTTCTCTGGCTGCCAGTAGCCAATCTCTTAGAGCCCCAGCCCCCTCCATTCGAAGCTCAATCCCCGCGGAAAATACGGAAATTCCGGACACGGCCACACAAACGAATTGCACGACTTACACGACATTTGAAACAATCAAAATTGTCAAGACCTATGTTGATGCTGCCCAGACTGGCCCATGAAGCCAATCCAGGACGCTTCCACACTGAAACTCCATACTATATAGGTCTATGATTTTGGCGAAAGTTTTGAAGATTAATGCATCACTGCTATATATCAACTTTTGTATATATTTTATTGGTTGAAACCTGTTTATTGAATTCTTAGTTTAGTTATTATAGAAGCCAAATATTTACGTATGATGGATGACGTCTGAAACTCCGATGAAATGTCTAATAGCGTATAAATGCCAATTGATGCCAAAAGAAAGGCCCAACACGATGTGATCCAAGTAAGTGATAATATTAAATGACATAAATAACTCCATTAAAGAAGGTATGCCGAGTAACAGGGCTTTTTTATACCAAAAATCCTAACTCATCCCTCCTGTCGTCAGTTAATCTCCCCCATTCTAACAGCAAGCGGAACATATATATCTCCATGTCTTCCTTTCTGATGGCTGTGTTTGCCCACTTTTGCCCCTCTCCAGCAATCCACTCTCCAGCAGTAGTGTGGGGCTCCATAATCGCTCTTTTCATGTTGCCGTTGTTGTCAAGTTCTTTTGCCCCTGCAAAATAAGCCAGAGTGCTGAAAAAATCGTGTAATCGTAAGTCTTGGGGAACGAAATGCAGCCATGGTGTGAGGCGTGAGTCGAGCCATTGGCGGAATAATGACGTGCGGAAGGGAAGGCTATTACTTTTGAGAAATGGTAAAAAGCGCCCACTGAACCCAGCACCATCCATATCGAAAAGAAAGCGATACTTCCAGTGATCCTGGAAGTCAGTGCGAGGCACAGTTCCAAATTCACGAGTTTGGTCTTCACAGTCTTCTCCCGCACAGCGAGCAACAGATTCCGCAATAAATATAGAAGTGTTGAGACCCAGAGACTGAAATATTTCAGAACCAGCAAATGTTTGATAGGAAAACGCATCTTTCTTTGCCGTTGGAAGAAGGACTGAAACAGTATTGGAGGTGTGGTTGTTGGCAAGGTGGATTAGGCGCTGACGAACCATACCTTTCCAAGTTCCATAGTTGCTGCGGCCCTCCGAAGTTGTCCCTCGCCAGAAAGCAGCCGGTTGCTTCTCAGAATATGGAGGATCAGGATGCTCGTTAGAGGGTTCGTATTTCACCTTGTCGATATAGTTCCAAGAGCTTGGATAAAGAATGTCGTTGAAGCCGGAAACCTTGCTTTGGCTGAATACAGGTAGAAGCTCTTGCGAAACTTTGAAAGACGCTGGCGACAAAAAGAATCCATGCAAAAATGATAGATCAGGCTGGTGGCAGATATCGGCCGATAATTTCCAATCACGGATAAATTGGCCAAGGGAGTGTGGTTCAGTACATGCGGTACAGAGGACCTGCTTATTCCAGACAATCGTAGTACGGGCTTTCGATTCGGGCGAACAAAGGGTCCGGCCAAAAGAATCATAAACCTTTTTAAAAGAATGGTCAACAAACATGCGATGTGACTTAGGATCACCAGCACTATAACTCCACGACTTTGCCCGATGATCAGACCAAGAATTAGACACTTCTGCACCTAGTGGCGATTTGGTGTTCCCAGTATTTGTGATGCTTTCCAGTGTTTCCCAGGGAACGGCGACCCGGCATTCATCATTTAAATTGAACGCGATGTCCATGTCGGGAAGATATTTTGAATATGGGTCAATCATCCTAGAGATACCTTCAACCATCCACCGATGAGTAGGTCGAATATCTGCTTGTGGTTCGGCCTTTCCATTTCGAACAACAACTGACGATACCTCATTCCAATGATCATTGACCATCAGTGATACGAGATCTCTAAGCCTTTTGGGGGAGATACTGCGAAATGGAAGCAAGTCTTCGTAAATCTGATCGTAGTCATCAATAATTACTGACGACCTATTGGTGGCGTACTCATACCATACGTCAAAACCACTACACGTACATTAGTAAACTGGCTTATCAGTAGATATAATGATAGCTTACGGAGGCGGAGCCTGGTGATAGCGCCTCTGGTACTCGAGCACGGCGTCCTTCAAGCTTTTGCTGCTGCTGGCTTTCGTTATCCACCGATCGTGAGTACCTTTTGCATTTTCAATAAAAGTATCAATGGGATGAAAAGGGCTGCTCTTCGTTTGCTCGAAAATAAAGGTAATTGACATCACTAGAGATACTAGGATGACCCAGCGTAACCATCCGTTAGGCCGTAGGCCGCGTTTTCCATCTATATCAGGGGATGAGCTAGATCGCAGATATATGTATCCGGTAATATGTAGCAGAATTGACACAAGAGCGGTTTTTGCAATATCCAATGCAGGGAAAGCTGAGAAGGAAGTCCAAACACATGAAAATAGGGAATAGTATGTGAGAAGAGAAGTAAACACAAAAGTTAAAGTTAAAACCGTAGCATCAAATACCTAACATTTAGTTAGATGAATTATCTATGGGACTAGACTTAGAGGGACGAGCTTTAGATTCACTTACCGCCTTAGACGCTGAAAGACAGAACATAGCAAAAAGAGCGCTTTGTTTTAGTGCATCAAAATAAGAAGGCAAGGGAGACAGCACCCAAAGCCGATCTCCAATGGGTACACTGAGTAGTAGTATTTCTATGGCAAACCAAATAATGGCTGAGCCCTGTAATTTCGAGCGAGTTAGCGCAAACTGTCTAAACTTGGAGAAAGTCCAACTCACTAAAAGCACAAATCCCCAGAGAGTTGATGTTTTCCACACTATTATTGTCCCATCCCTTGGACCGGCATAGTCTGTCAAACGTGCCATCAACAGAATCAGGACGGCATCAAAAACGGATCCCAACACTTGGAAAGACAGCGTAATCTTCGAGTTGGACCCAATGATGGGGCAAATGAAGGTGCCGCGCCAGCCATCCTTCAGTGATGTAGTTAAAAGGCCGGCTATGGCCAGGACCAACGTAGAAAGTATGGAAGTAAAATACTTTGGAACCGAATCTGGAGATTTCGAACTAGATTTCCTCCGACTGATCAAAAATTCGTACACAGCCAAAATAAGGGGAATAAAGGCCTAACAAGCGAGAGTCAGAATTCAGTCCTTTATTTTCAACTCGTCGCCCTCCTCAAAGATCCGATAGTTCCACCACGACATACCGAAACGTTGAATGACGCACAATACGAGCGTCTCACAGATTGGCGATAAAGCTCAACGCGTAGGCAGAGAATAAATATTGCTAAGGCAATACTGAGCAATAGTTTCCGTATCTTTGCCTTTTTCAAAGTTTCTAATTTGTCAAATGCGTCCAAGGGCACGGACGTCGAAGACTGGGCCCGAGAATTCGAGAGCGGAATATATTCCCATTGCCCTGGGTCCTTTCGGCGACCTAAAAATGACGGGACGAGGAAGCCAGCAACCAAAAGGACGATTCCGGAGCAAAATAAAGAGAACGCTGCTGATTCTGCTGGATGGCCTGGGCTCGAGAAAATTTTAATTAGCTGGTGAGCGGGATGGATATGGATCAAAGGGAGGCGAACCGAGGGCGGAAGAGGTATCTGCAGACAGTAGTAATAACAGTGCACTGAGAACAAATAGGCTGTTTTGACGTTAGTATTGGTACTCACACTGGGCGATTGATTCTGAACATACCTAAGCCCGATCATGGTCGCTTTGACCAATCAAGGATATCCCAAGTGCAAGAGCAGCAAAAAGAAACCATCGATCCTGGATTAATCAGTGAAGATATCATAGGATAACAGGTCCAGCTGGGTCAAAAAAAGGCTAAGGGGCTCCAGCGTTGCCATTGTGAGGAGCCGGACTCGGCGTGCAATGTTCGCGGCGACTTCGTAAACGGCATGAAGTCTAACCACTTCCAGGTTGAGACTCAACTCAAGCCACTGTGGAGTGTGCGGTTGAGCCGGCGCTGCGTTAAAGATAATCTTGATTAACAGCGTTCCAGCTTCTCCAAACCCAGTTTACTTTTATCTAAGTCCAAGCTCCTCCAAGCGGCGCGTGCTTTTTGAGGTTTAAAGCTCGGGTGGATCAGCCTGGAAGATCACTTTAACTAACTATCAGGCCCTATCATCAACACCATTTTGTGCTTTGTTTAAGATAGAACTGCTCTCTAGCTTCGGATAATTACATGACCTACCTGTCCAGTCTCCGTCCTGCATACAATACTCCGTAGATCAACCTCCAACCGTTAAGCATATCTGCCTTTCTTTTTCGCTTTTCGTGGGAGTAACGCGCTTACATAATGATAGTGAGAGGCAGATTCTGTCCAATCAGATACAGAGAACTCCAGTCCTGTCGCTTCGTCCCGAGCGATTCAAACCTTATTTGTAATATGAAGCTAGTCTTTTATAGGACTAGCGCATTAACCGTTTAAACATGCTCTTTGGGGCCGTCAGTCGCGCGGGGTAGTTTTACCCGAATATCAATAATCTGAAGCTTTGGAGATCCCGCAGGCCGTTGAAATTTTGATGCCGCGGCTCTGAGACGGCCGGGGGTATTCCTACGCAAACCGGACTGTTCTGTGTCTGGAATAAACTATTATCTCTCAGAGTTACAACGATCACCCCGCCGCCCACCGATTCCATCGCTCGACTCGCTAGAATTGTTCGAGCCCGCACTTGCGCGACCCGAAAGCAATATGCCCCGGAAAGCCCTTGATTCCCGCATCCCGGCCCTGATACGGAATGGAGTGCAGGAGAAAAAGAGAAGTTTTTTTGTGGTGGTGGGTGACCGTGTCAAAGATGTAATTGTTCATCTCCATTATATCATGACGAGCGTCGATATCAAGCAGAACAAGTCCGTACTTTGGGCCTACAAGAAGGATTTACTAGGCTTCTCGAGCCACCGTAAGAAGCGTGAGGCCAAGATAAAAAAAGAGGTCAAAAGAGGCATTCGAGATCCCAACACGGAAGATCCGTTCGAACTTTTCGTCACACTGAATCAAATTCGTTATGTCTACTATAAAGAAACTGAAAAAATCTTGGGAAATACATATGGGATGTGTATATTGCAAGACTTTGAAGCTTTAACACCGAATTTACTTGCGCGAACAATTGAGACTGTTGAAGGCGGAGGCCTAGTTGTTTTACTTTTGAAGGGCATGAAAAGCTTGAAACAGCTATACACTCTATCAATGGACATTCATTCAAGGTATCGTACAGAAGCGCATGATGATGTGGTTGCCCGGTTCAATGAGCGTTTCATATTATCTCTTGGGAGCTGCAATTCATGTCTCGTGGTAGATGATGAACTCAATGTTCTACCAATTTCAGGAGGGAAAAACGTGGCACCTCTTCCACCGGGAGATACAGCAGATGGTGCGAATTCAGTTGCCACGAAGGAACTTCGGTCTATAAAAGATAAACTTGCAGATACACAGCCAGTTGGGTCATTAGTAACTCTGGCTAAAACGGTCGATCAAGCTAAGGCTCTTCTTACTTTCGTTGATGCTATTGCAGAGAAAACTCTACGCAGCACGGTCACGTTAACCGCAGCTCGTGGTCGGGGTAAATCCGCCGCCCTAGGAGTTGCAATTGCAGCGGCTGTGGCACACGGTTACAGCAACATTTTTATTACCTCCCCAAGTCCAGAGAACTTAAAAACACTTTTTGATTTCGTCTTCAAAGGGTTTGATGCCCTAGGATATTTGGATCATGTTGACTATACAATTCTTCAGTCTACCAATCCTGATTTTAATAAAGCTATTGTTCGAGTTAATGTACATCGAGAGCACCGCCAAACGATACAATACATTCAACCACAGGATGCGTTTGCTCTTGGACAAGCCGAGCTACTCGTCATTGATGAAGCTGCTGCAATCCCATTGCCATTGGTTAGAAAGTTAATGGGCCCATATCTTGTATTCATGGCATCAACGATCAATGGTTATGAAGGCACTGGAAGGTCTTTGTCCCTCAAGCTTATACAACAGCTACGCGAACAATCCAGAGGGGCCATAAAATCTAGCAAAGAAGGTGCGGACATTGCAGACAGGTCAACTGGAAAATCAGTAAAACGGTCGGAAGGCGAATACATAGGCGGTAGATTCCTGAGAGAAATTACATTGTCCGAGCCCATTAGGTATGCTCAGGGGGATGCCGTTGAAAAGTGGCTGAACAAAGTGCTCTGTCTTGACGCCACATTACCGAGATCGAAAATGAACTCACAGGGCTGTCCGCATCCGTCGCAGTGCCAGTTGCTCTATGTAAATCGAGATACCCTTTTTTCTTTCCACCCTGTTCCCGAGAAATTTCTGCAGCAGATGATGGCACTCTATGTTGCCAGTCATTACAAAAATTCTCCTAACGATCTTCAGCTGATGAGCGATGCTCCTGCACATCAATTGTTCGTTCTTGTTCCTCCTGTTGACGAAGCTACCTCTAAATTACCCGAGCCCCTATGCGTTGTGCAAGTTGCACTTGAAGGTCGAATTAGCAAGCAAAGCGTTCTCAATGGTCTGAGCCGCGGCCAGAGAGCAGGCGGTGATCTTATCCCCTGGCTTGTAAGCCAACAATTTCAAGATGAAGAATTTGCGGGCTTATCCGGAGCTCGAGTTGTCCGCATTGCTACTAATCCCGATTACCTCAATATGGGCTATGGGTCTAGGGCCTTGGAACTGTTAACTGATTTTTATGAAGGAAAGTTCACCAGTTTATCAGAAGACGACGAATTTCTTTCTGAAGAAATGGTCCGAGTAACCGATGCCGAGTTGGAGAATGCCAATTTACTTGACGATGATGTGCAGGTTCGAGATATCTATTCCATGCCACCACTCTTTGGAAAGCTGTCAGAAAGGAAGCCGGACTCCCTCGATTATGTAGGTGTGAGTTATGGCCTCACCGCGCCTCTGCACAAGTTCTGGAAGCGGTCCGATTTCGCGCCAGTATATCTTCGACAAACCCCAAACGACCTCACCGGCGAGCATACTTGTGTCATGCTTCGGACTCTCTCTACAGGCTCAAACGACACCTCATGGCTTAGCGCCTATGTAAGCGATTTCCATAAAAGATTTCTCTCCCTTCTATCATACCAATTCAGGGACTTCCCGTCTGTGCTCTCACTGAGCATTGGGGAATCGGCCAATGCAATCGCTAAAGCTGATGCATCTATCAAAACAAATCCCATTTCCCAATCCGATCTAAACACATCATTTTCTCCCTTCGACCTTAAGCGTTTGGACAGTTATGCAAACAACCTTCTCGACTATCACGTCATCCTTGATATGGTCCCCGCCATTGCTGTTTTTTATTTTTCTGGTCGTTTAAATATTAGCCTATCCGGTGTCCAGCAATCAATTCTCCTTGCTATCGGTCTTCAGCGCAAATCTTTTGACGATGTCGAAAAGGAGCTCAATGTCGCCGCATCCCAATTGATGGCGATGTTCATAAAAATTATCAGAAAAGTGTCCACACATTTCCGCTCTTTGATTGAAGGTGCTGTTGCCGAAACCTTACCTGCTGAGGACATCGGCGTAGCTCCAAACGATGCTATGGGCGTACATGATGATGAAATTATCGACACGACATTCAAACCACTTGATGTAGGCCTAGAGGAGGAGCTCAAGCAAGGGGGCGATGAGATCAATAAAGAGCTAAGAGAGAAGCAACGCGCTCTTATTGATGCATTGCCTTTAGACCAGTAGGCTTTCCTCTTCAATTTTTAGAACTATGATATACTAATTCAATACTGTCAGATACGAAATCGACCATGGCGCCACGGCCTGGGAAGATGCGGAAAAGCAAATTCGTACCTCAACTGGGAAGAATGGAAATGTTCCTACAGTCAGCATCAAGACATCGAAGCAATCGAAACGTAAAGCCGGCGAGTCAGCTCGCGATATCTACGAGAAAGAAATTGGTATCAAAGAACGTAAAAAGATCAAAAAGGGAACGGAAGGACGGAAAAAGTAAAGACGGGTTAAAACAAGTGTAAAATACAATAGATTTTCTGCAATTCAGCGTGTGTTTAGCCCTGTTAACTATTTTCACATCTAGGATGCAGGATGGGATCCACTACTAAATTTACAAGACACCAAAACTTCTCCATTTTATACTTAATGAATATTCCCCTGAATTTCTGAGTCTAATAATATATAGTCGCAGATAATTATATTAGCAAATTTTCTTATTGCCTCTTTTCTGCAGCAATCACGAATACAGTTCAAGAAACGAATAAAGTACAACTCATGTTTCATTCCAGGCTAGAGCATGAAAATCTGAGGAGAAACAACAATGACTAAAGCTCCTCATGTACAGCCGTTTTTGTATTTTCTTCCAGGAGCACAGTTGATTCAGTTGACTCCTGTACAGGTTCAGGTTCAGAAACTGCTTCAGATTCCTGTTCTTGTTTTTGTTCTGGCTCTTTTTGCTGTGATTTATCAGGTTTTTCTTTGGACGCTTTTTTCTTTCCAAGTTGATATAGCTGTTCAGGAATTGTTTCCTTCTCGCCCTCCCCCATGCGAATTTGGTCAATCCATTTCTCTAGTTCGACAATGCCGAACTTTGACCCGCCGGCGGAATTATAACGGCGCCACCATCCACGTTTTCCATTGACGGCAATGACTTCTACTATATCCGGATTTAAACCCAACTCCTTTCTAATATCGGGAACCTCTTCTATAGTATCAGGTACGAGGTAGAAAGGGAAGAGGTGTCCTTTGCGTTGAGAATGCTTATGCTCAATTTCTCGGAGGGCATTAAGTCCTTCGACAGCACCAGGTGGCGGCGGAGTTGTGGCATCCTTTGGTATGGGAACAATAGCAAGAACACAAGTTCCAGTCTTTGGGGTTAAGCAAGTAGCCTTGAGCTCGGTACTCAAAGAAAGCATACGAAGCACTGGGGCTTGTGGCTTTGTTGAAGCAGACGGTTTGGGAGAAGAAGACTCCTCCTTGTTCGAAGCGGAATCACTGTCGGTAGGTTCAGAAGGACTATCCGCAGCTGTGGGCTTTTTGGGCTTTTGAGGTTTTGAGGGTTTGACCTTTTTGACAGGTATGGGGGGATCGGGATTTGGCTCTGCAGCTTGACTGAGGAATTCCAAGATGGGTTTCTTTTTCATCTCTCCATCATACACTACTGATGGTTTGTCTGCCCCAGGTAAAAGAACGAGTGTCGGGAATTTGGTGATACCAAACGTTTGCACTGCTGATGTCTCCTTATTCCTAACTTGGCCAATGTGGATCTTTCCTAGAAAATCGATGCTTAGAGTCCGTAAAAGCGCACTTGTGGCACCTTTATCAGTAAAGAGAATCGCTTTTGCGGTCGTATTTGAGTCCGCTAGCCAGCCGTCGACATCTTTATCGGTAAGGCGCTTAACATGGTTAGGAATCCGACTCACGACGGTGTCAACTATGCCTTTCGCAGTTCTTGGCCCTTGATAGTCCTCGGTTTTCGGTTTTCCAGGCTGGTCAGAAGGGACTACTAGTCGAAGGGTCGGAAATCCTTGTACACGCATCAAGCCACAGAAATGTTTGTTTGCCTCATCCTCGCAATTCATCGCTGCAACTTTAGCAAGCCCTTCGAGCTTTCTCGCTGCCTTCTCGTACGCCGGTTTGAGATTCTGGCAATGGCCACACCATGGTGCATAAAATCTATAGCACGTGAGTGAATATCCACATGCAGTTGACGGGGTGACTTACTCTACGATCTAGGGAAACATTAGCTAAAGGCGTATAGAATCCTAGAGTCGGGAGGATATTACGTACAGAAACATAATTAGATCTAGCGATCAGGCGATCATAGTTGGTAGCATCGACCTGTAGAACTGGAGACTTTTTAGTGTAAAGCGCATCTACGCTAGCACCCAGGAGGGCAGTAAGCAGCACAAAAGTCCCTTGTATAAACATAGTGGGAAGCTCCTAGAGAGACTGGCTTGAGAGATCAAGACAAATGGCCAGAAAAAACGCTTGAGTACATGACACTGTGGAAACTAAAACAACACTGAAGAGGTGCAGGGAATATGTCTTCTACCCCGGCCTCAACCTCGTGTGTTGTCTCAGAGTTATCGTAAGGTGTTCAGATTGCCCAATATGTCTTATCTTATCAACACGTGATATCGAGTTTGGTCCATACCGGAATTCCAGATCTGTGAAATACCGTAATGTTACGGTAGTGGCAACGTAACCACTACGTAGTAACTCAGCACAACGTTGAAACTACAATTGCGTAATATTACCTTTGTTGGTTGCCACAACTTGAGTCGGTATTCGCAACGTTGTCTTGCGTAGAGTTAATTGGAGTTAACTTGGTTAAGTGTATTTAACTTTAGTAATGTTTTGTATTGGAGTACAGCTAGCTATTTCTACCACAAGTACAATTACACCTACATACAAAGAATCTTCCAGAAAATTTCTAAGTCCACAAAAACTATGAAAACAGTAGTAGAAATCTAGCTAGTAGAATTGTAGAGAATCACCTACTAGCTAGGCTAGTAGGATAGTAGAAATCGCCTGCTAGCCTAGCTAGTAGGATAGTAGAAATCGCCTGCTAGCCTAGCTAGTAGGATTGTAGAGAATCACCTACTAGCTAGGCTAGTAGGATAGTAGAAATCGCCTGCTAGCCTAGCTAGTAGAATTGTAGAGAATCGCCTACTAGCCTAGCTAGTAGGATAGTAGAAATCGCCTGCTAGCCTAGCTAGTAGAATTGTAGAGAATCGCCTACTAGCCTAGCTAGTAGAATTGTAGAGAATCGCCTACTAGCCTAGCTAGTAGGATAGTAGAAATCGCCTGCTAGCCTAGCTAGTAGGATAGTAGAAATCGCCTGCTAGCCTAGCTAGTAGGATAGTAGAAATCGCCTGCTAGCCTAGCTAGTAGGATTGTAGAGAATCACCTACTAGCCTAGCTAGTAGGATAGTAGAAATCGCCTGCCAGCTAGGCTAGTAGGATAGTAGAAATCGCCTGCCAGCCTAGCTAGTAGAATTGTAGAGAATCACCTACTAGCCTAGTTAGTAGGATAGTAGAAATCGCCTGCTAGCCTAGCTAGTAGGATAGTAGAAAATCGCGTAGGCTTCTACTGTAGAAGAGAGTTAGTGAGTGACTTAGAGATTTGAAAAAGATGAATGAAAATTTTTCACCTGCTGATCATTTTCTTATTAGATTTAAAAATGTTGTTATTACCATATAGTAGATTCAACATAGTAAGCTCTTACTACATAGTAGTCAAAATACATAGTAGTTACTGTCACCAACGTTGAAACTACAAGGTGGTGGTAATGGCTACATAACAGCTCGGAAAATTGGTAAGCCGATGGTAGTGCAGAGATCCCCGCTATGGGGACAACACAGAAGCATGTGATAATCATGTGACTGGGTGTCTATAATATTGCATCTGATCTGCTTCTAACAAATGAGACACAGCTACTTATAGACAAACATACTATAATTAAGACTATTGAAAAAACATATGAAAAACCCCTAGCAAATCTCTGCCAGTCTGATAGACAAAGATAATGAAATTGATATCATGATCAAGAAGAGATGATGACAAATTTACAGTTCTCTGATTTCTTCTTTAAGAATCTAATCATCTTACAAGTCATCTGACTTCTGCTCAACACATTCTCATAGTTTTGATGATGATGTAGGCAGAGAATCTTCTATTAAATAATCAATATTCATAAGTCTCAATTGCTTCATAAATTTTTCAAATTTCTGTCTAAATAAGATCTTGATTAAGTCATCTGCAGGCATATTATTGCTTTCAATTCAGCTAATATTTAATTTCTGATTAGTAACTGCTTGTCATAATCAGTGATGATGAATATCAACATGATGAAGCTTAATAATTAGTTGCAGAGCTGCTGAAATCAGTAAATAAATTGTTTGTAAATTATTACATAAAATATCAAAATCTCTTTCTAATTTCAATGTAATATTCTTAAATAAGCATTTCCATCACATGGTCTCTTTTGCTGTATAGAATAGTGTTAGAAGCTAAGCTTCTGTTGAAGATGTTGTAACTGTCTTTTGTCTGAAAAATTTTCAATCAATTAAGTCTTCAAAGAGCTTTAATATGAAGTTCTGAGAGAAGTGTCTAGAGTTTAAATTGTCTGCAAAAGAAGAATTACTGATGATTATTAAATGAATGTTTATGATGTCATTAATATTATTATTATTCTGAGTATCCAACTTCTTCTCAGCATGAAATTCAAGAGCATAATACTTTATTGAAAAAGCATATGAAATAACTCTCTCAATTGCTGTATGGTGTTCTGATTCTGAGTTAATCAAAGCATCACTTAATTTTGCAGTAGGCTAGCAAATGAAATATCAGACTGTGTTATAATAGCAGTGTAGAGAGCTGAATCAATCTTCTGTTGATAGACATGTATTTGTTGTGCATTCTGCATCTCTGTATAAGAAGCTATATTCACAGTTATCATTGATGTATATGACAGCTTCAACTAAGTAAGATTAAATTTATTAGCAATCTTCTCAATATAACTGTTCTGAGACAGTCAAAGCTTCTGAGCATTTCTATCATATAGAACATGAATATCTAGAAATCACTCTAGCTCTTCAATCTCTCTAAGCTCATAATACATTCATAGATTCTTTAGTAACTGCTTAAATGTTCCATCATTCTTTCTGTGATATAAAAATACTATGTCATTCACATAAAAGAAGATAATAATATTCTTATCAATAAATAGATATGATTTTTCATAAATTTGACAGAATTTTAGTTTCTGAAATGTTGAAGTGAGATTTTTGTATCAAAGTCATGAAGATTTAGAATGATCATATAAAACTTATAAAATTCTTCAAATACTTCTTTTCTTACTGTAACTTTCTGCAGATCTGCAATAAACAGATTTATTAAATGAAGCATTAATGAACACATTAACAGCATCAATCAGAAAGATCTTTATTTTAAAATAAGCTGTTACAGTCATTAAAAGACAAAATATTCACACAGTGAGAGTAGCAGTGTAGATGTTATGTTCATTATTAATATTCAGATCTCCATGAAAAATGAGTCTTGTCTTATAATGTTCCAAAAAACTGTTAACATCAAATTTGTATGTATAAATTCACATTAAAGAAATTGGACATATTTTTTTCAAGCTCTCTACTTCTTCAAAGCAGTTCTTTGTTCATAGCTTTTCCATTTCCACATCCATAACAGTCTTAAATCCATCAGTGTGTGGATGTTGCAATATTGAAAAATAATGCTTCAGAGACTTTAAAAGATTCTCTCTGTGAAGTCTAGAATTTGTAATTGTAAAAGCTGTTAAATAGTCTTTATAAAATGAATTCAATTGCACTGTTTGCTGCAGAATTGCTGTATAAGCTGTTCATTTGTCAATTCAATCTGCATTTTGATGCTTTATTCTAGCACTTTGTCTAGAAGATAAAGATTGCTTGTTTAAGCTTGCTCTGACTGAGTTATTCACTACTTCTGTGACAAAACAATTAACTGTTGAAATTCTGTCATTAATGCTCACTGCTTCTGTGACAGAACAATTGACTATCAATTGTCTGTCATTCATGCTCACTGTCTCTGTAGAGCTAGTGACAGAAAGTGTAGTAGATATTATATCTTCAGATGAATTAATTATAACACTAGTCACTGTCTCCATAGCTTTTGCAGCAGAATGATTAACTGTCATTGAAAGTTGATTCAGTATCTCTATTTCAGTTAATGATGTCATTGAGTCATTCAGAAGAAGTTGAGTGTAGATGTCTAAAACTGATAACTTTAATGTTGACTCTGATATTGACCACACACATGTCTTTTCTTATTGATCAGTTAATGTCTTAGTCATTGTCTCTGTCAATCTTATTAACTGATTAATGATCTTCTGACTTTCACATAATATATTCTTTACAGAGTCTTTATCTTCACTGTCATGCTTACTTAAGCTTATCTTATTAACATCATTTACTTCAATGAAAGATATTGCTTTCAGCACAATGAAACTCTTCTGTAATAAAAGCTCACTGCTGATCTCATTAAAATTGAATAGCATATCTTCATTAAATATAATATCTCTTGTTAATATAATCTTTCATCATACTGAAATTCAAATGCAAAAAATATTTATTGATTTGTATTTAATGAGATATTCAACTTTCACTCTAAAAGTCAGCTTCTGATTTCTTCTGTATTGTTCATTCTTAATTAAAGAATACACTCTACAGCCAAAAACTCTTATATGTCTAATTTCAGTTAAACAGATTGCAGTTTGAAGATATTTCTTTAAGTATTCAAGAGAAGTGTTTCAATCAAGATCTTTAATCAGAATTCTGTTTAAAATATATGCTGCAGTCTTGACACATTCTGATCATAAATTCTCAGACAAATTGACTTCAATTCACATTGTATGCACTGTCATCATTATTAAAGCTTTCACATGCTCTGCAACTTCATTTTGAGTCAGTGTGTAGAGTGCCAAACATTGAACAACTATATTATATGTTTAAGTCAAAGCTGTCAGTTCTGACTGCATAGAGATTTCTCTGTCAATTTAAATAGTCAAGATAGTCAATTGATATAAATTGAGAATTACTCTTATCATTTTTGCTGTGCATGTCAAACTTTCAGATTTACACTGCATTGTTTTCACATAGTGCAGATGAATATAATTATAATATAAGTGCACTGTTCATTTATCTTCATTATAATCTGAAGCAAACTATATGAGATCAACAGACATCTTCATAAATGATCACATAGATTTTTTCAACAGCATTCTGCATATAATTTACTTTGCTTTTAAAAGAGTGCAAGATCTGCACTTTACTGTTAGAGAATTCTGAGAGATCTTTTTAAATTTCATGTTGATAGATACTTTTGAAAAATGAGTCAGAGACTCTCTTTCTAAATGATCAAGTCTTAAATGTTA